TTTAAGTGTTAAAGTTTCACATAGCTAAGCTACTAGAAAGTGAAATGTATGCAGTGTGTTCTGCTTCTCAGTAGTTTCAAAAACTTATGAGCATTTTAATAGCAGACTTACTACAAGCAGTCATTACTTGTAGACAGAGACACTGCAACTTAATGCATCCAGTTTTCTGGTTAGAAATTAAGTGAAATCTTGCAAGACTGAAGTTCATTAAAATCCTTTCAAGTGAAATTTTTGGAAAGGAAAGAGTTTCACAAAAACTGATGGTGTGATATAGCCCCAAGTATATTACAGCACACACTTTGTCATTCTTTGTTTTGTAATTACATGGAACACAGAATTTATCATAGTGGATTAACAGCTGTTCTCAAGTGCACTTGATCACCCACCAGTCTCTGTAAAGTTTCATTCTTAACGACGTGCAGAAATCAGTAACATCTTTGATGGTAGTCTATTTTGTGCCAAGGGGCTGGTGTCAAACTCACCATGGGAGGGGATATACTTCCCTGTTTAGGATAACTCAAACCCTAGAGGATTGGGTTGGATAACTCCAACCCTAGAGGAACTCCAAATCTAGCGGATTAATCAGCCTCTAGAAATGCCTGACTTTATCTTTTGGCCCTCTGTTCCTCTTATCCTTCCTTTCGATCCCTTTATCGAATCTTCCTCTATAATAGCTACAATCAAACCTTAAAGGCCTGTATTCTTTATGCACAAAAACTACTTAAGTTCTTCAATCAAATTAACTTCAAATTATCTTTTTTTGATGAATCACATTATAAAGGTACCATTGGTGTTCAGTTAAGGACTTCACCTCCAACTCCAATATTCATTGATGCTTTTACATTGCTTTTCGAATTCTTAAGTGTTCCTTAGAAAGAGAGGCTCAGAAACATTCAAACAAAAACTGCATTGTATTTTGCATGAGTCTCATCAATACAGAGCTAAAATGACCTCCCTGTGTCCTTTTGTACATTAAAGTGCCACATTAATCTTTTTAGCCATACTGGCTTAAAATGCTTTTGCACCATGATTAGCAGGCAATTTTCAAAGTCACTGCTATCACTCTCCATTCTGCATATTTGCCTAGTATTTGACTGAATCAAAACATATTTTATTTAAATTTGATTCAGTTTTTCAAGAGATCAAAATCACACTTTAGGACTCTTTTGAGTTATCATTTATTACCATTTGCCAATCCCTTGCAGTAGTCATAGATATTTTCCATGAGCAAGTTCATATTTACTTCAATAACACTGATGAAAATACCTAATAACATCAGGCAAAGTTCCAAACCCAGTGAAATTTCACTAAAAACTCTTTGCTTTCATAATATTTTCCTACTGAGACTGCTTTTTTACAATGTGTCAGCTAGCAAGTTCTTAGTTAAATTAGCTTTCTGCTATGCTTTATGAGTACTATGTAGTATTTCTTTCAAATCGTAATAGGAGCAATGTAATGTTTTGCCCAATATCCTTCCAAATGGCTAATACCAGTTGCCTCAGAGAAAAGTTTAAGCAACCTTAAAAATTGCTGCTATGAATCAACTTGCTTCTAAGGGAATATATCTCCAAATATCATAGTTGCTGACTTACCCAAGAAGCACAAGGATGCTTTAATAGTTTTTAACACTAAGTTAACCATGAGTGAGCAGTGTGCCCTCGTGGCCAAGAAGGCCAATGGCATCCTGGCCTGCATCAGGAGGAGCGTTGCCAGCAGGTCAAGGGAGGTGATTCTGCCCCTCTACTCAGCTCTGGTGAGGCCGCACTTGGAGTATTGTGTGCAGTTCTGGGCACCCCAGTATAGGAAGGACGTGGAGCTTCTGGAGAGGGTCCAGAGAAGGGCAACCAGGATGATTAAGGGAATGGAACATCTCTCGTATGAAGAGAGGCTGAGTGAGCTGGGCCTTTTTTCTCTGGAGAAGAGACGGCTCAGAGGGGATATGATTAATATGTATAAGTTCAGGAAGGGAGAATGCAGGGAGGAAGGGGACAGGCTGTTCTCACTGGTGGCCAGCGATAGGACGAGGGGTAATGGCCACAAACTGAAGCATAAGAAGTTCCGTCTCCAGGTGAGGAGCAACTTCTTTCCTGTGAGGGTGACAGAGCAGTGGAACAGGCTGCCCAGGGAGGTTGTGGAGTCTCCTACTCTGGAGGTCTTCAAAACCCGCCTGGATGCCACCCTGTGCCACATGCTCTAGGTGTGCCTGCTTGAGCAGGAAGGTTGGACTAGATGATCTCTAGAGGTCCCTTCCAACCTTAAATAAATATTCTGAAATATTCTGAAATATTCTGAAATAGCATTTTTATAACTATTCATAACAGATACACTAATAACTACTTTTCTTTTTAAATATATTATCACAGTCTCATGCTCTATACATTTAAAACACACTGCTGTAATATCCTATACAGCACAAACTCATTTTATCTATTTAAATTTTAGCTTAATTTCACTAAAATTCCTTGAAATATAGCAACATCAACTGTTCTCTACTGCAAGAAGACATTACATCCAAAGTTAGTATATCCCAAATAGTCTAAAATGTAGAATTCTACAAAGCTGTTTCATTTTGTTATTTCATTTCAAAACAAAGTATTGGTCCCTTATGCTCTAATAAACCCACTCCCTAGCCCACCACCTGCTTTTCCCTTATTTTCAAAATGTTTTGTTATTTTTCCATGGTTATCTATTTATCCTTCAGACTTGCTCTCAGGTCTCCTGGTTGTTTTTGCATATATCTTGCCTGCTGTACATTATGGCAATTATCATTGCCCTCTACAGAGTTGACTTCTCCATTTTCTCAAGGCTGTTTGGCTCCAGAGATTTTGTCAGATGTTGGAAGCTTTGTTTAATCTCTTTTTTTTTTTTTCTGCACGGACTAGATGCCTCTATAAAATAACAAGCACCACTCGCGTGCCCTAGGTTGCACTCATTGCATGCGTGCATGTCTGTTATAACATATGCATGTATTATGTCAGCATATGTACGCATTCTTCAGAAGAAAAACTTATCTGTTCCCATCAAAAGTAAAGGTGAGTATTAAATTTTTTACTTAGTATAAAATCAAAAAAAATGAGAAAGCTTTCTACAAAGGAAACTTAAAACACTAAAAACTGACAGAAATTACACAAGTTTTACCTATAAAGTTACCAATATTAAAATTGTTAAAACAAATAATGAAATGAATGAACTGCTACTTCCCTCTACCATTTACACGTAATAGAGAATATTGCAAATAGATGTACTTAGGTGATTTAGAATGATGAACAAAAGCATGCAGGAGACACCAGCTCAGTAAAACATGACCTCACTGAAGTCAGAACTTCATACCTTCTTGTTGTGCTTTATGCTGGGTTATGCAAAGTAATCTCAGAATTATTTGACCATCTCTAATTTAAGAGGGAACCTAAACAGTGCTGCAGTATACTTCTGGTCTGGAAACTACGAAACAACACTCTGGTTTCCCCACAGAACCAAATGCCTCAGGGCTCTGGTTCCAGGAAAGAATAACCAATGCTTATGCTCAGATCCATGCTTTGTCAAAGCAGCTCTCTAATCCAAATTCTTTTACAAACCATATAGCAGCATCCTGTGATCTTCCCAACAACCCAGCTGTTTGCTGTAGCAAGGGAGGCTGAAAGAAAAATTATTTAACTACTTTGACAAGGGAAAGTTTGACTGCCTTTGAATCTGCTTTCAAAGACAAAATCATACAGGTCAGGTTATTGACCATGGAATATTCTGGTTAACTTTGACAATGATGGATACCTTTCATGACCAATTCCCAAATCCCTTATGCCTACACTTTGTGACTGCCCATAATGATGAATGACAGTCATCTCTACTGAACGAAAATTTTCCATCACTCTCATCCCTAAAGAAATGGCATTATCATCATGTTTTCTTGCTATAATTTATCAGACTCTACAAAATAGACAGTCTCTTACTACTAGCTTCTTTATTAATGTAACAACTCAAATACTCAGATACTTGCTTTGGAATGCAGATAGTAATAGCTATAAAATCACTAGATACATTACACTCTTTTCTCATTACTTTAGAAACTGTAAGTCTTATTCCTAAAATGAAAATGTAACTTGGAGAAGACAGACTACTTTGATCTGAAACAGGTTCAAATATCCCATCCAAGCTTTGAAGAAATATCTGATCGTTATAAAATAAAGGGATACTAAAACATTTATTTTGAATTGAAGATTTGGTTCTCTGCATTCACAGAGTGAATATCAGTGGATATTTTATTTGCTTTCTGAGGTAATGGCTCTCTGAATTCTTAAATCTTTATTACTTCAGCAGAGACTGAAATAGGCCGCCAGAAAGATCGTATTAAAATGTCATCCAATAGAGTTTTCACTTTGTGAAAATGGACTCACAGAGGCCACAATTCTCCTTGGAACTAATTACATGTTAGTGGCAGATTCAATTGAATTTCTCGTAACAAACAATAAAAGCTTGGTTCAAAATTATTATTTCCATTTTGGTAACAATGAAAGACCTCATTCACAAACCAGGACCTCACTGTGCCATACAACACTCTGTAAAAGCAGAACAAAAAGCACTGCACATAGAACAGAATGCTTGACATCTAATTCAAGAATTTTACCGTCTAGGTATAAATCAAACAGAAAGGAATGCTGTAAAGCATCATATTAGTGACTTCCAAAGAGGAGTGCTTAAGGTAACCAGGGAAGTGACTTACTAAATGTTAATGTGGAGTTCCCCCTAAGCATGCTAGACAGAAAAGGAGAAAAGACGAACAAGATCATTTGAAAAGATAAATAAATCTTAAGGAAAACTCACTTAACACGCCACTGGGTGGAACAGGAATCATCCACTACTGTGGGCAGGTGATTGATAGGGAGCAGCATATTTTGAATTTTCTTTTTCTCTCTTTTTTTTTTTTTTTTTTTTTTACATTTGCACATAGATGGAAATGCACATATCTCACTGCTTTTAAAACATATGTAATTATTTCTACTTACAGGCTGAGTCAACACCATTTGCACAGTTCAGGTGTGCTGTCTGTGGAACACAGGGCATCTTCTCCGAGTCCTGCAGCAGCTTCAGAAATACCTTTTACAAAATAGAAAAAGTAATTTAAATTCTTTTTTTCTAAGAACTACTCTTTTTTATTTTAATCCCAAATAACTCAGATTTTTATATGCTATGGCTGCTGTAGCCACTCTGCTGGAACATCACTATAAAATTATGGAAGGTCTGCAGGAGAGGAATTCTGAGGATAACAGGTAAGTAATACCAATAGAGGCCAATGCACCTACACAAAAGCATTGTTTGCCCATGTACATGACTACCTGCAGAAGAATGGCTGCCCTCGATTGACACAGATATTACAGAATCACACAGAATCACATACTGAACCACATTTGGACTTGCACATATGGACATATTGTGCAGCAAGTCCAGTAAAGGGCCACAAAGATGGTTGAAGACCAGAGAACCTGTGCTATGAGGATGGTGCCCAAGACAAGAGACCACAGACAAATTAAAACACAGGAGATTCCACTGAACACAGGAAACCCTGAACAGAGAGAGGAAAACCCCTCCTCTCCCACAGGGGGAGTCCTTGAACACCAAAACCCATTTCACTTCTTGAGAGCTCAAACGAAAATCAAAATTCAGAAATTTGCTACCAGTTATCCTTTTGCATTTTATTTTCATGATAACTTCTAGCAATCACTTAAGGGATTGTTTTTGACAAAGACAATTGTTTACTACTAGAAAAGACAACCGTTTGCTTCTAGAAAAAAAGCTCGCTTCGCAGCAAAATCAGTCACCTCCTTCAGCTGCTTTAAAGTAAAATCCACTCTGAAAAGCTCTTGAACTTAATATTACCTTTAAGATAATTAAATTTTTATTTTAACCTTAATTACAATTCAAACAGTAAACTAAGAACTTCAAATGAAAAATCTTGTAAAAACAAATCATAATTAAAAAAGCCAACAGCAATTACAGCTACCAGAAGCATATCTAAATGAACATCAAAAGCAAAAATAAATATTCCTTTGTCTTGATAAAGTAAGCTGCTTAGGTTTGGCTGCAAGACTGACTATAACCATGTTAAAACGTTCATAGATCATTAAGAAATCATTTATTCCTCCCCACAAAAGCAGCTCATATCAACTATAACAAGTTTTTTTTTTTTTTTTTTTTTTTTTTTTTTTTAAGAGCTCATAGCACAGACAATAAAACTCAAGTCAATTTGAAAATACTTTAAAGCTGTGGAAAGATATTCCTTGATTTGTTAAGTTCTGTCTGTTACGTAAACTGTGTTTTGCTTAGTCAATATAATTGCCATTTAATAGATGTTATTGACCACATAGCTACCTTGCAGTTTTCTTGGGACACTTCTGGCCATTAACACCTAAAGGGTCTGAAGAAATTTAATATCTCTTGATACTTCTTTATTAAAGCCCTGAAGGAGATCTGGGCTGCCCAAAGCACATCATAATTGACGGCTTGGGGCCTGCCTGCTGATAGTTCTGCTGCTCCAATCCTGTCAAGCAAACCCATTGAAACTGGGCCAATTAAAGCCACAAACAAACTGGTCCTCTCCAAGGAGATTAAAGACTACATGACTAAAGGCTGCCTGCACGTAATCAGCTTGGTTTCAAACAACTATTGCCGGGGTTGCAGACGGACATTTTCTTCTTTGATCACAAGTAATGTCACTTGAAGAGGGACTGTCACTACATCTTCAGAAAATCTGTCCCTGTCTACCCAGACAGTATCTGCACTGTCCCACAGCTATTCTGACACGAACATACAGACAGAAGGCCAGATGCATAGCCTGATCCTCCCCATAGCACTCAGGCAGCTCTTAAACACCTCGTCTTAATGATGGGAAAGAAACTGCAATGCATCCATTATTACACAGAATATCCTCCACAGAAGTTGTATATCCATAGGAGTGAATGTTACTAGCACTGTGACCACGCACCAAACTTCACAGAAAGAGGAAGATCCTAGGAGGTTGGGATTGGACATCAAAACAGAGATACAACATGCTTTCCCCATACCTAAAAATTTGAATAAATTTACCAAGAGAAGAAATCTTCTCCCTTTCAGTAGAATATCCTTTGCCCTACAATGTCATAACAGTTCTCAGGTTAAAGATTCTTAGACAAGTCAATGTTCCCACCAAGGAGAAGCCCAGATGGCTGTATATTGCAAACAGGAAGAGATGGACAACTACTGCACATACACACAAGCTACCTGTGCACGGCAGCTACTGTCTGATCGAGTCCCTCCCACTTCCTTCCTTGAGATAGCATCATACAAAATGAACCTGGTCCACTGATACAGTGAGTCAGTATCCCTGATTCTCCACTACAGAACCTGGGAACTCCATCATGTCTTTCTAACAATTCCTTAAGCACATCTTCACCTTAAAGGAAAAAAAGTGAAGGAAGTCAAAGTTATTGGTAAAAGAAAACAAATTTAAATAACACCTATAGACTACTCTTTACAAATCTAAAACCATCTGACTAACATTGTGGAAGCATTTCTGGTCCACCCTATCCCACAAAGCCCACATGCATCCTAGAGATGGGGTGGGTGGAAAGTATACACTGTTTGGTCTCAGTTAATTGGCAACAAGCACCTGCAAAAAGAACAGCAAAACCCATGAGGGATAAGAGATGATGCAGCATATGGAATTAGAACCCACATGAAAGCCGCATGATTTTATTAGCCACTTTGCCAGCAGACTCCCAGGGGCATATCAGTCATCATAGTGTTAAATGCTTGTTGTTTTACACTACAGGTGACCACCAAATCCTTAAATCTGAAAATCCCACATTTAAGAAACATTCTTTAACTTCTTTTTGGGTAATGTTTACACCTTGTATAAGCTAACTATGTGCATTTTCTTCACTAACTGAGCAATATCAGGGCAAGTTTCCTTAGAAAGTTTCTAAGTTTTAAACTTAGAGTCCTAATCTGCATTTTTACTTTGAATAACTTCCCTATGAGAAGGTCCTATCAGAGGATCAATTTTTTCTCTTGCTACACTTTCTATTCATGATGCTTTTACGTTTTCTTCCAGACCAACCCTGCTTGCTATAGCCTTCTGCAGCAGCAAGCACGTTATGAAGCAGAATGATGCAGAAACAAGCTGGAGAGCAACTCATTATAGATGACCAGGTTCACAGAGGAGTTTTTGCAAGCAGGTGAACATCTATCACCTGAACATGAAATCATTCAACTGCTAAACTTACATACACAAAGAGAAGTTAACACACACTTGGCATAGTTCAGACCCTGGAGAAGACTATCCATGCCTTCAAGGAAAGAACTTTAAATAGGAGGGGAGTAGTAAGGTGCAATTTATACTCTTGCTCCTGAAAGCTAACTGCATGCCAAGGACGAAAGGACAAACCAGGCCCCTTTCAAGGTTGGAGGAGTGGGTGGTCACGCTGGACACTGGAACACGCTACCCTACCACCATAGCTGCTGCTTCCGCACTGCCAAATCATGAGCAGCTACAAGAAGGGACTTGCCTCCAGGTAAAAGCTTCTATCCAGATAGCAGCACTACAGTACAACAGATTAGCAGGACCATGCCATCATTACAGCACTCCCAACAAAAAAAAAAAAAATCCCATTTGAAAAATGCCTGGTGTTTCAAGGCAAAAATTTCAAGATGTGGGTTTTCCCAGGAAGTCTTGGGGTAAGGACTCTCAGCATTTCATGGGAGAGAGCTTTTAGAAAAATACTCCAGTGCTCCAGTGAAAATTACTTAGGCACAAAGATGTTTCAAAGCTTTTTTTTCCTCTTCCCAGTGAGAAATAAATCTAGAAAACTAAGTTTTGAAACTCTTAAAATTGCTACCAAGTTAAACATCATTCTACAGAGAGCTTTCAGTACACACTTATTTTAATTAACCATCCTTTCCCATCCTTCTCTTGTTTCTGTTACTCTTTGGATTACAAGCATTATGAAATACATAGAAAAAAAACAGTTGAAAAAGATATTTTAAACCTAAATTGAAGCAAACATAACAGTAATGAAATTTGAAGTGTCATGAACCTATTTTGTTAGATCTTCAAGAGTCTTTTGAGGTATGAATGGTAGTCGAGTTTCTCTTGAAGGGTAAGTGCAGTGTCCCTCAGACAGAAAAAAAAGAAAAAAACTGTAAAAGAGAAAAAAGAAAGGAAAAAACACACATTTTTCTGCCTTTAAAGTCAGACTTCTTTGTTTCTGGATTGAATTGTTTGAATAGACTAAATAGCACTATTATGTGCTATTCATTTAGTTGCCAGCACAAAGAGGCTTTTGATAAGAAAATAGAGAATGGATTTTGCAAGGACTAATCATGAGGTGCAGAGATGACAGAAATCATGCCAAATTAACACATTAAGTCTTCAAGCTGAAAAATAATATATCAATACCTAATACTGTCTATAAAGTTTTGGGTTTTTTAAAGCTCCCCTACAAAAGAAAAAAAAAACAAGTCAAGCAACAACTGAGTAACTGAGATGCAGCACACCAAGACACTTACATATTTACTTCACAGATGCCAATTCTAAAACATCATATGGTATCCCATAGGGATGTAATTAGAAAAAAAAAAAAAACTTTCAACATATACATTGCCTTAAAATCTATTAGGTTTGGCAGTGAATACCACTCCCTTATAGCATCTCTATATAACTTGAAAGAAAACAACAGGCTTTTTCCAATAAGCTTTTGACTCACCTCATAAAACTGTATAGCAAGGAGATAATTCACTTGACAATAGTGTGTAAAATGTAAAATATTTATGTGAATAATTTTTCTTTTTTAATCCGATTATCCTAGCAAGTGTATGCCCCTTTTACATACAGTGGTCATACAGAAAAGCAGAACCAAAGAGCAGAGAGGAGTTGTGATTTTTGTTCTTGCTTTTTGGTTTGTTATTTTTTAAATAATTCAGTTATATGGATCTTAAGTTCAAAGGAACTACTCCTATATTTGCTGGTAGATAAGTCTTTTGGACTATAGTCTAAAAGCAAATCTGCAAAAACAGATCATTTATGTTGGTCCAGGTTTCTAAAGACTTCTGTAGCAAATCAATACAGTCTTAAGTAGACCAGTTTAGGATACAGCAGCTCCACTTGGTGGTGTATTTATTGAAAGAATTTGATGAACGATTGTCAGTTTAGTTTTATTTATATCAGTGGGGTTTTATTTATATTTCTTTTCCTAGAGGTTATATAACATCACTAATTCTAAACTTGCAACAACAAAACCAGAACTACTGATAGTTTCAAGTATCAGATCTCATTAATCCTCATATGCATAGTTCATGCAGCACAAATATAATGCATAATTAAGGAACGTCAGGCCTCTCTCAGTCTCATCTTCATAAGAGATGCATCTTCCCTGGGCCTATTGTGTTCCAGGCTGACACTACATCATAACATCTCATACTTTTCTGGAGAACAGAGGGAGAAGAGATGGTAATCCTTTTTGTATACTAAGTGTATTCCTTTCTAGAAAGATATCAATCTACAGCAACTTGCATTTCATATGTTTTAATTTGTTTTAATTTCTACCACATACTAAACTGTTAGAAAAAAGTCCAAACTTCTTGTTTGTCTGTAGCAATAAAGGAAATGACTACTGAAATGAATTTTATGAAGTGATACTGAATGGACTGTGTCACCAAATGGAAGAAAACAACAAGTGTGCTTTGTGTATCAAAAATGCTGGCATTAGTCTTTTGTTATATTTTGAAGGGGAAAAATGGTATTTTTAAAAGGATCTACAATATAATACTTAAACAATGACGGTTTAATAAGCTTTGAAATTAACAGTTATAGTTCATTTATGTGAAAATATCTTCTTTCCAAAATAACAAGCTACACAGAGCTAAATCAGAAGCAATAAAGAATCATAATAGTCTCCTCTGATAAATTTGGTCAAATGATACCTATACACACACACACACACGTTTTTGTGTATATATATATTCGTATATATAAACAAATACACACCCCTATACACAAGAAATACACACAAGAAAACATCTTTAGACGTTTTCAGGTCATTTTTGCAAAGTCTTAAGATTTAGGTCTTCGTAATCCAAAATGTACTCAAATGAAACGATTATATTTTTCCTCTCTCAAGAGCCACCTGGACTGAAATGTTATAGATTTAGGACAACAGGAGTAGTTCTGGTTAGATAAATGATACATTAAATTATCCTTAAGTAAATGCAGGAAAAAGCATTTAAGAGTTCTTAAAATGCAATGATTTCTGGTGCACAGATTTGAAAATCTTGGAAAAAATATTGTAGTAGAGTGGCTACAGAATATTAGAGCAAAAATATGCACATTTTGCATGAGATTTTATTTTTATTGTTCTTCCCATTATAAATGGTTGTGCAATACAAAAGTTATAAGCAAGATTAGCTGGAAAATACAGCTATAAGCAATAAAAATACCTAAAGTACCTCTTCCAAGGTGGTGTCAGAAATGCCATAGCCAGTCACATGTAGATGATGAAGATTTTCATCTAAAGCCTGAAAAAGACCCTTAAAGGAGGTCTTATCTACCCTTTCTGGGATCACGTAGGTCACTTCAGCCCCACTGCTCTCTTTCAGAAATGCTTCTGGGATGTGGCTCTGCACCAAAGTCGTGATTTGAACAATATGCTTAGGATCTTGGATTTCAAACACAGAAGGCTGCATGAGAGGAAAAATAAGTACACAAGAAAAGCATAAATGTTAGCAGAAGTATGGGACTTGCTACATATTGGAAAATTTTTACTGATGAAACTATATCTAACCTGGAACACAAACCACCCCCCCGGAATGAATAACAGGCACTAAGTTCTATACATAGCACTCTTCTTATACCTTTTTTATGAGTGTTAGACTATGTCCCTGGCCATATGTTTCCCTTAGATGAGCAGGAGAACCTGAGCACTTCAGTTGGCCATTCTGCAGGATGGCAATGTGATCACTGAGCACCTCTGCCTCATCAAGATGATGAGTAGTAAAGATCAGTGTGCAACCTGTATCAGAAAGATCAGGATATATGAGTTGGTCTCCGGAGAAGTCTATCTTTCTTTCAAGAAAAACTTGGTTGAATATTTTTTGGTTCCTCCAAAACATAACTGCAAAATACAGGGAAAGCCTGCACTCATACTCACACCTGGTAGGAATTCCCCAAGTCAGATACAAGTCAAAGCAATTATTATACAAATTATGAATTATACAAAGTAGACAGTATCAAGCCATTACAATTTCAAGTTGTTTCAAGAGGTTGAGGAGATTGTTGAAAATCAGGCAAGCAACAGCAGTGTCTGTTTCGGTGAATCATTCACCGATTGTTTGAACATACACTAGCTTAGGAAGTGGCTTCCCATTTTTAAGTTGACGGTACTTTTAATGTATCAGCATGATTGATCAGTCTATCTTCATTAGAAAAATACATGCAACTATGTATCAATACATGCAAAATGAAATGAAACAAGAAAATAATTTAGATAAACACACAAAATAAGTAAGAGAATAGAAGCCTCAGGATACGATCCACAGCTAAATTGAACCTTCATTTAGCTCTGGCATCTTTCTGTGAGATAGCAGGTAAATCTTGTAATCTCCCTTGGATTGCTTACAAATTTCTTGAGCTGATTAAATGCTACCCGTGAAATTAATGTACTTAATTACTGAATGGAAATGCTAATATACTGACCCTCCTGTTCAAATTTATTGTAACAAAATTCCAGTGAGAAATATATATATATATCAACACGTATAATCTTTGTACCAGCTTTGTACTTCAGAAGAACATCCCAGATGCTACGGCGGGAACACGGATCTACTCCAGTGGTGGGTTCATCAAGAACAACTGTCTTAGAGTTGCCAATAAAGGAGATGGCAATTGACAGCCTCCTTTTCATTCCCCCAGAAAGGGCGCCAACAGGTTTGTTCTGATTCTGGGATAAATCCACATCTTCCAGAGCTCTGAAACAAGAATAATCGTAGAAACTTGATCATCTGGAGAGGAGGGGGTGGGTGGGGAGAGAAATCACTAATTTTCACCTACAAAGTAGAAAATACCCATTGCCATGTGAAATCTAAGTTTTGGACAACTAGTGTGAAGAATAAGATCATATAATAATTTTGAAGTTATGTCCAATAAAACAAACACCAGATTGTCCACTAATTGCAGCAAATGTTGGATGGATTGCAGCCTTTTTAAATGCAGGCAGAAAAATCAGTCTGACAACTCAAACAATGCTTCAGTTCTTGAAACTGTACAAGTTTAAATATCCTCGCTTTTTTTTAAAGTGTGTCATCATTTGAAATAAATGATAGAGTAACTATATATATATATATATATAAAATGTAAAAGTACATATATGTTCTATTTTTAAATGAATTTAAAATCATATTCCTGTAACATAAACAGATAAATGATCCCTAGGTGAGATAACACTACCTGAATTAATACTTGTAAAAATGTTATATTGAGAGTCTAGACTGTTACAGCCAACAAAAACAACGTATTTAAGCAGAAGAGCAAGTTTGACTATCAGCAGTGATAGTCAGTGCCTGTGGATTCCTGGCAGAAGACTCCACAATCTAAAACAATCTCTTGATTCATTTGACTGAATATGCAGTCTGTAGACTGTCATTTACCCTGAGGAAATATTTCTTTTAAGAAAGCTAAGTTCTACAGTTATTTTGCATATACATACCAGGAAAATGATTCTTAATCTTTTTAGAAGTAATTTTTAAAAGATCACAGATTTTGTTTAATTTTATTTTTCTAATTTCTATGAAGTAGTTTTAAGGTATTATTTACCATAACCAAAACAAAATACTCTTCTTAGTGGCAAAGTTTGCAGAGCACTGAGTATGCTTATATGGAATTTCTACCACTGCTGTCATAATTAAAACTAATTAGTTTAAATACAATAAAAGGCACACTACTAATTTCCATAAATTTTAATCGAACACACTATTTTTGGTATTTCCTTTTGTTCTAGGGATCTTTCTGTTTCTGGAGAATTTTGCGGTGTACCACACAAGAGACTTTTCAGATCAAAATTTTAAGATAAATGGGGCTTTTTTGATACTCCAGAAAAGCAAAAGGCACTCTACCACAAATATTATCATCTTACAGCAGTGAAATAACAGTGCAAAAACACCAGCAAAGTCCTCAGTTGACAAATGGCAAATCATCTCAGGTTGAATTAGAACTTTGTCTTGTTTTCCTTGTTGGATTGTTGGCTTTTAAACCCCTTCAGCTATTAAACACACTTAAACTTAGAGAAGGGAAAGAGATAATGGTCTATTATAAAACTATTGCAAAAATCACTGCCTTCAGGTGTTTTTACTGTTCTTTTCTCTCTACAGCAGATGAGGTTTATTCTATGGGAGAATAAACAAAAAAAAAGTATAATCAGTGTTGGTTTATCTGAAAGTTCAGGGTGAAAAACGCATCAATTTACCTTTGGAACTATCTCTGCAGCAATGGCATGTACCCCAAGCAAGAGGCATAGAGAACGAGAGAGAAGCAGCACTACAGGCTGCTCTCTCCCATTAAAGCATGATTATTTGATGGTTCCAGGTTTTAAAATGTTGACAGTTCCACCATAATTCTATTCAAATAAAAGCTAAAAACTACAGAAATCTAATTCAGGGCAGAATTTTAGAAAACAAAGTGTCATCAAAAGTCATGAAAATACAGTAGTTTGAGTTCACTTCTACTTGCAAGTTTAACTTCACCAGCTTCTGGCTGGAGTGGCCTCCAATAGACACGCTACTGATCCACTGGGCAGGTTTCAAGAAATAAAAGAAAAACACATACCCCATGACTTCCTGATTCAACTGCCTGGCTGTCCAGATGGGAGCCTTCACAGATCCATACAGCAGCAGATGCTCTCGCACCGTTAGCGTGTCAAACAGAACATCGTACTGGGGACAAACACCCAGCTCTGTCCTGATGGCAGCCAGGTCAGTCCGTATGTCCTTTCCATTGACAATGATGGTACCGGAGCTGGGCGGATACAGGCCAGTCAACAGCGAACTAATACAGGAAAAGAATTTCTCTTTTCAGTAACCTCTTAGGTCATATTGTATAGCTGACATTTGAATCCCAGACATGTCTTCAACTGATTTGTATTGGTATATTTTTCCTAGCATCACTGGGGCAAGAACAGTTCAAATGAGCATAATTATAGGAAAACATGAGTATCTGGGGCTTCCCCTGCCCCTGCTTCCTTTAACCAATCCCTCATCTTGTTATTTCCAGAGCAAAAGCCCCATTCTGCATCACTGATTGACTAAAGTCAATCAAGATTAATATGAAATAAAAATTCATTAACCTCTTAATTAGGACATTAAAAAAATCATTTTCATTTTGATACTTCTCTTTCTAATCAGATGTTACACAACATCTAGGAAAAAAGCATGCAAAACCTTAAAGATTCCATAGTCTCTACATCATAGGAGCACACACAGAGGACACCAGAGAAGAACATTTTAAGGATGCATTCATTCCCCCAATCAGACCTCCCCAGCTGCTATTTGATTTGCTTCTGTGAGCTACTGCATCATTATTATCAGTGGTACAGAGGTGCAATGGTACTCTATTCTGTACACTGCTTTTGTCATAGATTTATAGGGTCATTTTTATTTTTTAAGACAGATGAAAGAGATTACAAATATTCTAAAGTGAAGAAAAGTATAGGAAAGACCAGGGCAACTGCAGTACCATTAAACAGCAAACATACATAACTGTTGTCTTCCCAGCTCCATTAGGCCCCAAGAGAGCTGTTATTTGACCTTGATGGAAGGTGAGGCTGAGGTCTTTCACAGCAGCCTGCTGGCCATCCACATGTTCCTTGGTGAGTGACAGCAATATGACACCAATGGTGGCTCCTTCTGCGCTAGCACCTTTCTCACTTGGAGGTCTTGGGTCTGTATGGGGAACAGGAGTAGACCAAGGTCTGTGAACCCCAAGATATATATATATCCCTTTATATATATATGTATATATATATATACACACACATATGTATACATATGTGTATATACATGTATATATATACATATACATATATATATACACATACCCCTTTATACATACATATATATATAAAAAAGGGATATATATTTATAAATAGATAAAAAGGGGTTAATAGGTTAACCCGTCCCTTGGTACCATCAATCAAAAGCTGGAATATATGCTCCTAATGTCATAAACTCCACTGAAATCACAGATATTATGTCAGTTAGTACTAAGTTTAAATTTAAGTGTTTAAATTAAAAAGTCCCAAGACAGATTTACAAAGCTTCCTAAAATAATATGGCTAAGTGTGTCTGAGCACATAAGCGTTTCCATAGGTCACATGGAGATGATAAGACATCATAAAATAGATATGCTTTTATTTCTATTAAAGAAAAAAAATGCTAATAATCACTTTGGTTAGAATATTAAGTTCATAAACATAAGAAAATTCAAACCATATAGAACAACTCAATAGATGTCACCCACTTTCAGGCACCTGAAAAGTCCAGTCTTAGTTCCTTCAACCAATAAAGCTACGTAGACCTCTTTGTGACATGATGCACAACACAAGCCTAGTTCAAACATAATCCAAAAGCCTTCCATAAAAGTAGATACCCAGCATTTCTCTGCTAACAACTGACACCAACAACCCAGTAAACTGAGATGGCCCATGGAAAGGCTGGCATAACTATACTCTTAACTCTACTTTCTAAGCACGGACACAGACAAGGACCAGACATGTAACATTGCTGACTCATCATAACTGAGGATTCTGGCAGCAAGACTATCTTTTAAAGTAAAACAGGAATGCTATTTCAAATAAACTGACATTACCGTGGATGAGAATTTTAAGAGAGAAATATGCATGCACTATATATGAACTGAGATTATCCTTTCAAAAGACCGGTTTGGTTCGACTAGATAATGAATATTAAGTTTAGAAAAAGTTGTTACCAGAAACTTGAGTTAATGTTCCAACAAGAGATTACAAAGCACTGTGAAAAGTCCTGAGAGGTCCTTCCATCCATGAAGCTTTCTTCCATTTAGCTTCTTCATATTTTGGTCATGCAAGTAAAACTACAAACCACTATTCTTGTCATTTCTGCTGCTTCCTAAATTTGTGGGCACAGCCTGGAACTTTACAAAAATGTTAAGTCCAGAGCTGAGCTGATTGCCCATAACTGCATTTATCACAGAATCTACTGCACAATCATTGCGATAAAGCTCAGTTCTTATGAAAGAGTATGAAAGATTAACTTTGCACACATAGCAAGGTTAGAGTTTACACACCAGCATTTCCTGCCAAACACGTAACATTTATCAGGTGAAGCAGAGAACTTAGACTAGGCAGATCCACAAAGCTGGACTCAACCATATGGTGGCTTAAGCCAAAAGCCCACACAAAAAGACAACTTTTTTCTTTTTTTAAAATTTTTCTGAACCATTTCTATACAACATTTTTAACTGAAGCATTAAAAGTGACAGTTTAGTTAACAGTATCACATATACAGTACACATTACATCCTAGAAAAAAGGACAAGACTTAAAAAGATATAACTTAGGTGCAAGCATTGATAATAGAATACTGATCAACATCAGTAAACCATTCAAAAAATAGCATTTATTATTACTACAACAAACCTTTTTCTTGGAAGTTTTCATTGAAGAAAAACATATTAGATTTCAGATAATGTTTCTTTCCACATACGTTCTTCCAGTAGGAGGCAGTAAAAGGAAAGTACCATTGGTTCCTGATTCCAAATTTTCCTAGATGGTAGGTGTAGTAGAAAGAGTTACAAAATTCATCCTCTTATATTTGTATGTAGAATATATCTCTTGCACAGAACTAGCTAAATCATTTAACTGACTCAAATTTGGAGCTGTGTTGAACAGATTTTAATAAAGTTGTCATTTAGATGAAACTTTTTTTTTCATTTTTACATTTTTTTAAATAAACACAGAGCAGACAGAAGAAAAGATGACATACAAACCGGAGAAAAGGTAAATTTCAAATCTTAAGATATGATGCCAAAAGTCCAACTCATTGTTACTCATAAAATTTAGGTATTAAAAAAATGCCACCTCTTTCTAAATACATGCTTGAAAAAAAAAATTATCATGAAATACACTCTGGGATGATAGGGAACAAGATAAAGTAATCAGGCAAATCAAAGTTTGTCTTAGTTATATGAAAGTATACTGCTGCTCATGGATTTGATTTTAATTAATGACCTGGAAGATTCCTCCCACTTTCACAAGGTCTCTAGCTGTTAGACTGCACTCTTTTATTGGAAATCTCAACAAAATCCCAAATTATTCTTTCAGATATTTGCTGTCCTTATGAAAAAATAAAAAAAGAGAGAGAAAAAGAGAACTTCATGTCTTGCTACAAATTCTAGTCCATTTGTCAGCTCTATTTGATTTCCGTTTACATAGAAAGACTTTCTTACGAAGTCTTTAATTTCAATAAGGCAGTTTTGCATGGCAGAGCTTCAACTCAGGTGAAATATTTTATTTTAATTTTAATTCCATAGAATAAGGAAAGCCAACTCTATTTCATTCAATGGCTGCATCTGTGGATGCTTCCAAAACATAACAGGCTCTGAATTAAAAGAACGCTATGTTCTTACCAGGAAAAATATTGCTGAAATACCAGCCACCTATAGAATATAAAATGGAGTCAAAGAACATCATCCAGCACATCCATCCAAAGGTCATGTATCCTCCTTGTGTAATGGGCTGGTACATATTATTCCAATGAATTCCTAGTTGTAGTAATAATAATAATAATAATGATTTTTAAAAGGTCAAAGGTAAATGAGTACAGCATTAAATATCACAAACACATCAACAACATACACGTCAAGGGTATTTAAGCACAGACAGAAAAAAAAAAAAAAAAGCTGAAGTTAATAATAGTAATCTTAACCGAAAATAAATGAATTGCCATGCCTTTCCAAGGCTATGTTTAGAACAGCAGGGTACACAGCTGCTGAGAAAAATTCAGAAAGCTTGTTATAAAATGGCTCTGTATGAAGTTTCAGCTGGCCCTTAATTTGGCAAAATAAAAAGTTAAAATTCTCAAAATGCTTCATTGAACTGTTTAATAAATCAGTTTTTTTGACAAACTGTTGATACTCAAGTTGGTTATACAAAGTTTCAAGTAATTTATATAACATTAAAACTAAAAAACATAACTAAGACTCCTTAGTTATGGAGGCTTTTGTGTGCAAAAGCCTTTGCACACAGGCTTTTGTGTGCATTGCCTTTGTTTAGACAGTAACTGGGACTACAAACACTAACTCTCTGAAGAATCACTTAAAAAAAGCATTTCTTCCCAGGACATGAAAGCAAGAAACAAGCATCAGCACTACAGGGAGCTACAGTATTTCTGAAAAGTAAAATAAAATTAGTTAAATCAACAATTCATAGAAGCATAGCATTATTTTTCTAAAAAGGGGCAAAAAAAACAAATTTGCAGTACAGTAGCTTGTGGAATTTTTTCCACAAGTCTTCTCCTACAATTCTTGAGAAAACTGGATTTCACAAAGTTTATTTTTGTCCCTCCAGATGCTGAATCTTCTATAGCTCTATTGGATTTCACTGAACTTAAAATTTGGTTTTGCACCTAACTCTTTCACTGGCCAAACATGCTTACTCTGCCATGTCTCAGAAGATGTGGAGACTTCCTTCTAAACTGCACCACCAGTAGAAAGATAGAACAAGTCTAAGCTCAGTTTCATTTCCTGCTTGAAACTTAGTGACACAAGCCTAACTTGTTTCAATGATCCTCCCTTATGATCTGTTCTGCTCACTGATGATTTGAGTTTCTTTCAGAGCAAAGATAATGAACAACATTCCCAAATGTAGTTACTTGCAAGCACAATTACAAAACTTTTCTCCAACTGGAGATCTTACCTACTTCTTGGCCTTCAAAGAATGTAATGAAAAATATGCCTTGCCCAAAGGCAGTTGTAGACAGAAGACACTACAATCCCAGAGGAGAAACAGGAAATGAATATCAAATAAAGTTCCATATAGCCAAAAAACTTGCAATATTCAAATAGCAAACAGAAAATAGAAGTTTACTGTTTCACACAGGCTAATAGTCATTTCTTTCTTTCAGATTTTAACAATAATCCCCCCACATACAGCAGTTATATTCACTCCAGAGTAAGGAGCTCCACTGCCTTAGTTAATTTTGTAAAACATTATTTAGCTTTACCAAAAACTATAGACCAACACAAATCTAACACATATTGGAAACATACAATGCATAGCACTGTAAGAACACATAAAGCAGGCCAGCTTTTCCTGATTTTATGCAGTATGAATTGTTTAGTTAGCTTAAGTTGATGTTAAATAGGTTTTCTTCTGAAAGAGTGAAGTCGTTAGATGTGAAGTACAGGACTGCATATACACTCGGATGTCTCAGTCAGGAATATGATATTAAGACAAACATAAAACAGTTTAGAGTATACATAAAACAGGAAAGGATATGAAATAATTGATGAAGTTACAAGGTACTTCAGACTGTACAAAACCGTTAACCACCAGCTAAATTCCTGATTAATACTTATGCACTCAAAGAAAAAAAAAGTTCCTGCAAAAATGGAAAAGTGGTCTAAAATGGATTCAACAGCAGAAATGCTGGATTTCTATGCAAGTCCTGCAATATTAAAAAACAGGAAATATTTAAACACAGATTACAGTTCTGCTTCTACCTAACAGTAAATCCCTACATTAGGCTTTGCAGTAGCCACACTCCATCTCCTGTTGATCAACATGAAGCACCCCAAAGCTATATGTACAGACACAGCTTATAACCACAAACAGGTATGTGCCCGAGTCAATTAGTCATTCCGAGCCTTCCCTGCAGTTGTGGCAACTGCAGCCTCTAGATTCTCAGATGTGCACTTAGACTCTGAACTTTAGATGTCCTTTTCAGGAGAAAGTCAGCCTAATATGTTTGATAAACATATTGCGAGAGCAAACATGGCCATGAAGATAGTTTTTACAATTTGCTCTAGACCTAAAATATTAGAGGTTTTGGACAGATTATTCAGGATAAGGCGTATGGCCCAGATCAACTGTTACACAGCTAAAGCTCTAGAATACCACTCTGATTCAAACCATCTTGTTTTATATTCTGCAAAGCCTGGAGACAAACCTGGGAGAAAAATCAGTAAATTATGATCTGCATTTTCAAAACTATAGAAATGCAAAGTATGGTTAGAAAAGGAAGAATTTTAAAAAGGGAAAAGAAATACTTAACTGTAACAATCTGGCTGACCAAACTCAGCTGGTTTTGCAGGACCAATAAAACTATGTAGGGTAAAAAACTTATCATATACACAAGGCTGGCGCACAGCGCTGCTGTATTGGCACTGTGAAAAAACGCTCCCAACAGATAGCTGAACATAATAACTGCCACTCCAAAATCCAGGAGGAAAAGGAAAATGAGGAAGCTGTTGCTGTAAGCAAAGATGCCACTCGCTTTCAAGATGACAACTAGAGCACAGCTGCTTATTGCAAGCACGATGACATTCTCCAGAAACCAAGCCAAGAAATGAACAGCTGGATGAACACCCATTGTCTTCATATACTGCAAGGCAATATAGCAAAGACACAAAGTTAAGATGCCTTTTTTTTTTTCTTTTTTAAGCAAAACATGTCACCACCAAGACACTACTAATTCCCAAAGAACAATACATGACACATTTTGTATGGATTGCAGGACCAGATGGAAGATTACTGTGTTCTCTGGTAAGGAGATTACATTTATATACTTTAAAAAGTACTCAATATAACTACACTGTAGTTTTCTTTTAATACACTGTTTTTTCTTTTAAATATATAGGACTAGAGGAAATGGCCACAAACTGAAGCACCAAAAGTTCCACAGGAACTTAAGGAAACATTTCTTGACAGTGAAGGTGACAGAGCCCTGGAACAGGCTGCCCAGAGAGGTTGTGGAGTCTCCCTCTTTGGAGATCTTTAAAACCTGCTTGGACGCAGCCCTGTGCCACGTGCTCTTGGTGACCCTGCGTGTGCAGGGGGGTTGGATGAGATGACCTATAGAGGTCCCTTCTAACCTTAAGCATTCTGTGATTCTATGATTCTATGTCTGTAAACCTCTATGCATTATTATGGAAATGATAATTTAGCTGGGTATGAGGATTCATCACTATTTACAAAAAAACAGTATTTGAAAATAAGATAAAATGACTTCTGAAGATTTCTTCATAACATGATCAAAATACATTTTCAAGACAATGTTAAATTAAGTACTTTTAATTATTTCAAAATCCTGAAAAAATGTCTATTCTACAAAATAGTTTAGAGAAATCAGATAATTTCCAAGATTCAGAAAAAAAGATTCTAGTAACATAAAAGACACTCTAATTATTCAAAAAAAAAAAGTTATATTTAGCCATTCAGAAAATATATCATAAAATATGCAAAATAAATGATTCTCATTATAATTCTGCTTATTATTCTTAGCTATGAATGGACATAGTAGCAATTAAATGTGTTCAGCATCTATGAAGAATAGACTCTCAAACCACCAGAACTCATTCCAACAACAAATTCCAGATGCAAATTTTATGAATCTTTTCCTTTTTGCTTTCTTTTATCACAGGAAAAAATATTTGCTTACTAAGGGGACTGATGGTTAAACTCAAAGCAATAATCTTGTGAATCTGAGTTGGCAGATGGAAACTGAACCTACTACCCAGAGGAAGTAACTGTAAAGAAAAATAGCAGAATAGTAAGTACTCCAAAGTATCTCAGTGTTTAAGCTGTGTATTTTAGTATGATCTCTTAAAGTGATTTTAATTTCAGAGGCTTAGCTTTCTCTTACCTCTTCAAGGTGAATTTCTCTTTCATAAACCAACTTGCGAACCATGCCAGCAACAGACACCATCCATGTTAACATCATCATTAGAGGAAAAAAAAACCCTATATTGTTCAAGAATCTATAAAAAATGCACAATTGTCAGCCCTCAAATTAAAACAGTTTTAAGCAGAATATTTGCAGCAGGATTATTCTCAAAATACAGACTAGTAAGATTTGAGATGAGCCCTAAAGCTTATCCTTCATTAGGTAAGACAACTTGTATATTTATTTTTCATTCAACTAGCTAAGTCCATGTAATAGTACTATAATTTTATGTTAGCATTTGTTGATAGTGAAACTCATTGATCTCTCTCTGGGGTGATGTGCCTCCAATACATAGGAAATTGCAAATTCAGATTTGTGTCAATTGTGTCAAATGAACACACTGGGATTGCAAGAAGGATCATAAGCCAGTCAACATTTCTTAACAGGTTTCTCACCAACAAACTTACATAATGATACTCAGAGTGTTATGATGGTTTTACAGAGAATCACCCCATACTTTCTTTTGCTCACATCACCTTCACACTATATTTCATCCCTAGAAACCAAATCTCAGTTTGATAGCTAAGGATAGAAAGCGAGTTTCTTATCATGCTCTAAGCTACCTTCACAGATGTTGATGCTGCCTCTGCTCAACAGGCTACTCTGCTGTACAGCTGGGAATAGCATTTAAGGGGTCACTTGCTGGACAGAGGTTACACAAAGTGCTGTGGACCCAGCTCAACAAAATTGCTTACAGTGTGACTGACATTTAAGTACCAGGCATACGGGTTCAAATGCTATGCATTCACCCATTACAAAAAACCAACAGCTTTCCACTCATTGCTAACCTAATAATACAGAAAACATACTTACAAATCACTGGTATGACAAGGATAAGGCATGGCTTGCACCTGAATTGCTGGTTCTGAGGTATCTGTCCCAGTGTGTACCAAAATAATTGCCCTTTCAATCATGTCTTGCAGAGGAACGAAGATATGGTTGTATTTAAACCCATCAGCTGGCAAGTTTTGGGGATGAGATTTCCACATGGGATTTTTTATCAAATCTGTCCTCATGCTATAGAGAACACTGGTCCTAATTGTATATGAAATGTGTTGCGGAAGTTTTCTAGAATCTTGTGTCTCGTTATTTGGCACATTGAAGATGATACCTGACACAACAAGGAAAAACATTTAAGTCTCATTTAACTTTTTTTTTTTTTTTTTTTTTTTTTTTTAAATGCATAGCTAACTGTGGCCAGCTATCAAAATACAATAGGATACAGGATCTACTCATTTATCAGAACAGGCCTTTTTGAAGTACAGTACTTTCTTGGCTGACAACCAAAAACGGTAGAGGCCATAAAGAGGCCACCTATTCTACATTCATATTTAGTCACATGATAAACGGGTTAGCAATGATCCTTTTTATCTGAGAAAATCCCTTCTGTGATTTGCCTTTTAGAACTGCAGCTTCTTTTTCTCTCTGGATTTAATCCATTTGGGAGGACTGATCTCAATTCCACAGTGAAATCAGCAACCAGAAAAATTGTCCAAAGCATAACCACTTATGGAAGTGGCTGAAAAAGAAAAAAGTACTAACCAACTATAATTGACTTCAATTATTATTTTCAGAGTTAATTAAATAACTTCTGGCTTAACACATTTTTTTAATTAGTATTTTCTCTAGTTCTGTAAAAGCTTCATCTACATTTCTTTTTATCTGTAGCTGCAAAGAAGAAGTCAAATGCAGTAAACTGACCGTATTTTCCTATTGGAAATTGGATCCTCTATTGGATAATAGAGACATTTTAGGATTTCTTGATGAATACGAAAAGCTGCTTTTTCCTTAGAAAACGAGGAAGATCTATCACCTAAACCATCTAGCTCTCAAAAAGTCAAAAATCATGGAATACTTTAGTCTTTGTTGTATAGCTTATTTTTTCAACTAGCCAAATAAATTTCTCCATATGTACAAACAATTTTCTAAGTTCCATGAGGCTATGAAGTTTGCAAGCAAATAAAACAAGTCTGCTGCAGTTGCACATCTTTATATGGAAAGGAATATATGAGTACATCTGAAAAGGTAGTATGGGCAGACTGAACATGCAAGGACTCTAAGTCCTCAAAGCAAGCTGTATATTGGTATACCAAATGCCTGCAAAATGGATCCACAGCACGACACCTCATTTTCCTGAGGGCCAGGATCTGTCCATCTTCTCTTTAAGAGTAATCTCATTTCCAACAAAGATGCTCTTCAGTAGCTCTCCTACTACAGCATGTATGGGCTGTTGGCTTTATACTGATGCAGGGTAGCTATTCCCACAGTCTGCAAATGAATGGACTGCACAGGTGACAGAAAAGGCACAGGAGTCCAGACCATCTAAGCGTTATTCTTATGTATTGCTTTAGTACAGTTCTAATGCTTCATTCTTCCAAACCACTTTATCAAAGTTTCTCTTGTGAAGGGGTTTCTTTTGTGAAAACCAAAGCATTTAGGGAAAAAAAGTATTATGGCACATGTTATACAGACTTATATAACAGTATTATTTGTTTTCTTTAGGAAAGACAACATGCAATTTTAAAACAATTTCACCCAAGGGGATAATATATGCAATAGAAACATTTTTTCTTTTAAACACTTTTCAGCGCAATTAATTGCTGAATTTCAGCAATAAGCATGTTACATAAGAAAAGGATAAAGTGTGTAATCCCAGAAGGTAAAAGAAATAGCATCAGTTGCTTAAGAATCAATTTACTCTGAATAAACAAGTTAATTTCTCTAAGGTGCTTAAGAGGAAAACTTGAAAAAAAATCTTGTTTTCTCTATTTTGTAAAGCCAAAGAATATGAAAATTAAATTGCAAAAGGAGAAGATATGAAGGTGTTTTGCCTTCATATCTTAATAACTAATAAACAGTTCAGTTTTCTCAGTAGTGTATTTTTTTTCAGTTCATTCTCTTCCATTTTAAATGCTTATGGTTTTCTTTTTTCTATGATATAATTTGTTAGAAATAAAAAATCCGAGAATTTATTTTGGAAATCCACAATCAAAACAACAATGCAGCTTGTCTTAACTGCATATTTTACCGTATTCAGATGTTAGGAAATACCTGAAGTAAATGGGCACTATTTTGCCCATATTATGTGTGTTTCAATATATGAAGTGGTGCAAACTTAACCAAACCTGAAAATAAGTACTGACAACGACATTTCTGCAAAGTCTGCTGTTTTCTGTCAATATACATTTTAACTAAGATACTTACTAGCCAAAAAATTATTTTGCTGCATGAGCTCACGAGCCTTCTCTTCCAATTTATCAACAGATTCAAAAGGCTGGAAACGATCCAGTAATACACAGGAAGAGATATCTACTAAGAGCTGTGATAACAGGTCAATCTGTTTAGTGGCTGAGCTGTTGAGCATCTTGTCCATCATAGTCTCTAAAAGGAAGAAACAAATTGAACTGTCTTAGTTTTAATGAATTAAACAGAACAGAAAGGTATGTCTTCTCCCACACATCCCTCAGAAATAAAACACCTTTTGCAAAAAAGACTTTCGGGGAGCAGTTTTCAAACACATAGGAATATAAGTATGTTCCTCTATACAAAGCTATATTTCATTTCAATTTCTTGGCTAAAAAACAAGTTGTTCTGGGAAAAAAAAAGAACAAGACCACAAAGTTACAGAATGCATAACATTTCCTCACCCTAACATAGCTACTCACTCAAATGTGAGAAAATTATTCCATTTGTGACGTCCCAGAACAGACATCTTCCTTTTTCTTCCAGAAATACATTGAGTAGTTCTTACCTCCTCGGCATTGCTAAAGTTTCAGGAAGATTGACACATATTGCATAAGTAGGTAGATTGAAGCTCCATATTTAAAAAGCAATAAAACTAGAACCTCCCCATTTCCATTTGTATCTCACTTATGGATTCAATGTGAAGGTACACACTGATCCATAGCTCGGGGTCTAAACACACTGAGCTTTTGGAGGAGTTCAGATCTCCATCCACTCTCAGAAAAGCCCTTAAGCTTGAGAAAATAATTAGGATAGTACAAACTAGAATCTGAATTCATCTGAATGTCATAAGAATATCCATTTTTCCAAGTAACAAACAACAAGCTACAGAATATCTAAAACAGGTTTCCATCTTCAGCTGTTCAAGACACTTGAACATATAGGCAGAGATAAAGAAAGATCACGAGGAAGAGCCAGTAAAGGAACTGACAGTGTAGACAAGCAAGTAATCACAGAATCACACAGAATATTCAAGATTGGAAGGGACCTCTACAGATCATCTAGTCCAATCTTCCTGCTCAAGCAGGCACACCTAGAGCATGTGGCACAGGGTGGCATCCAGGTGGGTTTTGAAGACCTCCAGACAAGGAGACTCCACAACCTCCCTGGGCAGCCTGTGCCAGGGCTCTGTCACCCTCACAGGAAAAAAGTTCCTCCTCCACTGGAGACAGAACTTCCTGTGCTCCAGCTTATGCCCATTTCCCCTTGTCCTATTGCTGGCCACCAATGAGAAGAGCTTGACCCCTTCTTCTCTGCATTCTCCCTTCCTGAACTTATACACATTAATCAGATCCCCTCTCAGCCTTCTCTTCTCCAGAGAAAACAGGCCCAGTTCACTCAGTCTCTCCTCACACAAGAGATGTTCCATTCCCTTAATCATCCTACTTGCTCTCCACTGGACCCTCTCTAGGAGCTCTACGTCCCTCTTATACTGGGGTGCCCAGAACTGCACACAGTACTCCAGGTGCGGCCTCACCAGAGCTGAGGAGAGGGGCAGGATCCCCTCCCTTGACCTGCTGGCAACACTCCTCCTGATGCAGGCCAGGATCCCATTGGCCTTCTTGGCCACGAGGGCACACTGCTGACTCATGGTTAACTTGGTGTCAACCAGGACTCCCAGGTCCCTCTCCGTGGAGCTGCTCTCCAGCAGGTCGACCACTAATCTGTACTGGTGCTTGGGGTTATTCTTCCCCAGGTGCAGGACCCTGCACTTGTCCTTATTGAACCTCATGGGGTTCCTCTCTGCCCAACTCTCCAGCCTGTCCAGATCCTTCTGAATGGAAGCACAGCCCTCTGGAGTGTCGGTCATTCCACCCAGCTTGGTGTCGTCCGCAAACTTGCTCAGGGTGCACTCCGTGCCCTCGTCCAGGTCATTGATGAACAAATTGAACAGCACCGGGCCCAGTACTGACCCCTGGGGGACACCACTGGCCACAGGCCTCCAACTGGCCTCGGCCCCATTTATCACCACCCTCTGAGCTCTGCCATCCAGCCAGCCCTCGATCCACCGCACCGTGCACTCGTCTAGCCCACTCTCCCGGAGCTTCCATATGAGGATATGATGGGAGACGGTGTCAAGAGCCTTGCTGAAGTCAAGCTAGACAACATCCACGGCTCTCCCCTCGTCCAGCCAGCTAGTCATCCCATCATAGAAGGCTATGAGGTTCATCAGAGATGACTTCCCCTTGGTGAATCCATGCTGACTGCTCCTCAACACCTTCTTCTCCTTTATATGCCTGGGAGATTCTCTCTAGGATGAACTGCTCCATCACCTTTCCAGGGACGGAGGTGAGGTTGACCTAATGATAGGGTTAAATCATGCATTGAGAGAAAACAGCCCCAAATACAGATAGAGCCTATGTCTATTAACTGCTGTCTTTCAGGACACTGAAGGAAACATATATGCTTGGACTTATACTGAAGCAAAGAAACAAATATTTTTAATATTCATCATAAGTAAGAGTTAAATTTTCATATATATTACATAAAGTTATCTTGATAATATGAAAACATACAATCCTGGTGAATTTTTAAAATATATAGAAATATTTATAACTGTATAATATTGTAGGATTACCTATCTTGTATTTTTCTCATTTATAAATGTAGCAATCACAAACTTCGTGAAACAGTTTTTATTAATATCTTTGTATTTTGTTAAAAAAAAACCTCAGCCTTTACCTCCCACTTGGCTTACCCTATAAATTAATTGGGAGAGAATAACCGTTTATTACAAAACTACTAGGTAGAGATGCTTTTTAAGCAAATGATTGCAAGAAGAATAAATTGTCTTGTTCCATTACAAAATAAGATCATAAGCCCACATATGCCTCACATAAGCCAAGGGAGCATACCTGTCTCTCTCCTTGCTTCCTGAAAGGTTCCTAAAGAGCCTGTAAATCCCATCAGGACAGGGATTATGTAAAATTGGTTAAAGGCAGGAAAGTATTCAGAGTTGCTCAGTTAGAAAGCAAGGCTAGAGAAACGGAATTTAGTTGGAGACTAGTTTAAAGAGAGATTAGCTTTTTTAAAAATAAACATCCTCCCTACAAAAAAGCAGAGCAAATAAAATACCACTAAAGCTGTTAAACACCTTAAATGTGAGTGAAGATATAATAAAACAAGGGAATATTTGCCTCAGTGACAACAGGAGTACATAATCATACAGTTTAGGTGATTTTAGGAATCTTAGATGGAAATAAATAGATTATGAGTAGAAAAAATCAAAACATATGTGGCTAGATTTAAGACTTTAATTGGATTAACACAGTTGAAAAGTAATGAAAGAGGTTTATATAAACAGCTGTACCTGGGTAAAGACTAATAAAATGATCTAAAAGAACATATATGAACAAAAACAACAAAAATAAATACAGTTATTTTTCAAAAAACAAAGTGACATGATTAATAAGTGCAGTCAAAGTATTAGTGCGGAACTATGTCTTAACACACAATAACGTCTGACATCTGATTTCAGTGACATCAAAACTATGTCTGACATCTGATTTCAGTGAGATGGACCAAGATCAGTTTCACAAAGGCATGTATGCTATTATGATCCATAGTTTATATCAATTTTTGCTAATGTTTAACAATAAAATTAAGAAATTTAAGATAAATAAGCTATACTACTTAAATGATTTCCTATGCTCACCATCCAGCATTATTAACCACTCGCTTCACATTGGCTAGTGAGGGGCCTTTAATTCAGTTCAAAAGCCAGAACTCGACAAATATACACAGATTTCTACAACAACATTGTCTCCAACAGCAAAGATGGACCTGACAATTCCTGTCACCTACGTAATGAAATATTACTTGCCGGTAACCTATCACATAGTCCCCTATATTTAAACCCATACAGTAAAGAAAAAAATCCATCTATTAATTAATATATGAAGACAGATATGTTTCCAGAAAATCTTAAAGATTTCTTTACTCTTTCTTTTTCTTGTTATCTTTCCAGTTGTATGATTTTAGCTGTATTGTGGTCCAGTTTAAACACTGAGGCGAACAGTGGCTGACCAAGACTAGCTTACAGTGCAATGGTTAAGCAAATCTCCCTTAAAAATGGTTCGTATAAGTGAGGCTAACAGTACTGAGTTGAGATCTCTTATATCTGGATTACATTTTGCACACATTTCATGTTTCCTAGTAAAAGTGTGTGCAGCTAGTGAAAACCTTCAGCCATAGCCTCCAAATCAAGGCCATCAGTTTCAGTGAAGTCTCTTGTGCTATAGGTGCAAATGGAAAAACAACAACTTGAGGTCATGTCAACCATGATGGTAGCAGCTCAGGGCTGCCGCAGAATTTAAGATAGAGAGTAATAAACAAATAAACCAAGCACTCAGGAACATGCATGGATTTGGTGGATCTCCTGCTTAGAGACAGGTACATAAATCCAACATAAATCATCTCTTCAAGTATGTAAATGTTATTATCTCTCCTTTACAGATTAAAACAAAAGTCTTAGCATAATCTATATCTCCTGCAAAAGTCATTTTTTTTCCTAGCAAAAGGGGCCACACAGCCTCTCCATGGAGACATGCGAGAGTGCATCACTGCCTGTCTCCATCTTGTCACTGAAACAATTTGTGCTTGTTTCCTAACTATCCTAATATTCACTGATAACAAAATACACAGATCTCTTACTCCACTTCCCTTTCTACAGACTCAAAACTCAAATTCTTAAAAGACTTATAGTATGCCTTTGTGGGAATAGTGCCTTCCAACACCACCAGCAACAAATTTAATTAGTATTCTACTTAATGATAAAGGAACCTTTTCATCATCAAATCCTTTAGAAATCTTTAAGTGGAAATGCTTTTGAGCATAGTCCTTTGTCTCTTTTTCTGTTTGTTTTGTTTAGTCCCTGCATACCCTAAATTACTCATAACGACCCCCTCAACTCCTCATATAAACCATTCCGCTATGGATCAGTTGAACCTCAAGCAGACTCTCAGAGGTTTCAGGGAGTTCAGGAAATTGTTCATAACTAATGTCTGGTACAAAGAGAAAAACAGAGAGCTTTTGCAGCCTTGTTTAAAAGGAAAGGGGGGAAGAAAAAAGAAGAAAAAGAATGCAATGTGATTTACTTCCATTTAAAGCACAGATTCCTTAAAATTTACTATCAAAATTTACAACTACATAATAAAATTATAGCTGCCAAGATCACTTCTCTCCTCCTTCCTCTCCTTCCTCTCCTTCCTTTTAAATACATCTCCTATATTAATAGCTCCTCTATGACCATCTGTCACTTCTAATTTCTTCCCAAGTTTGTAATTCAATAGCTCAGGTCTTTAATATTTTAAAATGGAAATGGCCCAGTCCCTCAGAAAAAAAAAAAGAAAAAAAAAGAAATTTGAAACCAATTTAGCAAGAGAATATGAAGGTGGGAACAACATTCAATTTCAAATAAACAGCCCTAAGTTTAAGATAAAATAGACTTATGAAGTCTAATAAGTACTTTCACATACATACCATATGTTTGTATATCTTCAATAAGCTTTCCCATGTCAATATTTAAGTGACTTTCTACAAACTGTTTTATGAACTTGTTGTGCAGTGCTTCCTAAAATAAAAGTGTCAGAAGATGTTATATATGTTAATCCCTACTAAATAATATCAAATATACCTATTGATTCACATTCAGATCTCCTACAAGGACTTCCCCCATGACAGTGGAAAAGGCACAGTCTCCACATTTTCAGTTTTTACCCACTAATGAGGTTAACTCTCCACACCGCTAAAATACAGTTTACATACCTCCCCACTATCTGCTTTTGCTCCAGATATTTTAACTGTGAGTCAGTTCTAACCTCCTTGCAAGTCTGCTGGGACCAAAATCCATTTTCTTTTTTCTTCCACAATTCTGGGGCATTGTTCTATCAACTCTGGCAGTGGTAAAATAAAAAGCTTTTAAAACTGAAATCTGTTTTTTTGTTGTTGTTGATTGTTTTGTATTGTTCCCACTATGATCTCATTTGCTAACTTCTAAAGTGAGGGGGACGAGGGGGAGAAGAAGTGTTAGGTCTACCAGACCAATCATTCTGTGATTCTGTAACAGTCCTACAGTTGATTTGCCTATTTTCCCCATGGTGTAATAGCTATGCATGCTTTTAGAAATAAAACACAACAAAATATATATACAGATATAGAACATGATGAAAAATTTTACTTTAAAACAATTGCTACTTTTCACAGCTATTTTGTATCAGTTGTATACACTGCTGGAAAAAGCATTTTGTTGTTTTATTTATTTTGTAATACTTATTTCAGTATTCAGCTGAATTTCAGTAGGTTCAGCTACTTATTTCCCTTATTGCTTTCAAATACTGGATGCAGTGAGGTAAGATTGTTTTTCAGCTCAAAAGGTTTATCACTGCGGGCTCATTATTTAAAACAAATCTACCTCTCTCACCTTTTTTCAAACCTGCCTATCAAAAGATAGCAGAAAATTCTATATATGGGAATTTTGTACAGGTCATGTTCACAAACCTGCAGCCGAGATACCACAAGACTTTTTCTACTGTTTTTAAAAACCTCAGACATCCTAAGCCACGTCTGAGAATAAGTCTTCAAACTTTCCACAAAAGCAAAGGTGAAATTGGCCTGGGAAAAAGAGGGAAAAAAAAAATAAAGTAAATAGATTTTGCAGTTTCTATAAATGTACAGTTTTATTTTTCTTCTTCTTTTTTTGTCTCTGACAAATTACAAAAATGCTTTAGAAAGACAACTTGGAGCATATTTAAAATAAAGTCTCCGTAACTATTTTGGGTCATGCATTAGTTGTTGTATATACAATATATGAGGTTGTCTGAACATATAACAGTTGGAAACATGGTTTGGACCATAAAGACAATTGAGCAGAATTTGTAGAAACAGAGCAAGGCTTGACTGTAGCATAATATCTTCTTTCCAGCTATAGCTTCTCTCTGTCACCAGTAAATAGCCACCAACTTTATTCCAAGCTGATTTGGCAAGTCACAGGTGTTCTCAAGATTAAAAAATAGGATAGTATCTTTTTGTTCGAATTAGTATTTTCAGTCATGTAAGTGTATTTGGGAGCTACATTTCTCCATTACAAGCTAGCGTTGTTAATTCAGTAGAAATGGTGTAGAAAGTCTTTGCTTGGAAATGATATGGAGTTATAAACTGCAATTTGGGACCACACTTTTCGTGATAATCCCTACTGAAAGTACATGGGCTTTTTCCACCCCTAGCATACGTGGTACACTGAAGCACCATGCAATACAGGAGAAAAGCTGCAGTTGTTCTTTCATATTGAAGCCAGTTTCATTTGTTTCACACAAAGAAATGCATTTATTCAGCATAAATAAGAGTCCCTAGTTCACCTTCCAAAGGGATAAGAAATATTATACTGAAGTTTTGTGTCAAGTCAGCTAAACGAAGTTCTCTGTTTAACAGGTAACACGGAATGGCCAGGCCTGAACAAAAAAATTATTTAGCTCATTGACAATGTAGGATGGTGGCAAGTTGAGGGAGATAAGAAAAGTTCGAAGTGTAGCAAACAGTAGAAATGGGAGATTTCAGTTTTCCCAGTGCAGAACAAGCATAGGTCACAGTAGAACATGATGAAATCAAATTTTCAGACATCATTAAAAACGGTTAGATGGAAGAGTTCATCAGGGAGCTCAGAAGAACTCACATCTCAGTGCTCCTTGACTTAATTTTAAGCTGCACAAAGGATTTTTTTTTCCTGAGTCACTTTTAAAGAGTCACATTAAACATAGCATGTTTGCATATTACACAAAAGTCAAAAAGATTTACAACAGCCTCATAAATTGTTGAAAAGATGAACTTCATACAGTACAGAAACTTCTTACAAGGAAGCTAAAAGCATCAGCTGGGGGTAAAGAGATTAAAGGCAGCATATTGGAAAGTGAACAAATACATACTGTCTATCTAAAAAGGCTCAAGACCAGATACATACACATATCTACACATAAACCACTATTCAGCTGGGAAGTTATTAGAAAACACCCTTTAGAAAGATGAAGTTGAATCCACATGAGGTGAGAAAATATGCAAAATGTGGTTTTTTGTTGTTGCTTAGGTTCAGTTACAATTTGTCCATTTTATTTATTTTCTTCCTCATTCACCATAGCAATCTTAGGGAAATTTCCAAGTCAGAATCTGTCTACATGGAGGACACTTCAGAGAATTAGTCTCAAATTGAAGTGCCAGTAAAGGTCACATAATTTAACAAAATGAGCAATGACTAATTTCCAGCAGTAGATAATATCCAGCCCAAAACTCTATGATGAAATAGCTGAAGTACTCACTGCAGTGTAACCTCTTGATTAAAATTGCCTTGGTATGAGGGAACTGAAGGATAACAACTGCAGCCCTACTCACAGGAAAAGATGTAGGGGGACCAGGAGGCTACAGACTAATAAGTCTGAAATTCTTACTAAGTAAATTTTAATTCTTCTATAATGAATGATGAACTAGAAGAAAGAATAGCAGCAGAAAAATGCATATAGCCAAGAGCTATATATATACATATATATATACAGTGTGGGATTTTTAAAGAGCAAATGCACCTCTATTTTTTGAAGAAATTAAAGAACATGAGAATGAGGTTGATAGAGAGCACCTCACCATAGGTGCAGTCCTGTGGACACAAAGAGCCTCCATAAACTCAAAAACAGCAAGTGAATAAATTATGACAGGAAAATCATGATCAGTCTCTGAACCACAAGTTGTGGGAAACTGGCACAGTATTTTGGGGAATCATCACTGTACTACCATGCTCATGAACATTCCCTGTGCACTGTTTGTCAGCTAGATGCAGAGACCAGATCTGGCATAGGATGAAACCTTAATCTAACCTGGTAAAATGATTTTGGTGAGCTTATGTTCTAATGATTATCTGGCTTTGATATTCAATAAGAATTATCTTCAAGTTCTCCTTTTCTTTCTGATAAATGGAAATATATTAAAATAAACATTTTTTCAACATCCAAGCTGGACACTGTCTGATTAGCCTTAGTCTTGAATATCAAGGGTGTGTCTGGACTGAGTGAACTTCTTCCTGATGTACATACAGATAAAAATATATTTTAGGCCTGCTTAGTTGCCTTTATAATGGCATCTTACCAAGATGAAAAGTATGCTTATACAAAATCAGGCAGACAATGCGCATTTAGAATAACTTTCCCAATTCATCATCAATTTTCTAAAGAACAGAAGGCATGAACTAAAACAATTAATACAACAGACTATCTTTCTTTTAAATTGTTTTGTTATGCTAATATACACATTCTGACTGTTCAAATTATAAAGAAATAGCATAAAATCATTCCAGAGTGATTTCCTCTATATAACATCAATTCTGAGACTTTTTTTAAACCACAGACTAGTTTCAGCTCATCAGTGGTGAGGGTTCTGCTGTGAAAACAAGGATCAAAGACTGCACGCTTGGTCTTTCAATTCCTAGGTGCCATTTGGCACTGAACGTCGTTGCTGTTAGTCAAGTCTTCTGACACACCTCTGAGGGTCAGGGCTATCCTACATATCAAAATAGTTGGCTTCTAGGCATGTAAAACTTCACAACTCTAAAGGAGAGTTAAATACACTCTTGAAAAAAATATTCCATGTGATTAACTCATAGAAAATATCTTAATATGCAAGTATCAATAGCTTCATCTTTCCCAAAGGGGGAAGATGGTCCTAGTTCATGAGCAGGGTCCATCAAGAAGGCTTTAAACTAGATTTGAGTGGGGAGGAGGGTATCATCCTAGAAAGAGGAGACTGGTAAGGTAGGGGATGGCCTGCCATGCCACTTGCACCAGCCTAACTCCAGAGCCAGTGAAGGATGCTTGAAGCCTGGAGAGAGATAACAGCAAAATATTACAGCTGCCTCAGCTAGAAAGAGAGGTACATTGGGAGCTCAACTCAAATGCGTCTATGCAAACGCAAGCAGCATGGGGAATAAAAAAGGAGAATTGGAGAGGCATGTGCAACTGCAGGGCCACGATCTAACTGCAGTTACTGAGATATGGTGGGACAGCTCTTGTGACTGGATGGCTTTATGCTTTTTAGGAAGGACAGGCCAGAAAGGCAAGTTGGCAGATTTGTTCTTTACATGAGAGAGCATGAAGCTCGCCACAGCAGAGAACAAAGCACGAGTTGAGAGCCTGTAGGTGAGGATTAAGGAGCAGGCCAAAAAGGGTGACTCTGTGGTGGACGTTTGCTACAAGCTCCCTGATCAGGAAGAGGAAGTGGATGAGGCCTTCTGCAGAAAGCTGCAAGTAGCCTCACAATCACAGGTCTTGGTCTTTATAACGGACTTTAACCACCCTGATGTCTGCTGGGATGACCACACAGCTAAGGACAGTCCAGGAGGTTCCTGAAGAACATGGCAGATAGATAACATCTTGATGTAAATGGCAGGTAAGCCAACTAGGGAAGGGGTGCTGCTAGACCTGATACTAACAGAGATTGTCTAATTGGAAATGTGAGGGTTGGAGACAGTCTTGGCTGCAGTGACCATGAGATGTTGGAATTCACTATCTTGTGAGGAGGAAGTTGGGCAAGAAGTAGGACTACAACCCTGGACTTCAAAAGAGTCAATTTACACCTCTCCAGGGACCTCCTGGGAGGAATCTTGTGGGCAAGGATACTAGAAGGTCCAGGAGAGTTGGCTAATATTCAAGTATCACTTTCTCCAAGCTCAGGATTGGAGCATACTGACAAGAAAGATATCGAGCAGAGGGGCAGGAGACCTGCGTGGATGGTGAAGGAGCTCTTTGGAAAACTTAGAATAGTGTGGGTTAGATGAGTGGACAGTGGGGTGGACTAAGAACTATAATGTGGTAGAAAGACCAGAGCACATGGGAACAATATAGGAGCATTGTCAGAGAATTTAGGGATGCTACAAAGAAGGCTAAGGCTCATTTAGAACCAGAGTTAGCAAGAGAAGTCACGGACAAGAATAGCTTCTTCAAAGACATTAGCAACAAGAGGAAGACTAGGGAAAATGTGGACCCACTGCTAGATGGGATGGGTTACGGACCATACCTTGATTATGGAGTATGCAGAGAAGGCAGAGTTACTAAAGGCCTTCTTTGCGTCCATCTTTATTATCGCTAAGGTGAGTCCCCATGACACAAGCCCAGACACAAGAGAGAAAACTAGAAGACCAGAAGACTTTCCGCTGGTCGAGGAGGATTGGGTTAGGGATTATTTAGGCAAACTGGCCACCCATAAATCTATGGGCCTGTATGGGATGCACCCAAGAGTGCTGAGAGAACTGGCAGGCATTATTGCTCAGCTGCTCCCCATCATCTTCAAGAGGTCATGGAGAGCAGGGGAGGTGTCAGAGGACTGGAAGAATTCAATGTCACTCTAGTCTTCAAAAGGGCTAGAGGATCTGGGAAACTATAGAACAGTCAGCCTGACCTCTGTCCCTGGAAAGGTGATCGAGCAGCTCATCCTAGAAACCCTCTCTAGGCACATCAAGGAGAAGATGATCAGGAGTAGTCATCACGGATTCACTAAGAAGTAGTTATATTTGAGCAACCTGATAGCCTTCTACGATGAGATGACAGGCTGGATGAGCAGTGGATGTTGTCTACCTTGACTTCAGCAAGGCTTTCAACACTGACTCCTATAACATCCTCATGGAGAAGCTCAGGAAGTGTGGCACAGTGAGGTGGATGGCAAGCTCAGAGGGTGGTGATAAATGAGGCCAAATCTAGTTAGAGGCCTGTGGCCAGTGGTGTTCAGCAGGGATCAGTACTGGGAGTGGTGCTGTTCTACTTGTTCATCAATGACTTTGATGAGGGGACAGAGGGCATTCTGAGCAAGTTTGCAAACGATACTAACTGGGTGGAGTGGTTGACACTCCACAGGGCTGTGCTGCCATTCAGAAGGACCCAGACAGGTTGGAGAGTTGAGCAGAGAGGAACCTCATAAGGTTCAACAACTTGTTCAACAAGTGCAGGGTCCTGCACCTGGGGAGGAACGACCCCTGGCACCAGGACAGATTAGGGGTCAACCTTCTGGAAAGCAGCTCCGCAGAGAAGGATCTGGGAGTTGACACTAAGTTAACCATGAGCCGACAGTGTGCCCTCGTGGGCAAGAAGGCCAATGGGATCCTGGCTGCATCAGGAGGAGTGTTGCCAGCGGGTTGAGAGAGGGGATCCTACCCCTCTACTCAGCTCTGGTGAGGCCACACACGGAGTACTGGGTGCAGTTCTGGGCTTCTTAGTACAAGAGGGATGTGGAACTTCTAGGGAGGATCCAGTATCGGGCAACAAAGATGATTAAGGGACTGGAGCATCTATCTTATAAGGAAAGACCAAGAGAGTTGGGGCCTGATTAGCCCGGAGAAAAGAAGACTGAGAGGAGATCTTAACATATAAAAGTTTCTGAGGGGAGAAGGTAAAGAGGATGAGGCCAAACTCTTCTCATTGGTGGCCAGTGACAGGACAAGGGGCAATGGGTACAAACTGAATCATAGGAAGTTCCATCTCCATGTGAGGAAGAACTTCTTTACTGTGAGGGTGACAGAGCCCTGGCACAGCCCCTGCCCAAGGAGGTTGTGGAGTCTCCTTCTCTGGAGGTCTTCCAAACCTGCCTGGACATGGCCCTGTGCCAAGTGGTCTGGGTGTCCCTGCTGGAATAGGGGATTTGGACTAGGATTAGGAATTAGCTGGATTAATTGGTGGATTAGGAATTGGCTCGATGGCAGGGTGCAGAGAGTGGTAGTGAGTGGTGGGTAGTCTAGCTGGAGATCTGTAGTTAGTGGTGTCCCCCAGGAATCTGTCCTCGGTCCAGTCCTGTTCAACTTACTCATAAATGACGTGGATGAAGGGATGGAGTGCTCCCTCAGCAAGTTTGCTGATGATACCAAACTGGGAGGGATAGCTGAGGGCTATGCTGCCATCAGGGACCCGGACAGACTAGACAACTGGGTGGTTAGAAATCTCATGAAGTTCAACAAGGGCAAGTGCAGGGTCCTGCACTTGAGGAGGAATAACCCCGGACACCAGTACAGATTAGAGGTTGACCTGCTGGAGAGCCAGCCCTGCAGAGAGGGACCTTGGTGTCGTGGTGGATGACGAGTTGACCATGAGGCAGCAGTGCGCCCTGGTGGCCAAGAAGGCCAACGGGATCCTGGGGTGCATTAAGAAGAGCGTCTCCAGCAGGTCGAGGGAAGTGATCATCCCCCTCTGCACAGCCCTGGTGAGGCCACATCTGGAGATTGTGTCCAGTTCTGGGGTCTTGTGTCCAGTTCTGGGGTCCCCAGTATAAGAAGGATGTGGAGCTGCTGGAGGGAGTCCAGTGCAGGACTACGAGGATGATCAGGGGCCTGGAACATCTGTCCTATGAGAAAAGACTGAGAGAGCTGGGCCTGTTCAGCCTGGAGAAGAGAAGGCTGAGGGGGGACCTGATCAGTGTGTATAAATACCTCAAGGGAGGCAGTGAGGAGGAGGGGGCCGGCCTCTTTTCAGTGGTGAACAGTGATAGGACTAGAGGAAATGGCCACAAGCTGAGACACCAAGAGTTCCACAGGAGCTTAAGATCATACTTGACAGTGAAGGTGACAGAGCCCTGGAAAAGGCTGCCCAGAGAGGTTGTGGAGTCTCCTTCTCTGGAGATCTTTAAAACCCGCTTGGATGCAGCCCTGTGCCACGTGCTCTAGGTGACCCTGCGTGAGCAGGGGGGGTTGGACTAGTTGACCTCTGAGGTCCCTTCCAACCTTAAGCATTCTATGATTCTATGACTAGATGATCTCTAGAGGTCCCTTCCAACCTCAACCATCCTGTGATTCTATTTTCAGCATAAATCCTCTACTTTCTCCTCCTAGTAGACAGCTACCATGGGGATCATAAAGTCCAAAGGACATTAAAATTTCTATTCCGATTTCAGTAGGACTACATAAGGGTGACAAGATTAGGTTTTAGTACCTGTGTTTGGAATACCTGGGTAAGTATTTTGGATTTAAAAGTCATTTCTCTTCAGAATATATAAAAAATCCAAAAAAAAAAAAAAAAAAACCTTGTGTAAAAGCTTTTCTATTATGCTCATTTTTATATACAGAAAAACTTTTTTTTTTTTGTCAGTTCTTAGGTTTAGTGGGAAGCTTTGGTAGGTGATGCAAGGGGTTATAGAGAAACCTACATAAGCAGATGGAATATTTCAAGTCTAAGAATATTTACAGACACTGCTGTAGAAGCATCTACCAGAACCTTCATTTTGTTCCGGAGCATAAAAAAGTTTTATTTTAAAGCAAATTGGTATGCTGAACTCTGTTACTCAGCCTTGATTTCATTAAAAGACCTCAGGAACATAGTATATGTTTTTAGGAGATTTATCTGTCTTATAGATTCTTTTAAGAAAGTGGTTTTGTCTTGTTAATTGGCAAAATAATGTGGAAACATCTTAAGTGCATTATTCTTGATGTCGTTATAATATAGAATGCAATTAAGCATTCAGAAGGATTTAGAATTTTTATCATTTATCACAACTCTTTCTTTACAGAATTTCTTTACAGAAAAGTCATAAAAGAGCTTCATGAATGTAATTCAACTCGGAAATAGTCTGTCGCCGAAATTATGTTAACTAAAAAATATGAAATCACTGAAACATTATTTCTGATTCACAGAAAAGAAATAAAGCTATAAAGTATGTAATATGCTCTAACCAGTATGTGCCATTTACCTTAGTTTACTGGAGTTTTTTGCTTGTTTGTTTGTTTTATTAGCTTACATTTTCAAGCAAGTGCAAGGTTACCACAATGTACTCCACTTACACGAAAAACAGTTAACATCCCATTTAAAGTTATAATGGTCTTTTTTTTTTGTGTAGCATTTAGAAGCAACCATGCTATTTCTAGATTTTATATGGACTTAACATTCTTCAATAAATATTCCAGAACAAGAACCTTGTCTTTGCGAGATAACATAAAATTTGCAGAGAACTCTAAGCTGCACCTAAAATAACTTATCATTCCTTCTATCATACAAATACCTCAAAGGCGGTCACAAACCAAAATATTGTACCAGGCATTATACATCACGATACTCACTTTCTCTATCACCAAGTCAATCATGTTGATGTTGGAATTGTACAGTATCTTCCCATGTAATATAGGCTTCAGGAAAGTCCATAACAAAGCTCCATTGGAAGACTGTAAAATCTCCTGATAAAGTTTCAAGCAAAATGGAGCTGAAGGAAAAAAAAATAATAAATTAAAAAAAAAAAAGCTTACACTTAAGAAAACACAAGCAATAAAAATAAAAAAAGTTTTAACCACAGGTTGCCAAATACCACCAAACTCTCACTAAGAAAATCAGTTCAGATCCCTCAAGAAAAATAGTTCATTCAATCTTTGCTGCACATCTCTAAACATGAAACAAATTTGAGTCCCAAGAGCATCGCATTTGTCCAGAGCAATTTGTGAATTACATCTGTACTAAAAGCTGCATTAGTATATCCTAAATACGGAAGTACACTAGAGCAAGCTGAGGTTGTAAAGGTATTTCAAAATCCTAGGGTGAAAGGTCTTCTACTATTACACAGTTGTAAATATATATCAACAAGAAATAGTATTTCTAGCATAAGCTGCTTTCGAAGAGACTAAGGTCCAAATCATCTCTCTGTTCAGACATCCTGCCGCTCCCTGCTGCAACCAGGAAGGAAAATAAGAGCAAGGGAAAGAGGCTAGGACAGACCTCTGACTCCCTCCTCAAAGTGCCTTCTGGTAAAGCCAATACCTTAATTTTGCCTCCTGACTACCAAGACAGAATCGGCTTCCCCAAAGAAACCCAGAATGGCAAGTCTTTCTCACAGGGACATGACTCAAATTTTCAGGGGGAGAAAGGTCTTGCACAGTTGTACCAACAGCATTAGGTTCACAAAGGCACGTAGCAAAAAAATAACAAGTTTGTATCTAAAGTAACATTTTAATACAAAATGCTGTGAAAATTGTAATGAATATCAGTTAAAACATGAATATTTTTTATTATCTGCAAAGATAGTCAGAATAACCTGCATCTTTTTCACAACCATCACTACCATATATGTAGTGTGTATATGTAAAATTACTTCTATTAAAGAGAGAAAGAGCTCTACAAATGATGAATGTATATATGTAGCTTATGATTGATGTTTTTCTTACTTGATCCTTCAGGAATGCCGTATTTTGCCATGTTGTCCTCCAAGAGCTCTGTGATTCTGGGCATGTCGATGAACATGTTTGTGTTGCTGAAAAACGAAGACTCTTCTTTACACACTGCCTTGATTACAGACTCCAGGGATCCAACAGCTGAGCGCCTGAGCTGCCCACCTTGTGAGAGCTTAAACAAACAGAAATACAGATGAATCAGAGACACTTTCAATAGCTTCAAGGGGTAGCCGTGATGTTCTCTCAATATGGCATCTAAGGAGAGCAACAAAATTACACTGCTGAAACTGCCTAAGAGAACAAGGGCCTGCTGTGCTGTTCTCCACTCTCCTGATCACCTTGGTCATGGCCAAAATACTCTGTGCGAAGTAGAATGTGCTACTTAAAACTTTGAAAAACACTGTATATCAATGGCTTATTTAGACACAAAAATAATAGAAATAGCAAGACAACTGAACCTTTGCAATGATTCCTAGATTACCATGTCACTTTTCAAAGGCTTCTCTTCTGGTAGTTACTCCTGTAGTCACAAAGGTAACAGAAAAACAAAATCATTTTGTGCAATATGAATGCTCACAGTGAAGACAGTTATTGAGAAATATGAAAAAAATCAAATACATTTGCACTCTGAAAACCAAATTTTCAAGTATATCGATCATATCCTTTAACTTTTTAAATGTTGGGGTGGGGGTGGGAGCAAAATCACTCTTTTTTTTTAAATCATCATACCAGCATCTACTTTTGCCATTTGCTCATGATGAGGAGTATGATCTGATTGCTTTTTCTTAAGCACCATCATTCACCACAATTCAAGAACTGCCTCCTCCACATAACTTCAGTTTTCAAATGTGCTTATTTTCAACTGTAATTTCATGGAAGGCTGTGCACTTGCACAACCCTTACAGAGACTATAACTGGAAAAGAAAGCGCTACCAAAGTATAACTCCAGGATGCACTTCACTTGCCTGATGTTTATTACTGTTGTTGATGCATGGGATGAAAAACATATCTAAGGCTTTCAGATTTCAGTTCAAGACTGCAAAGCTGGCAGTTGGAACTTTGACAGGTCAGATAAATCCAATTGATACAGCAACAAATTACAATACAGAAATAAATTATGATCAGCAATTTTCAAAATAGTATAGCACTTCAAAGTCAATAAATTGCAGACAGTTTAGAGGCCTTGTTATTATGAACCGTTTAGACTGATCAATACCTTAACTACAGTGTCAAGTGCCTCTTTAGTTATCCTGGAGGAATATTAGCGAATGTTACCCAAGCTTAGTGTTTAGCATCACCAGAACCTCACCTGGTTAAATTCTCAGTTTTTATGTGCAGCATAGTAAATAAATACCATCTAGATTTCATATAACTGTCATCTACAGCTTTGGGGGATAGAGGTAGGGGGGGGGACAAAGGGAAAAAATGAAAAGAAAGATGTCATGGACATCACTGGGAGAAATAAACTTTATTTATGCACAGCACTGAATAAAAGCACTTTTGAATCCCTAGTCATGACTACTTGTGTTAGAAGGGTGAGACTTCATTTCAGTTAAAAGGCGCAAGTTGACTAATTAACTCTGGTTCCAATCAAAACTTGAAATCCAAATGATGAATATTTATGCAGTGAGCTGCTACCAATAGACTGAATCCACTTACTGTCTTTAACTTAAGTATCCTCTGACTCAAAGATGTGATGTTACCTACACTTTGGTTTTGATAAAGTGGGAAAACAGCATAGGAAGGATGTTTACAGAGTTCACAAAAAGTTATCTTTGACTCAGGCACTCTAGCTTAAACGAACAAGGTCTGTAATGAACACTTTTGGTTCCAAATAGCCCATTACAAACAGGGCTCTGAAAGTAGGGTCTAAAGAATAAAAAACAATCTGGAACTGGATTCTCAAATGGGCACCAAAAACTCATAATGAAGAGGACTTTGGACCCAAATGGTCAATCTTTCTGTTCAGAAAAGAGCCTACAAGTCAAGCCAAGCTACAGCTGGCAAAGATAATTAAAACAAAGAAATATTGCATAGAGAGATCAAAAATGGCATTTTTACTGGTAAACTAGAGAGAGATTGAAGATAATCCAAAACCGGCTGAAACTGAATGACTAAAAGAAACAGAAACAAATCTGGAAGAGCAAGTATACCTTCTGGGCAGACATAAGCTAATCAAAGTCTTCATTGTACTGAAACTGGCAGAATAAGAATAATAATATTGGTGAATATTATTCGCCAATAAGATTCGGTAAAATTATTTCTCAGAAGTCTGAAATTTGTATTGCAACACTTGAAAAGTAGATGACATCAATACTCAAGGGCAAATGTGATAATATCCCAGGAAATAATAAATCATGATGTTTAATATAGCAAGATCATAGAATTATGAAACCACAGAATGCAGGTTGGAAGGGACCTCAGAGGTCATCTAGTCCAATCCCTCTGCACACGCAGGGTCACCTAGAGCACGTGGCACAGGGCTGCACCCAAGCAGGTTTTGAATAGCTCCAAAGAAGTAGACTCCACAGCCTCTCCACGCAGCCTGTTCCAGGGCTCTGTCACCTTTACTACCATGATTTTTTCCTTTAACTTTCTTTGGAACTTTTGGTGCTTCAGCTTGTAGACATTTCCTCTATTCCTATCACTGGGCACCACCGAAAAGAGGCTGGCCACCTCCTCCTCACTGCCTCTCTTGAGGTATTTATACACACTGATCAGATCCCCCCTCAGCCTTTGCTTACAGGGCAAATGTTCCAGGCCCCTGGTCATCCTCGTAGCCCTGCGCTGGACTCTCTCCAGCAGCTCCACATCCCTCTTGTACTGGGGAGCCCAGAACTGGACGCAGTACTCCAGGTGTGGCCTCACCAGGGCTGCGCAGAGGGGGACGATCACCTCCCATGACCTGCTAGGGACGCTCTCCTTATGCGCCCCAGGATCCCATTGGCCTTCTTGGCCACCAGGGCACACTGCTGCCTCATGGTTAACTTGTCATCTAGCACGACGCCCAGGTCCCTCTCTGCAGATACCACAGTAAGTTTTGAAGAGAAAAGTTAAGAGACAGAAAGTAGATTAAGAGACAGAAAGAGATTAAATCCATTATTTAATATGATGGATTCCTCACTCCAGACCAGCCCAATGTGTGCATTTGGGAGGGTGTGCATTTGGGAGGGTTTCTTTTTCTCCTGAAAAAGAAATGCATTCTCTAAAACTGATAACCTCTAATGCCTAGATAATATTATTGTAGTAGACTATATTCATCAGTATTACTGAATGGTGGGTAAAGAATGACTTTAAGAAGGTATGTCAGTGTTTCTGGTGAAAACACTGGATTCACAGAGAAGTGATTTGCAATTGTTAGTCCTAAAGAAGTGAATTACTAAGATATGACTATAATCTAAAACTAGAAGGCATTGCAGGACAAATTAATATCAGTGTTATACAGGAATAAACATTTAGAGTAAACAATAGTCAGGGTAAATCATTATTTACCAACCAAAAAGCTGCATTTCTGGAATAGCATGTTATGATATCCAGGTACATTACTGCTCTTTGATGAAATAATAGACACAAATGTATGCAACTTAATAAAAAGGCAAATGCAAAATTAGGCAAGTTGTTTCATTTAGTATAGACATGAATTAACAGAGCTACAGGAACCATCAGTCACACTTCTATTCAAAAACTTGTACTTTTGTCCACAGCATCCAAGACTAGCTCTTAGTACAGCATGTATTAAGAAAACTTCACTAGGGATGTATAGGAAAAAGAAAAAGGGAAAAAAAGGACCTCTCAGCCCCTTCTAAAAAATCACTCTGAACAACAAAAGAAGAGACTTATCTAACCTAGCAAAACAAAAAGGGTCTCTGACTGGCCACCTTCACATACACAGGGGAATCAGTTGTTTAAAAAGTTACTGATTCTGATACAAGAATAAAAGTACTGGTCATGGGTAAACTTGCCTTGGAATTTTACACATTTATAATTCCAAGAAGCTCTTCAATAAAACCAGCCTAACTAGTTTTAGCACAGAACTTAATAAATTCTGCAAAGGGTCATAGGAATACTGCTATGAGAGTGACAGCTTTCAGTACTCAGTAATCCCTTCCAGCAGTGTGCTTATCTACTCATGAATGACAAACAGGCCAAAAATTAGTAATGGAAACATAAGCTGATAATTTCTAACAGCAAACAGACAAGCAAGAATCAGCAATGTTTTTTTCTCAAGGGAGTTATCGATTCAACTCAGAGCTGTAGAGAAACTAACTCTGTGTTCCCATTAATGCCTGGCAGATGCTGAGTTTTAAAATGCAGAGTTTTGTTTTGTTTTCTTAATACTTGCTATGTAGCATGCCAATGCAATGTCACACTTAAGATATTTGAATAGTTTTCCATGGGGCTTTTCAGACAAAACACTCACATGAATAACTGACAAGTTACTTCATTACCCCTACAAAGACATCAGCAATTTTTAATTTCATATTTCAAAACAGCTTCTTCAGTAACAGTTTAATGAATAAGAGAACCTGTCTTATCTATGCTGGAGGTCCACATTATTTCATATCCTAAATAATCTATATATTTTATTCTGTTATCTTCCTAGGTCTCTGAACTACTTTTTGGATGGTCGTCTTGAAAACGTCCAGATGGGAAGATTCACTTGGAAATTGAAGAAAACATTTTAGGAGAGAAGTGTCTAAACACTATCTGCCACACATTCATCACAAGAACAAGCACAGCCTCCATAAAGAGCTTAAGAAGCAAACAAAACCATTAAGATACATATTTGAGAGCAGCAAAATGCAGTAGAACCCAAGAGAGGTAGAAAAATGTTTAAAAATAAACCATTATTTTCTAGTCCATAAAAGAAAACAAACTTCAGTTATAGAGACAGAAACATCCTTGAAATTAGAACACCGATAATTTATGAATGAAAGAAATAGAACCTGATCTTCTAAAATAAATGTGCCAGCTTTTTTAAAAACTCCAGAGAATACTCGGAGACAGAAATGGGCATTGATTTCTCAACAAAAATGAAACAGCAAAGTGAAACCTTAAGAAATGGTGATTGTGTTGCAAGATGCAAAAAGCAAAGAATTCCAGGGTGGAATCCAGACTACATTACAAGCCAATACAGGATGCCACGGAGCCAAGGCTGAAGCTGTGAGCAGATGGCCCTCTGCTGCTGGCTTTCCAAGCCTACCCAGCATAACCTTCTGAGAAGCTCAGATACTAGATCCACATCACTGTGCCAGCTGTATAGATGAACATTATAGCAACCCTCCTTGTGCAGGACAAGAAAAATACCTTCCAGTATACCAGTAGCACAGTAGAGTATTCACACAATCACAGAATGGTTGAGGTTGGAAGGGACCTCTAGAGATCATTTAGTCCAACTCCCCGGCTCCAGCAAGGACACCTAGAGCACAGGGTGGCATCCAGTCGGGTTTGGAAGATCTCCAGAGAAGGAGACTCTACAGCCTCTCTGGGCAGCCTGTTCCAGGGCTCTGTCACCCTCACAGGAAAGAAGTTCTTCCTCACATGGAGATGGAACTTCCCGTGTTTCAACTTGTGCCCCTTGCCACTTGTCCTGTCACTGGCCACCAATGAGAAGAGTTTGACCCCTTCCTCCCTACATTCTTCCCTCAAGTATTTGTACATGTTGATAAGACCCCCTCTCAACCTTCTCTTCTCTGGGCTAAACGGACCCAACACACTCAGTCTTTCCTCGTACAACAGATGTTCCAGTCCCTTAATCACCTTTGTTGCCCTCCACTGGACCCTCTCTAAAAGCTCTACATCCCTCTTGTAGTGGGGAGCCCAGACCTGCACACAACATTCCAGGTGCTGCCTCACCATTCATTTAGGGTGTGTTCTCATGAATTGATAAAAACAACAATGATGGAAACACCACATCAGTACCATGCCAAGATAACCAGAGTGCTCAAAAGAGATCAAACACAACTTTTTAACGACAACAGATCGTTGTCTCACCTAAGTGCCCACCTTCCAGGATACAATTTCCACTAGTACTCCTCCTCATTATTTTAGTACATATTCCTAACAAGACATCTAACAACAAGCATTAACCTTGCATTTTACAACTCATACTCATACCTGTTGCAATGCCGAGATGTCAAGTACACCAATGTTTTTAAAAGCTTGGAGGAACACTGGAAGATTTTCCATGACACGCTGGGCTTTATCGCGAAGAGAGCTGATACTAGAAATTACATCCAATAATGTGTTCAGTAAGGTGCCTATCTCAGATGGTATCTTAACCTTGGAAAAGAAAAGGACGAAAGAAACCATGACATTAAATTTCAATTAGAAAAACACTCAAATTCAGTAAACAAATTCTCTGGAATTGTTACAACTAGTCTATGACAAAACAGGAATTAGAATACAGAGACATTTACACCTACAGAGCTGAAGGCAGCTCTCATCCCAACTTGCTGTTGATGGCATCTGTGAAATTCTATCCCCTAGGGACTGAGCATAAATGAGAAGTTTCCCTTCAGCAGACTCAGGATGTTCAGAACAAGCTTAATATTTTTAATGCAACTCATAAATTGAATCCAGTAATCCCTTTAGCTGTTTGAGGAATCATATTAGACAGTATACTTTCCTGTGATACTGTTCCTCCCTGCTCATTTTTCATAGTTACTGCCTTTTAGGTAAAGTAATTATGTGCATTTTAACTCCTACTTGACCAAAGTTCAATCATTATTCTGCTTTTGCCATCAAGCACCTTTTGGCATTAAGAATTTTCTCATCTTTTTTGCATTTATTGGCCATTTAGATGTCATATAAATGCAAACTGATTTATTAAGTTACCTGCCTATGCATGATAACTAAAACAATATAATCTCATTATATGCTTCCAGCTGCTTTCTCTGATTATCTTTACTTTTATGCTTCCAGCTGCTTTCTCTGATTATCTTTACTTCATGCACCTGTATTTGACTAAGATACTTCCTACTATAATGTCTGTGCCTAATTTTCCTTTCAAACTTCACCTGCTTTTACATATTCAAAAATACTCTGCAATAACTTTTTTTTTCTCTCAATTCTAAAAACTAGCAAAACTTCCATAATAATTTAGGATAAGCTGACAACGTTTGTTATTTTGTACTAGGAGTTCATTATATTTCAATAGGATTCAAGAGAAAAGCTGCCAAGAACAAGCACTTTTTCCTCCCTTTCTTCTCTTATTCTCCCTCCAGGCTGCCAGATTACTTCAGAAAGTAGAAATCTTCTCTTCCCTCCAGTATCTTACACATTCTAGGCATTTTTCTCCTTTTTAACAATGCATAGCCACTCACGTGCATCCTCCAGAATACAATCTAGAAACTAGGGCTTCAGAACAATATTTTCTTCCTTTCTGTTCTACAAATATATTTTAATTATTTGTACTTAATGTTTCACGTTCTGTCAATTATTCACCATGGAAGAACAGGAACAAATCCTACTATCTATCACAAGTTTCATCCAATTATTTTGTTCTTATAATTGAAAATACCATTTCACTGAAAACCCAGATGAGATGCCAAATTATAAAGTTACATAGATGGTCAGGTTTTGCTGCAAACTTCTCTGCTGCCTTCATTACAGCTTTGTCACTGTATTATTCTCATTATTTTCCGAAAGAATTATAAACACTAAAGTTTTCTGTCACCATCATCAGTCCTTTGCAACCTTCCTGTGTGGGTAAATAACTGCACTGCAATTTTTTAGTTGGATTACATAGAGTGCATGCCAGATACTTTAAATCATAATTCAAGTATGTTCAACTCTTATGTATCAAAGAGAGATAGAAATCAAGTCCAATCAAGGTGTGTGACTTGGATCACATTATTTTTTTTTCCAGGGTGGGGAGGGGAGAAGGTATGAAATTTTGCTAGAAAATAACTATTTATCATAAGGGGGGCTTCTTTGCTGTTTTATCTCCAATGATGCCATAGTGTTCCACATTTACAAATTAATAAGTGACCAACTGCACAATCTACAAACACTGGTGAATCTATATCTTCCTATGTTTTCTCTAAAGCTTTCATAATTAACTTTTTAGGGATAGTTTTCCCAAGGCAGCAAGAGGCGGAATACAGCAGCATCCACCAGCATCTATTTTCTTCAGCAATCTCTGTACAACTACATGACAATCAATTTGCCACATGGCCAGCACTTCCTTTCCTACAGAACATCTGAAACAAAAAAGAGAAAAAAAAAAAAAAACTATATTTGGGAATTGAGTTACCCACTTGTCTTGAATGCTTTAGGCTACCTTCAAAAGAAGTCACAGGAAATGAACACTTCCCTCTTACCGTATCTTACCTTGTAAATTATATGGCGTAAATTCAAATTCTGAATAAACAATACAAACATGGTATACAAGTCCAGTGCTGGCAAAGAACATAACTCCTCCACCACCAGGGAAGTTCTGTTTTCAGGTAATGTTAGCAGCAGGCCAAATACTTCTTCATCACATCTTCCAGCTAAAGCTGCAGCAAGGGCACTGTAAAAAAACTATCATAAAGTACGTGTGTTAATATTCTTTCCTTCTGAAAGACATCAGCTTCTTTATAGGCAATAAAGTGAGAATTTGTGTCACGGTAACATGACAATGTGTAGTAGTCATCAACAAACTTAAAAGAAATACCTATTCAGCTCAATCAGATAGACTATAAAGTGAGAATAAACATTTGAATGTGCCTATAAAGAGAGGAAGCATATTTATTATAATCATTTCTTTTCACTTAGACAGGTCATTTGTTCATTCTATAGGTATTTATACTATGAAAAATCGTATTAACAATGCAGAACACATTGAAGAGAACATACACCTTGGCTGAAGAAACACAGAGATTAAAATGCAAAGTGTGAGTCATTGTAAAAAAATAACAGACTTCTTTCAGAGGTCACACCAGTTCAACACTTAGGGTATGCTTATATGATATAATATTAACTGAGCCATCTGACACTTCAGTTTATTTCTTCTTTGAATTATCGTTAGCTAAAAGTGGAAAATGGAACAAATGTCTAGAGGAGATCTTGGGGAAGATGAACAAAGAAACAAACAACGTAAGACAAAAAAGAACAACAAAAACACCATAACCAGCATTTTTTTTTTTAAGTTAAGATTCCTTGTGTAATAAGATTTTTTTGTTCCTATGAAATTATCCAAGACCAAAAACAAAATGGCTGCATTCCAGATATCTCTTAATTACTCCTTATGAAATGCCTCCAAGACAGACAATTGCAAAAGTCCAGGCTTCAGAGCCTGCAGAAGCCTGGTGGTTCATTACTGATGTTCCAGTGTGCAGCATCCAGAGTGCCATCACACCCCTGGGAGCAGAACCTACCTGTGCCCTCCCCACTGAATGTATGTGTAGCCAGGATCAACACCCAGCTCGGGTATGATCAGAAAGTCGTATCAGCAGCCAGAGCTGTCCAAGAAATGCAGTTTGATTCTTTAACTAATGTGAACATTTAAATTTTAACATATTAATTTGAAAAAAAAACCTGAACCAAAGTCTAATCTGCCTTTGTAGTTCCAAAGCTTTGCTTATATTTTAAAATATTAACTCTTAGGTATATGTATGTATAGGTGTATGTCTCCATACAGTCTTAGGTGTATGTATGTATATGTACATATACATATATGTATACATACGCACACAATACACTGAATGTGAACTAGGTATAAACCTTATTTTGATATCAGTGTAAAAAAGATAATAGTTAGGATTTTGTACAGGGCCAGGTGAGAGTGACACTGAAATTCCTGATGAATGTTTCCACTTCGAACCACCTTTAATCCACTCAACACTTTGCCAACTAGAACTAGCCTCTTTCAACATTCCTTGCAAAGTTTGCATTACAGCTATGCCATACTACTTATCCTGAGTAACAAATGTTTATAAACTTCACAGACTGCATGTTTTTGAGCAGCTAAAAGAAACAAACACACACAATAATCCCATAGCAATCACTGTGGCCAGAGCACAGTCTTGAGGTAGAAACCAAGGGCAAATATAACATGCCCACAGAACTCTCAAACTTAGTCTTACCATTGCAGGGGGAAGCACGAATGCAATATAAAATCACAGAAATAAGGCTCCTGCAGGTATCATCATGAGTAGTTATACAAACCATGCAGACAGTGGGTCAAAATTACACAATAAAATATTCTCACACATTGCATGATCAGGTAGAGACATAGATTTTAATACTTTAAGTGGACTGGAGAATTCAAGCACTTCTGCACAGCCAAAATTCTGCATAAATATGCAGAGGCAAGATATCCACATATATTCAAGCTGTATGCAGGACTTCTGCAAAAACAAGGATAGCAACTCATTTGAAGATTCAGACAGCTAGTGCTATTATTCCAAGAGAGTAAAGATGCAAAATTCCCATTTAACTGAATCACTTCTAGATGACTTCTCTCATTACTATTTACTGGTATCAAAATAACAAGGAAACAACAATGGCAGTTACCCTGCCAGAACAGCAGCAGAACAAATCTGTAAACAGCTATGATTGCTTGAAGTGCCTTCTTCAACAGACATACTTCTTGTGAACAAAACTTGCAGCTGCTTCTGCAAGTGGAGCATCAGTGACACCCAGTGGCTGGTTGATCAGTCTCATTAGTTTATATCAAAATTATTTCCAAATCTTCCTTCATACAAACATTAACCTGAGAATCGAGTTAAGCTGGCACTTCTCATGATGTCTACTTTGATTATTGGGATCACTGAAAACAGCAACAATGGTAACACACACACACACACACACACTCCTTGGCTCAGAAAGCCTATGCAGTCAATGTTTATACAATGTTCAGTGGACAAGCAGGAAAATAAAGCACAGCAAAAGCAAGAGAGAGGTAAAAATGTAAGAACAGTGAATAGCGCCCCAAAGCATAAGAGAAATCAGATAATTCAGGACTGTAAGGCTCAGTGTTGGGGGAAATACAAAATGATTTATTCAGGAAGCCTCACCTCTCCGCAGTTCCAAGGTAGCAGAATTTAAAACTTGGTGTCAGCGCAACTGAGTAAGTCTACTGAAAATAATGAAGCCATCACATCTGGATTAGAAGAAAACTAGTGGTACTACAAGCTGACCCCTTAATACCTCACATACTTTTCCCCTCAAAGTCCCAAATCTCAAAGAGAAAAAAAAAATCCAGATAGAAGCGCCAAGTAAAAATGGAAGATTCCACACAAACAAGTTTGTTTTGTTTCAGCTGGCACATCAGACAATAGGTCAACATGTTAATTTAGCACTTAACACTTATCACTTTAGCCTCTGTTTAATCTTTTACCTCTGAATGAGAGATACTAGCTTCCAAAACAGTCCCAATTGTTTCTTCAGAAATATTGATAGATGAATGAATGTTAAGCCCCAGCTCAGTAGCATTTTTCACACAGTCCTTGACTTTCACACCTTGAACAGAAAGAAAACAGCAGTAACAGTAACAATCTGCAAAAACCTACCAAGTTTCTTAATCACAGTTCCTGGACTACAGCATCTCCTGCATATTTATAATGAGGGGTTATAAAATTATAAAGCACGCTCCTGTTGTATGAATGGAGCATCTAAAACTAAAAGCCATTTTTAACACTTATGTTAGACTCACCCTCATTTCCAATCAGAAAACTAGTTTTCAACTAGGACAGGCCCTGATGAGATGAATTGCATTACCTGGAAGAGGACTAATAAATGCATGTGTATACATGTGTATACACCAAGAATATATTGTGTTAAGTTCTGCAAGCAACATCCTTTTAACCTGATGAGAACAAGTTACTGTGTTGGCGGGTGGGGGAGAAGGGAGGAAGAGAGAAAAAAAGTCGTAAGAGCTGAAAATAACAGAAACTCACCATTCAAAAGATTAAAACTGCTGAGAAGAGCTATCACTGGATTTTCTGAAAATGGCTCCAAATTTTCGGTCAACCTGAAATGACAGCTTTAATTTTATAAGCTGCCAAAACTAAGTCATCAACATAATCTATAGAAAGATTAAGGAATAGTGAAAGTAAACCAGGTTAAATAGTCTCATCATCTTCTTTCTACATACATCATATGCATGCAGTAAGAGCCTCTGCAGAGCTTGCCATGTTGCATGTATGAATTGCATTTGAGCATGGATCATCCATTTCTTGCCCAAATAAAGAAAGTCTTCATGGAAAAATCTCTACGTTTCTAAAATGCCCCTAACAAGAACTTGGAGAGAAACAAGTCTACTAAAGTCTATTTTCAGGAAAAAAACAAAACAAAACAGATAGAGACATGTGCATACACACCCCTAGCAGTGTGAAGCTATCAGAGTCCAATCTGAGTAATGAAAATTTTACTCAATTTGAGTATTATCTATTATTAAAACATCATATACAAGTTAATGGTCCACATCATCACCAAAGCTCAAGTCATCTCATATAGGGCATTCGAGCTCATTATGAAAACAATGTAACAGACAAACGAGTAAAGCAGGAAGGCCACTTGCAAATGACAACTAGTTAAGTGTGAAACAGCATGTGGTAGTAGTTTCATTTGTTCTAAACTTGCTACGCTTTTCCTCAGGGGAACAGCAGCTATCTGAGGTGATCTGCAACTCCTTCCTGTCAGGTTACAATAACCATCCAGTGTCTGAACTACTAAAGTGAACTGTATTTAGTGTGGGACAGATGAGTGGACAGTGAGGTGGATTGAGAACTGGCTGCATGGCAGAGCTCAAAGGGTGTATGCAGGGGGTTTGGACTAAATCTCTAAAGGTCTCTTCAAACCTTAAGGATTCTATGATACATAGCTACTGAGAGGATCAAAGCCATAGCAAACAGCTTTAGATAAAAAATTAATAAGATACAAAAAATATGACTTATTGAAAACTTAGTATTTTCCATGTCATGACTCAGAAGACTCTCTTTATAGAGCAGCAACATCTGCTGCAAGTGCTCAGAAAAAGAATAAGGCTATTGGAAATAATCAGAATTTTGCTTATAAGTACCTAAATAATTACAGTGCATTTTTTTCTGCTGATTTTTCAGGTAAAAAAACTAGAAGAAACTTAGAAGCGCAGCATTTTGCCTGTAATTACACATTTTGGAGCCCACATGATGAAGTAATATCAGTAACCCTAACAAGAACTATGATGTGTATCAAAAATACAGACTTTACATTTGCAAATGTCTCTGGATATTTTCTAACAGTAGGTGACATTCACAGCTCCCATCATTGGTATTTTGTATGACTCTGAGGAAGCTCTCCACAGTACTGAAAAAATTCTGATTTATATATGCAATATTCTCACAATCCTCTTTGTTGATAGCAGACCACATTCTTGTGATATCCTGCAAAAGACAGCAATGAGGCAGTTAAATTCACACTAAATATCTGGAATCACTGAAATGGAAATCTTGGCAATTACTTGACACATTTTCAAAGGATAATGTAGTTAAGGTGATATTTATTTATAAATTGAGACAATAAATAGTCTCAATTTATTTGAGACTATTAAGGTAAAAAAGGTTCTCAACCTAGCAAGAATAGAATTCTCAGATATTTGAGCTTTGGAAATGACCAACAACATATGCAAATTGAACCTAGCCTTGCAAGGAGATTCAGCAAAGAACAGAAATGTCAAAAGCATCATTTGAAATTTCATTTCAACGTGAAACAAGATTTTCATTTAAGTTGGCCATTTTTCTTCCCCCTTCCTCTTCCCTGAAAACTATCCTAAACAACAGTTTCTATTGATCTCAAATACATATACTCTCAATTCCTCGGAACAGCCAGAGAAAACTGTTGATTCCTCAGTTCTACCCCTCTCCCAAAGGCCTACTTGCACTGTGACTGTGTAGGTTTAAGTCCCATCTGAGAGTTAAATATTCACTTGAATAATCACATTTCTTGTGAAAGCATGCCACAGGATGATGGAGAGTACACAGGATGGTGGAGCATCTGTTTGGTCAAAGTCTACTCTGATGTGAATGAAAATAGTATTTTATCCATGTGTATGATTTCCAGGGAACTGCTTCTAGCTCTGTACAAGTCTAAATACCAAGTGTTAGCCTCTCTGGATCAAGAATGTTCACTTACTATGCTATTAAAGAAACACTGACTGACCTCATCTGGTGACCATTGCTATTTTAGCTTGAATGACTCGGACCAAAAAGTTTATTTCCTTTAGTTTGATTTCACTGCTTTTCCTGTGAAGATTTGAAAATGTGTACTCTGACTCATGAGTTTGTCAGTATCAGATGATATAAAGGAAGAAAACATGAACCATTTGGCACTGAATGTCTAAGCTACTCTCCCAAGCAGCTTTCAAAGCTCACCAATGTTTATTTGGGTGATTCACTCTGGGTATCACTACAAAACGTGTCAGAACTATAACCATAGAAAAAACACCCAGTTCATAATAGCCACTGTTTGTACTGATCATTCGGATTCAAAACAAGTCTCCTATCATTACTTTCAATGTGATGTTAACACAAAACACAATGAACACTTGTAGGTGTGGAAACAATCCAAACCTGGTTACGATCTTGAATCAGAATGATTCCTTCAAAGAGGGAGAGGAGGAAGTGACTTGTTAAGCCATCTTTACACCTTGTAACAACACAGAAAAGGTTGCTGATGATAGCTGGTTGTTCTGCAAGGAAAACAAAAAAAAAATGCCCAGGTTTAATCAGTTAATTTATTTTTAATCAGATGAAAAGCTGACTAAATATGGGAAAGGTTTTAAGAGACCAAGTGTGATGTGTTAAGATACTGGGAAATATCTCAACCAAATTTATTTCCCATTACAAAAAGGAAAGGAAAGAGGACTCGATTGATTTATTCCCCCTTTTTCTTCTTCACTACACTTTCCTGACCGATAGTGGTAACAGCAACACCTGCTACAGAACAGAACCAGAGCCCTTCATTCTTCTGAGTAAGAAACACAGCTTGGAGCAGCTGTATGTATTAACCCCCTCTACCTTTTCCTCCACTGAGTTCCCTGATACTCTCCCTGATGAGACATCAGGATGTTACTAATGTTCGAGCAATTAGCAGCTATTAAACCCCAGCTGCAGGGGGACGGAAAGGGCATTACTTAAACAATCGGCAATGAGGAGATAATCCCTTCAAGAGCGAACCCATGCAGGGGATGTTTGTCACTTTATCTCGTACCCAGGAAGTTTTTACTCAAGTTTACAGCACTCACGTCCCTGAAAAACAGCTTAATTCCCCTATCTGTAGCAGGTTTGCACATGGGAGACCAAGCAAAGTTTGGTTTATATAAGAATGCATTACATCCCTCCTGCATTGTCTCCCCATGTACATTTACCCACTTGGTCCATAAGCCAATGGCAAAAGCCATAAACATTCGTCATGGCATCAGAAACAATCACACCTTGAAGATCCAAGATCATCATCTGTGATCTCACTCACAGAAGTAATACAATGCAATTCAGTAAAAACTATATTGAATGATCTTATGCTTTTCTCATTAGGTTTCTATAATGATTACTGTATTACAGAAGTTTTGAGGTTGGAAAGGACCTCTAGAGATCATGTATTTGAAGCCCTTTGCTCAAGCAGGATCACTAAAAGAATGTTTCCCATTATGTCCCGATGGCTTTTGAGTATCTCCAAGGATGGAGAACTACAGAACCTTTCTGGGCAACCTGACTCAGTGATCAGTTACTCTCAGTGAAGAAATTTGGATGGGACTGCCTCTGTTTCACTTTGTACCAGCTGCATTTTGTTCTTTCACTGGGCATTCCTGAAAAGAGTCTGGTCTCATCTTCACTACATCCTCCCTTCAAATACTTATACACCTTGACAATATCCCTTCATCCCTCCTCATTTCTCTCTTCTCAAGGCTCAACAGGTTTGGCGCTCTCAGCCTTTTTTCAGAAGAAAGATCCTTCAGTCCTTCATAGCCAAATGCTAGACTCACTGCAGTAGCTCCATATCTCTCGTATTGGAGAGCCCAGAACTGGACACTGTCTAGATGTGGCTTCAACCATGGACAGAGGCAGAAAATTACCTCCTTCAGCCTGCTGTCAACACCCTTCCTCATGCACCCCAACTGGTCTTCCTGGCCACAAGGGCACATTGCTGGCTTGTGGTGTTTTCCACCAGGACTTCCAAGTCCTTCTCCACAGAGCTGATTTCCAGCAAGTCAACCCCTAATCTGGTTAATGGTGCATGAGGTTATTCCTCTCTAGGTGCAGGAACTTGTACTTGCCTTTATTGAACTGTATAAGGTTCCTCTCCGCCCATCTCTCAAGCCTGTCAAGGTCTCTCTGGCACCACAGCCCTCTGCTGAATCAGCCACACTTTCCAGTTTTGTACCATTAGCAAACTTGCTCAGGGTGCAGTATATTTCCTCCTCCAGGTCATTGATGAAGTTCAGTAAGACTAGGCCCAGTATTGACCCCAAGGTATATCTCAAGCCACAGGCCTCCAAATGAACTTTGCACCGCTGATCACAATCCCCAAGCTCTGCCATTCACTCAGTTCTTAACCATCTTACTGACCCCTCACCTGACCCTCAGCATGCTTCTGAGCTTGCCTATGAGGATGTTATCAGGATGACGGTATCAAAAGCTTCACTGAAGCTGCATCCAGTGCCAGCATCCAGTGCTCTCCTCTCATCTATGAAGCCAGTCATTTTACCATATAAAGTTAAATCAAATCACGCATTATGAAACATTCCTTTGATCAGAGAATTGAAAGGAAGACTATAAAAATTCAGTTCCCCGGTCATAGTTCTCCCAATACACAGATGACTGAGCTTACTAATGGATCTCAGTACCTAGGTACAGGTTTTCAGTATCATTCATTCTGATTTGTTACTATTTTACTCTCTAGAAACAACAGTCACGAGACGTGGAACTGGAATATAATGACATCATATGTTTTCTTTCAAAATGAAGCTGGAACAAAATATTACCAAACTCAATCCCCACTCTAGAATAACAGAAGAGAAGTTCTTTGGAAATGACCCCTTACAGAATTGGGTTTACATATGAAGTGAATTATTGAAATTCAAAGTTTAAAAGCAGAAACCAAAACATGCATAATATGAAATCACTCCTTTAGCTCAGTATGGAGCATTTCTCAAAACGCTCATCTTGTGAGTCTATACACAACCAAGATGATGAGCTTTAGTCATTTAAATTTACATCATTTGTTTTGGGTGAAATTACTCAGTTACAACAAGCCAATCCATTGGTATTACTTGGCCAGAAATAGGACATGCCAGTTCCATTATATAGAATCATAAAATAATAGAATGCTTAAGGTTGGAAGGGACCTCAGAGGTCATCTAGTCCAACCCCCCTGCTCACGCAGGGTCACCTAGAGCACATGGCACAGGGCTGCATCCAAGCAGGTTTTAAAGATCTCCAAAGAAGGAGACTCCACAACCACTCTGGGCAGCCTGTGCCAGGGCTCTGTCACCCTCACTGTTAAGAATGGTCTTAGGTTCCTGTGGAACCCTTGGTGCCTCAGCTCGTGGCCGTTTCCTCTAGTCCTATCAGTGGCCACCATGGAAAAGAGGCCAGCCCCCTCCTCCTCACTGCCTCCCTTGAGGTATTTATAGACACTGATCAGGTCCCCCCTCAGCCTTCTCTTCTTCAGGCTGAACAGGCCCAGCTTTCTCGGCCTTTGCTCATAGGGCAGATGTTCCATATACTTCCTCAATTCTTCCCTACTGCCAGCTAAATACTACTCTGTGTCAACTCTGGTTCATTAAAAAGCCTCTGTGACTAACCCCAGTTCAGTAATCTAGCAGAAAAATAATGTTATAAGAGATAAGGCAAAAATCAAACACCTTGGCTGCCTTCTACTGGGTTAGTGAGCTAAATGAGAGAAAGAAGCCACAGCACGCCAGAGCAAGAACAAAAAGAAAGAAAAGAGATTGTGGATAAAATCACAAGTTGTAAGGCCAGATCCTTTCACCAATTTTCAATCATTTCATCCTCTCCAGAAGGCAGCCCTTTACACAACCCAGGGCAAAATGTTTTCCTGTGCTTTTGTTAACTTAATTTCCAGGCATCAGCATACTTGTCTTGCTTTCTGCTTTCTATCACCAAACTGAATTTGTTCAACAATGGAATGCACCAAGTAAATCATTAATATTATAGTAGGGTATAATACGATATAGTATAGATATAGTGTATGTTAATACATGGTGAATTACACCATCACTACAATGGCAATAGTGACAACTAACCTGAAAAGATTTTGAGACCATTCATAGTGATAAGCTGTAGCTTCTGCAATTGCAGGACAATAGTAGGGGGTAAATATTTCTGAAGAGCTTGACATATCTCAGATGCTCTATAGAAAAATAAATAAAATATCATTATTTTCCTAACTAGAGGATTGAAGGAAGTTTTCAACTACACTATGTATTGCAATCTTCAAGAAAATATTAAAATTTCAATATCAAGAGTTGCACAACCATCCTGTATTCCCACATCCAATTTCCTTTATGTAAACTATTTCTAAATCAGGACATGAACTTCTAAACAACATATTTAAAAATTAGCTTTCATAAAGATAATGAGTCATCAGCAAAGAAGGTACCTTAGCAAAATAAGCAAAATCATAACTACTGCTAATGTGGTTTCACAAATACTGAGAGCTCGTAGTTCCTCTTCACCCGAAGGAAGAAATCAGGATGACCATCCTGGCCCCTAACCATTTGTCTAACATACTTATATAAAATTAATCTAAAGGTCTATGCCCCACACAAGTCATAAATCAGCTGTAGTACACTGTTTCTGATCTGGGCAATGCCCACTGGCAAAAAATCCCAAAGTGGGTTAGAGCAACTGTTTCATGTGATTCACTCATTGGATATTGTTTAAACACATGAACTCCAGTGTAGCAGTTCTGCTACTTCCTAAGCCCTCAGAAAAGGTTTCCCAAAAAGGAAGATCTTTTTCTTGCTTGACTGCATTTCATTTGAGGAATCAGACAGAAGTGACCTTCAAAAAACGCTATTTGCTATATTTGTTAAGCAGAGCAACTTTCTATAATACCCATAGCTCCTAGAAGGTGACCTTTAGTGTTTAAGTCATCAGCTGATTTAAGTCATTTTCATTTAGTACTGATACTGGTTCAAAGGAAGAGTTACTTACACCACCACCAGAAACCTTTTTTTCCTATCTCCTTGCACGCATAAATAGGTAAAAGCTTCCCAAAATCTGTGCAGCTGACCTCATCCAAAACTGCAAGTGTGACTACACTGAGAAGTTATATCTATTTTCCTAGCAATATCATTTATAATCTCAAACCAAACAAAAATACCTTCAGAAAGTCAAATAAAACTTCTCAAACTTAAGTGGCTTCATCTATGTCTTCCTCAGACTGGGTTTTATACTGGTTTTATTTTAAATTTGAAAAAAAAGATATACCAACTTATTATAAATTAGACAACTGATGCAGGTTTAGAAGCATTAAGTTTTCCATAGGAAATATATAAAAATAGAAATATTATTCCTAAATTAAAGGAGCAAGATAATTTTGCATTTATGTAAATATACAGTGACATTGCATGGGAAAAAATAAAGCTATACACTCTGAACCTGTCTGGCATCTTTGAACCATTCTAATCAGTCATTTGATGTTTTTTTCTGAACATGACAATAGCACACAAAATGCCTTAAAAATGGGAGATAGAACTACTAAACCTCGTAAGTGAAAGATCCTTACAGTAAAGATCCTTACATCTTATAGGACCAAAAAAAGAAACCTTTAAAACAGTAACAAGCTCCACAATACTCACTTGAGACAAAGTCAGTCTATTGGGAAAAAGGAAAAAGTTCAATGAGAGCGAGCAAGTATTTAATGTTGAAACCTATATATATATATATACACGTTATCTTCCACTTGATAAAAGCACACAAAACCTCTCTTTATGGAGTATAACTAAGTAGGATGCTAACTCCTTTTTTTTGTTGTTTGTTTTCTTTTGAAAAATTTTGATAAATTCACACAAGTAGCAAATTTTTCACTTTTTTTTTTTCCTAATAATGGAAAGGACAAAAATCAATGGATATGAAATGAAGTTAAACATTACTACTAGAATACTTTATTCTTTGTACCTGTATGCTCTATTTTCTAGTTTCAAGAGCTCAAAAGAAAGTCTTGAGACTTTATTCCAATTTGAACTATTCTGCATGAAATTTAAGGGACTTCTGAACGTAAGTCATTACATTAAGAATCCAGTCATAGAAAAATGAGAAAGGCTTTACATGAAATTTGAATAATAACAGAAGGGACTCCAAGAACAATAAAGCTACATTTAGACATATAAAGACAAACAAATCTCAGTAATCCTTTAATTCTTAACTCAACACTACAAATAACTACCATCCCATTCATTAACTGTGGTCTCAGTTTTCAGAGCTACAAGATTTTTAACACCGAATAGTTGATGTTAAAACATTCTAAGTATTTGATCTCTAATAATTCCAAAGGAAGCACTTCATGTATGAACATAGAAAATTAAGTATGCCAATAATCTGGTCCACATAATGTAATTTAATATGGAATATGGTTTTGCTCTCCAATAAACATTTGAAATAACACAGTAGTAATTGCATAATAAAAGGTGCAATTGTTCACAAGCACGGGTCAGCTGTCACAAGTGTCCCTGTACACAAGACTAAAACAGATACATAGAAAATGCTCACCTCATTTCTGCCATTATATCCTCATGCCAGTAGTTTAGCAAGGAGGCTAGTCTGTTCCTGTCATGTTCTGTAGACAGAAAGATCATTTGCAAGATCTCTTGCATGTTTTCAAGAGTTCTGTTTTCAAAAGGATTAGTAGCTTTTCCATAGCTTCCATGTTGTATATCATCAAAAAGTAAATCAAAGAAGTCAATTGTGTGAAGCTCTGTATCATTTGAATGCAGAGCTGTTTCTATAACGGCAAGGTCAGCAATTATATGAAGGACACTACTCTGCAAAACTGAGGCAGCAATAAGAGTATTATTCATATTTCCACCTTTAAGATCATCGTAGACCATGGATATATAATCTTCTTTAGACTGATTTTGGAAGAGTTCCAGAAAGTCAATAATATCTTCGACAACTAGCAGTAGGTCATCTGAAGACTTTTCAGTAGCCATTAAGATCAGAATATGCAGTACTTCAGAATAACTTGTAGTGTTAAGCTCACATAGAAAGGTGTTTACACTCTCTTGAATATCTTTAAAATTTCTTAACATAGTGTTGACAGATGACATGTTAAGCTGAGGTACTGGAACATCAAGATCCCTTGACTGCCCAGTAGCTACCCTTAATATCTGGAAGCCTTGCTCTACTGCCATAAGTAAATGCCTAACATTAAAATTCACTGATAAGTTTTCTATACTAGACTCTACGTGAAACCAGAAATTCTCAAAACTATTAGATGTATTTTCATTTCTATTTAAAGCTGATAATGCCATAAGCACCGAGTAAGTCTGGTTTCCAAAAGATGAGAATGTTATTAAAGGCTGAACTAAAGAGAGAAAAGAAAGGATGGGCTCTGTACCCAGCAATCCAGACAATTCATTGGTCATGTTCTTAAAATTTGAAAGAACTGTCTTCAAAAGTGACGTTTTTCTGTCTCCACTTGAACTTATGATATAATAAAGATCATCCAACTGCTCAAAACCAGCTATGGCTGTCTCCATTTCTGTCGTCGTCACACCATCCAGTGCTTCTACAAACTGTAAAGCTGCCTGCATCTTCAGTGTGGGTGAGCATGTGACTGAGGCTGTATTATTGGCCCCTAGAGGTACAGAATAAATAGACAGTTGATTCCAAAAGTCTAATACCTCTTTGAGAACTGAGTCATTTAAATGACAGAGCTCAGAAAACTTCAATAGAAGAGAGTTCCATTCTCTGATCAGATGAAAAAAGCAAGTCAGATTGCGCATGATATCTACCTGAAAGTCTTCCTTGGCACATAGGGAACTGTCCTCCAGGGGGATCAGTTTCAGCTGCTTAATTGTGTTAATGACTTCATTGTAAGCAAGAGAAAAATTGTTGTGTGCAAAGTTACAAGGTTTAAAAGCAGGATCATTCTGAGGTGCTGAGGTTCTAAGAGTCCAGCAGAACGCTGCAGAAATACAAACCAAGGCCTCTGTAGGTTCATGAGACAGATCACTCAGAGTTTGCTGTAACATTAGGAGACTTCCTACTTGATTAGATAATTCCTCCTTGGTAAGCATAGGTAATTTTGCTTCTTGAGTCAGTATAAAAGTGTACACATCTGTTAGTGCATCTGTGATGTTTCCATGGGCTAATCCTTCTGTAAGTCTGATGACATCAAGGAGAAGAGGGAACATCTCCATTGCATCTAAGAGCTTGTCCTGTTCCAACAGCTGTGACAGATGCCTGAAGCCAGTCAGATTCCAGTTACACAGATCATTCTCAAATATATCCAACCAGTCTGGTAACATTCCTAATGCCAGGTTCTCAACATACAAAGATCTGATACTTTTAAATAAATGAACCAGGCTCTGCTGGACTTTTTTGAATTGACCAATCAAAAACTCCAGATCTGTATGCTCCAGATTTTGCACCAAAGCTATTACATGATTCAGGACCTCTTCATCATATCTTCCCGGAAAACCAGTAAGGGTCAAAGACTTAAAAGCATCGAGTGCCTTCCTTGCCAGTTCAATGTTCATAGTTGATGCTTTTACTAGTGCTTGAAGTGTGTTGTATTCACTTTGCAACTTATGAAGCAATCTTCTTGAGTCAAGGTAGCTCACCATATGTTGAAAGAACTTCATCAACAAACTGAAATTTTTCTGATGCAAGAAAGCTTTAAACTCAGTATTCAAAGCAGAAGAGCCATTTTGCCAGATATCTTGAAAAATAAAACTTTTGATATTTTGAATTTCTGTCAGTAATTTTGTTAAGAAAAGATGGTGGTGATGAAAGGAATGAAGGAGTATACTAGAATTCTTGTTAGATTCATGGATTGACTGAGTAAAATGTGTTTCATTTGACGTATACTGAAAGTGCCCCATAAAACTCTCGTCAAGTATTGGTGTTTGCCCTTCTGAGATATTTACAAGTGTAAAAATAAAGTCAGTCATCCTAATATCATCTTTTCCATAAAACTTGGGGAGAATAAATTTTAAAGTTTTTGTTATAAAATTGGAATAAATGTTTACACAAAGAACATGAGAATCAGATAAGGAACATTCAGGGAATACCAAATTAAAAACAAAAATAATAAAATCCATCATGTTCCTTAGCTTAAGATCTCTCTCAGTGTTTCCCAGTGATTTCAGCAGAAATAGCACATGTTTTATGCTTTCAAGATGGGAAGGTGACTTGTATTTTTCACTGAAGTTACTAAGAATATGCACCCATTTGTCACATTCTTCTGCTTCAGCCACTGTACTGAAGTTCAGAAAGGAGTTAAGACGAGGAGAAAGATTAACCTGTGAATGACTCTTCTCTTTCAGAATATTGTTCAAAATTAATTTGGTAATATTCTGGAAGATGCTGATACAATCCATGTACTTCTCTTGAGATACACTTTTTAAAAAAGATACAGTGTCTTTTATCTCTGTAAGAATAATTCCAAGTTCTTTTTCAGAGAGGTTGACAATAGTAGAAATGGAATTTCTAATGGAATAAGTATTGGCATCTCTATTCTCTCCCTCAAATCTTCCTGAGAGGAAAGTATCAAGCCAAGAAATAAAAAAATCTCCATTATCAGCCTTCAACATAGACCTCTGCAATTTACTAATTCCCTCTCCTATAATTTCCAGAACCTCCTCCAAACTTTTACCTGTAAGCAAGCTTGTGACATCAATTGCATTGTTAAGTATACTTTGAAGATTACTAACGAGAACTTCAAAATCTTCCCAGTCATTTAAATCACCATCTTCAACTATGTTTTTTAACAGATGCGCTGCTGTTGCAGCTTCAACAATAAGTGTAGTTGTCTTATTGCATAGTTCAGAATGAGTTGTATTTAAAATGCTTTCAGAAACGTTTGCCAAACCATATCTTAGACTGACAAAAAAGGTTGAATTCAAATTTAAAATTTCAGACACTTCTTCAAAAATCCCTGTCCAGCTTTGAAGCCATAGAAAAGCGCACTGCAAAGCAGAAGACAAATTTATCTTATCTCCCAGTTTTGTTATGTTAGTTAAAACAGTGTCCAATGGAAACAGAAGAAAGTCATAATCCTCTACTGAATTCTCTATAGAAGTAGAGTTTGATAAATAAAAATCAATGCATCCATTATTTATCAGGCATTCTACTGATATACCAAAGAATTCTTCTAAATAACAAGCGGCAGCTGTTTGGATCTCTTCATCCATTAATAAAGTCTTAAGGCTGTTCAGAGAGTCATAGACAACTTGCATGTCTTTGCCTTTCTGTGTGAGAGACTGGGCCTGAAACTCCGTGAAATTATAAATGATTAATAACTTCTCACAGAGAGGCTGCCCAGATAAGTTCAAAAGTACATTAAAAGTTTCAGATAGAAGATCAAAAGCCAGGTCTCTGTCTTCAAAATCATGCCATAATTGAAGAGATAAAATATCTTTTGAGGTCTCATAAAGAAATGTTAATAGAGCACTGTTGCTTTCAACACCTAAGAGCAGATCAATGTTCTGATAAACAGAGAAGAGTATTTGAACAAGTGAGGCCACACTACCATTGTTTAATTTCTGAGTGTCTTTGAAAAAGTCAGATACAATTTGTCCTAACTCTTGCATTTTATATAAAAACGTTGCATTTGAGAGTAAGGAGGAGGAGGCATTACTCACTCCATGAATTGGATTGAAAGTTGTATTATCATGATCTTCAGTCAATGATGCAACCTCATACAGATGTTTTATGAAGTCTTCACTTCGGTATTTTAGATGGTTCATATCAACAATATTTAAATCTGGCCAACCAGTCAGAGTATTTTGGAAGAAAAGCATACTCATATTAAAGATTTTTTCATTTTCTGGTATGGAAAAAAAGACTCTAGCCAAGGTATCAAATACTTCTACTTCTCCCACTTGACTCTTCCCTTTCTGCCAGAATCTCTGAAGTGTGTGGAAGTTTTTTAATAGTTCATTATAGAGTTCAGAAACTGCAGGTGAGAAACCTGTGACAGTTTCCTTCCCTTGAGCAAAATTGTTTATCCATGCAATTGTATTATTCAAGACAGTTTCCATAAAAGAGTGAAGATTTAACGGGGCTGAGAAACTTGGCATAGCAATTTCTTCTATGAATCCTGTAAGGTATGAGAGAGATGCATTTCCAGTGAAAAGGAACTCTAAGTTTTGTCCTTTCTTCAAAAGCTCTTTGACTGATGTCGAAATTCTGAAATATTAAGCAAGATTTTTGTTAGTTAGGAGTAAGCAGTAGTAGACAGTAGACAGATAAAAAAGTTGACATAATATAAACAACTCTAAAGTCAAAAAAAATTCAAATACCATTTAAATAGCAATCAGAGTAATTGCTACCCGATCTTCAATAGTTCAAGTGACAATCACTTTGGTATTCAAGGGCATAACAAAAAGAGAATCACTAACTCTACTGCAGTATTGCAGCCCAGATTCCATCATTTCCCTTACTTACATAATATACCAGATGTGATGTTATCTTTTTAAATGCTTTTGAATGACAGTCAGAAAGATATATCTTTCCATCTTTGCAGGGCTATATTTCTATCCAATAACCCTGAAAAACACTAGTCACTCAACAAGCATAAGGCAGGTTAACTGTGTTCAACTATCAGAAAAGTTCAGATCAACTATCAGAAAAGTTCAGAATGGAAGTTGGGTAAGAGACTGGTGGAGAAGAGTTAAAAAGGGAAACTTTATGGATTAGTTCAATCCTACCGTGGCCAGGAAGTAAATGAGGAATAATCTGATAAGTTTTGCAGAAATGTTGAAAAATGACCAAAGATAGTCCTCAGACTGAGCCCGGAACATAGAGATACTTCAAATCCATCTGCAAAGAAAAAAAATATATACATTTCACTATAAAAAAAACAAATCAAGAAAAGTCTATGAACAACTTCATCAACTCCCACTGAAACAGTTTGATCTTACAGACTTTGACTTGAATGAAAGCAGAGAACATTTACAATCACATTCTGCAGTTGGAAAGAAATGCATAAAGGATATTTAAGAAGTAGTGAATGTGCATTTTTTAGTAAAGGATTTCATCTTAGTACTAGTGAATAATTTAAAGGAATGAGATACAGAATCAATAAATACTGGGTCTAGAGAAGGCACATTTGTATGTATGGGCAAAATCCTGAGAGGATAAAGGAAAAATAGAAAATATATTCTGAATTACACATGAACTGCATAACTACTGCAGAAAGAAAATATATATATATACAAACACATATATTTTATATAATAGTACACCTTGTGCTGCCCTGAGCCCAGAAACTTTCATTCAATTATCTTCGTTCCTTCTCTGGAATTTCAATAAAGGGAAGACATGCTTGTAAAAATCACTATTACTACCTAAGACACTAAAGATATCTGGGACTGTAATGGAACTATACAGTCAGCTCACATTAGTTTACTTCAGTGAAGTAGATTGTCATTTAAAAAAAAATGTAATGCTTGTTTTTCCATTCAGTTCCATGGAAGCTTACTTACTGAAGAAGTATTCAGTAGATATTTCTGAAAAGCTCAATAGACAGAAAAGTAGAGAAGAAATATGAAAATATATATATAAATGTGAATATATATATTTGAAGATCTTGTAAAAAATCTGCTGTCATACCCTCCCCTCTTTTTTTTTTAATTTTTTTTTTTTTTTAATAAAGAGTTCTTTGGATGAGCCATGTTGTGTCCTGCTTCAGAACTCCTTTACACCACATAAAACATTAACTAAATTACCATAAATATCTAACCAGAAAGAATACTGGAGACTTCAAAAGCTCTCCAATTCCTTCAAGACAAAACTGGTACTGGAAAGCTTTCCACTAACAAATGAATCTTAAATGTCTTAGCTGATTCATTTAAGATGAATCTTAGACCTGCTGCTTATTGCCTAGTACCAGGTTCATCCTGAGGAACTGGAGAGCTTTTGAAGTCTATAGAACTACTCAGAAATATGTGCTGAATACTTTATCAGTAAGCAGATTTCTATGGAACTGAATGGAAAAACAAGTATTACTTGATTTTATTTTTTAATTTCTTAAATCAATAAACTACCTTAATCAAGTAGTGAAGTCCTGATGAAGTTGCTGCTTATTCCCCTGGGTCTATGATATCCCAGCACAAGAAGAATCAAGGAAAGCCAACATCTCTCCAGTCTTCAAAAAAGGCAAGAAGGAGGACCTGGGCAACTACAGGCCGGTGAGCCTCATCTCCATCCCCGGAAAAGTGATGGAGCAGCTCATCCTGGCTGCTCTCTCCAGACACATGGAGGAGAAGGTACTCAGGAGTAGCCAGCATGGATTCACCAAGGGGAAGTCCTGCTTGCCTAACCTGATTGCCTTCTATGAAGGAATATCTAGCTGGATAGACGAGGGCAGAGCGGTAGATGTGGTCTATCTGGATTCGAGCTAGGCTTTTGACACTGTCCCTCACAGCATCCTCGTGGGTAAGCTCCAAAGGTGTGGGATAGATGAGTGGACGGGGAGGTGGATTAGGAATTGGCTCAGTGGCAGGGTGTAGAGAGTGGTTGTCAATGGTGCGGAGTCCAGCTGGAGGCCTGTAGTTAGCGGTGTCCCCCAGGGGTCGGTCCTCGGTCTGGTCCTGTTCAACTTACTCATTAACGACCTGGATGAAGGGATGGAGTGCTCCCTCAGCAAGTTTGCTGATGATACCAAACTGGGAGGAGAAGCTGATAGCCCTGAGGGCTGCGCTGCCATCCAGAGGGACCTGGACAGACTGGACAACTGGGCGGTGAGAAATTTCATGAGGTTCAACAAGGGCAAGTGCAGGGTCCTGCACTTAGGGAGGAATAACCCTGGACACCAGTACAGATTAGGGGTTGACCTGCTGGAGAGCAGCCCCGCAGAGAGGGACCTGGGTGTCATGGTGGACGACAAGTTGACCATGAGACAGCAGTGTGCCCTCGTGGGCAAGAAGGCCAACGGGATCCTGAGGTGCATTAAGAAGAGCGTCTCCAGCAGGTCGAGGGAGGTGATCTTCCCCCTCTACACAGCCCTGGTGAGGCCACAACTGAAGACTGTGTCCAGTTCTGGGCTCCCCAGTACAAGAGGGATGTGGAGCTGCTGGAGAGAGTCCAGCGCAGGGCTACGAGGATGATCAGGGGCCTGGAATATCTGCCCTATGAGGACAGTCTGAGAGAGCTGGGCCTGTTCAGCCTGGAGAAGAGAAGGCTGAGGGGGGACCTGATCAGTGTGTATAAATACCTCAAGGGAGGCAGTGAGGAGGAGGGGGGCAGCCTCTTTTCAGTGGTGGACAGTGATAGGACTAGAGGAAATGGCTTCAAACTGAAGCATCGGAAGTTCCACAGGAACTTAAGGAAGCATTTCTTCACTGTGAGGGTGACAGAGCACTGGAACAGGCTGCCCGGGGAGGTTGTGGAGTCTCCTTCTTTGGAGATCTTTAAAACCCACTTGGATGCAGCCCTGTGTCACATGCTCTAGGTGACCCTGCGTGAGCAGGGGGTTTGGACTCGATGACCTCTGAGGTCCCTTCCAACCTTGGGCATTCTACACATTCTATGAAATCAATCATGAAGACCTTGCATGAACATGAAACTAGTTTCGAAACTTCTCTACCGTGTGACCAGATAGTCTAGTCTCCTCTCTATTTATAACTCTGACTTCATAAGCTCTCCTGTCAACACAGTAGTAAAAAGACTATTCAGAGGTAACTACTCGGATTTTTTTCAACAAAAATGAATCAAAAAAAAATCCACTTTGCACTAAAAAAAAAAAAGCTATTTACTTAATGAAAGGAAAAGCAAAATCAGACTCCACATCACATACTCTATTTTTTCTTGCTTAAGACTTAGTCAGAGGGGAAATCCTAAGAGTGAGGACAACACAAGCAGGTTCACAGATGTAAAACCATCTCCACCCCCCAGCCCCCCCTTTCTGAGGAATAATGTTGTCTAGAAGAGACATGAAATCACTACAATCCTGTTGTGTAGCAGTTTTCATCCAACCCACCTGCGGGGCCCACTTCCTTATTCAGATATTGAGCTACTTCACATATCCATCCAGCAAAAGTTGCTAAATCCTTCCAGAATGGGTTTCCCTCAGAGGCAAAAGCAATTTCAAGGGTATTATTAATTCTAAAATGAAAGAAAACAAAAAGAAAGTTACCATGATAAAGCTAATGTTTCTTTTAAATACCCTTATGAGCACATCTAATTTCTTATTCAAAGTCTCTAGCTAAAAATCTATTTTATGTATATAGACCATTCTACTGACAACAAATGACCAAGGCAAGCAGGTTAATGGTCAATGTCTTTGCTAGATAAATCAGCAAAGCTATCACATCACTAGTGATAGCTAGAAAGCTAACTTTATTTCTAATACAGGTTTGCTAACAGTGGGTTTTCAAAAAGCCTTAAAACATTGACAAGATGCTTCAGTTCAAAAAAAGTAACATTTCTAAATGGAAGACAGTTATTGCAAAATGCTTTTTCTTGCCCTTAAACGTTTTGCACTGAGTTTATACCACATTTGCTTGCTCTACAATGTTACTTAAAGATAAGCATCTTCTCCCAGGATGCTTTCAGATCAGTGTTTTTAATTTCTTAAATGAGATTTAAGTCTTCCTGACAACTTCAAACTAATTTAGAAACACACAAAGAAAGGGAAGGCAATCAATGCTTTTCCTTCATTAAAAAGGGGCAAGAAAACAAAAGTTTTATAGTGACTAAGATGTTATTGCAATCAATGGGTTTGATGTCTCCTGACAGTGCAGGACATAATTTCAGACAGACTCTTGAATATTTGGGCTTAAAAGCATTACTGCTTTAATACTATTAAGGCAAATACTTCTGTGAAATGTCTCATGTGCCTAAGTAATGGACATAAATAGAATACATGAAATAACATGCAGAAGATAAACATGTTTGAGCTAGGATATTTGATATATATATGCAATCTCCTGTTTTACCTTCCAGAGTGACATACAAATACCTGAGGGGAGAATAAAGGTAGAATGGGGCCAAACCAAACAGGGCTTCTTTTTTTTTTTTTTTTTTTTTTTTTTAAGCAAAACACAACTCTCTCCAGTGAGGAGGCTAACAACCCTACTTTAGCTAACAAAATGAGTATAAATGATTTCCCTTCTCAGAAGTAAGGGGTTTTTTTTTTTTTTTTTTTTTTTTAACTCCTTCTCAAAAAAAAGGAAAGAAGCACCCTCCTTTATCTTCCCATTTGTACTTTCTAGAAAGTTAATGAGATTGGGCTGTAATCAAAAAGTAAAAATCAGTGGTTTGACTCTTTTAGTTATTAACTTAAGAGATCTAACTACTGCATTGCAAGCTGCTAGTTCCAAGAAGAGAGGTAGCATGTTTATGGATAAAAAAAATACAGAAAATACCTACAGTGAAAAGAGCAGCTGCTCCTGACAAGAGTCAAAATGGACATCCTCCCCAGATGGCATCTCTGTTCTCAGTAACTGATAAATTTCACAGTAATGAGCATAACTTTCAGTTAGCTGCTCTTCTATTTCTTTCCATCCCAAAATATCATCCATTACTGAATCTGGAATGCTCTGCTGACCTTGAATAATTTTCTGCACAAGTAGAATCTTTCACAAAGAGAGCAACAATTGGTTACCAGTAAATGGAAAACTAGTGAGAATTAGTACCTACTTCTTAGGTACGAAGAAGACAACATTAGTGAAATCCAACATAAAATAGATTAAACTCGCACCCTCTGAAACATCCATGCTTTTCTTTAAGCCACAGCTTGGTAATCTAAAATGTCACAGCCACTCAGGAGTCTCAACAGGTCCACATGTGCCTTTCTCCAACAGGCATCTTAATCAGATTACATAATTAGTTACCAATTGCTAATTAATAGCAAACACTAAGCAGAAAGTTATAGCACATGCTATTTTATTTTTTAACAGCAGAAAGGAAGGCAAAACAAGCTTTAAATGTGAAAAAAAAGATTCCAGATAAACTTACAGATTCCTTTAGGGACTGGAGCTGGTTGCTTAACTTGAGAGTCATATCTGAGTCGTTGCTTGGGCACATATAAATTTCTAAAACATCGATGTCATCTGACCCTTCTGGAAGCCTAAGGACCATCTCAAACAGTGTAAGCACATCATTGCATACATAGGAAGCATTGCTCAACAGCATCTGGAATTTAATCAATATACTGTTACTTTAAAAATGAAATCAGTGTGAAGGAACAGATTTAATTCACACCCCATATTAAATTTCACAATGAAATGTCAAAAGACAGGGGAAGAAATGCACACAATTGCACCAAGATGCTGCTAAGTACAAAGTAAAAAATGATTACCAATTTCTTTTTTTTTTTTTAAATCAAAAAAAAAAAAAAATAGACCTCTACAGCTATGTGCACGTTAATGTGCAAGCAAGAAATAACATACCTTTTTTAAATCCACAAAGAGCTTTTCAATGTCTAGATGAACAAATCCATCTCTTGGGGCAAAAGGAATTAGTTTTTCCAGATTATGTAAAACTTCTGTAAAGACATTCCACCCCCCAACAATAAAGAACATGTATAATTTACAAAATAATTTGGTAAGGTTGTGTACAGTAGCAGACATCATTCTGAAAAAGAAAATTGCACATATGTTTGAAAAATACAGGCATACAGATGTTCCAGTTTTGGCTTGGATGACTTTCCTGCCCAAAGATCACTGTTCTTTCACACAGAAGACATGCATGGTTGCACTCTGCACTCCTGAGGGGCAAAGACCATTCCCCTCTCGCAGTGCCACTGGAAATATCTCCTCATCGAGGTAGACAAAATTTGAAATGCAGAAAGTCTGACTAATTCTCTGGGCACCAAATCAAAACTGTAGTCTCATCCTTCTGAAATAAGGGATAACCTTAACTTAGTAATACTTCTGGAATTTAATATTAGGAAGCTGTTGAATCCACAGCATGATGAGGGCAAGGCTTGTCCCCAGGTCTGGCCAATGGTGCAGCTAAGGATGCATTCCCAGCAGGCACACATGTACATGCATATATACGTATGTATATTTACATACAGCTACTACACAAAATCAGCACAGGCAGATACACCAGGCACTCCTGCCACACAAACAGTACCAATGACCTTATCTGTTTCCCTGTCTGGTTCCTCTCACAAAGGCAACTTTTGCTTCCTTTACCACCACTCTGGCTTTGGGCCAAGAAGGGCCCCTGGAAGGAGAAGCAACCTATTCCTACACTCCACAGCCCTTAGTCAAGCTCTTAAAGAAATACAAGTGGCCTTATGTCCAGATCTGTGTTTTGCTTCTCTGCAATGACTGGCAAGACCTCAAGCTACTTCTAAGTATCCACCAGGCAAGCTTACCTTCAGTGAAGTTTAAGCTGTGGATTACTACATTCCTTAGAGCTCCATCTATGAGAAGCCATCTCTTTGCAATGGGCCACTGAGGCACATCCCAAAGCACAGCCTGCATTCTCGCCAGGTACCGGATCCTGCAGACAAAGAGAGAAGTCGATCACAGGAACACGCAGTGTGCTGTCAACAAGAGGGTGAGGTTGTGAAAAAGTTACGCTACTCTTCGGGGTGCACTCACAATATCATCTGCTTTGCAGCTTGTTATGGTTACAGTAATGTAACCATTTTTTTTAATTAAAAAAAGACACAATTCCAAAATATATTACCAAGTCTTTAAGTAATTTCACCACGTTCTCTCTGTTGAGCACAGATGATGGATTTGGCAAAAGTTTCAGAAAAAGATACAAGCAAAGCAAATTAAAGATTCCTCTGACTTAGCATTCACTGTCCAGTCTCCCAGATGAGAACTACAACTTGTTTTCATGGAAGATTCATATACACAATCCTCCTTTCTGCCTTTGGAAACAAAACATGGAGAAATTCTTCACCAATAAAGTTCATTTTCTATTAAATGAAAAGTTTCTGAAAGCTCAAGCTGGGAAAAGGAGATTAAAAAAAGCAGATGATCCTCAACAGGAGAAAATTTAAGACCAGGTCTTGAACATGTGGCTAGAATCCCATATCCATTCATCATCTTCAAGAAGATTCTTTTGCTTTTTTGAGGCACAGTTAAAACAGGGACGTGCTGTACAGTATTACCGTTCAGGTTTATCCTCAGAAACTGATTTATAAAGAATGAATCATATCTCCCACCACAAAGGATGTTTTTAGATGTGAGCAATCAGGGCTACTACGAGCTACACCAAATAGAGACCACCATCTCTCAAGTGATGCTAGTCATCCCAATCAGAGTTCAGAAGGGTTCAGGCCTCCGCACTAACCAAGACTTTTGTGAGATTAATACCAGAGTTTATGAGCGCTTACTACTTTTATGTATCTACAAAGATAAATCACATTCAATACTTCCAAAAAATGGTGTCCTAGTCACTTTATTTTGCTCAAACACCTCAGAACAACTGTCATTAAGTAAAATGTCTTGTATTAAGATGGGTATCAAAGGAGTCTCCAGAGATGTAACAAAACCAGCTTCTGAGTTGTACAGGACACTAGGACAGTAACTAACTGTCAAATGGACAGTTCTACTGCACCAAAATGATTTATGCAAATTCAACAAAAGATCAAATCATTCTGTCTAGATGCAGAACTTACAGCCAAGCCTTCCTACAAACTCCTTAAAGTTGCATCAATTGATAAATCCAACAGACAACTTCAAACTCCAAGAAAAGCTCAAAAATATTATAAATAAACTACACAAAGGGTCAAGTTGTGAGAAGTTATGTTTCTTTCTCATCACTTGTGAGAGTAAGGACGGTGTGCTTTATTACGTTATTTTGCCCCAAACACAGTTAGGAACTACACACAATTTAATCCTACACATTTATATACATGTAATTCTGACCTCCATAGTAGGCTTCTGCTCAAGATCTGGACAAGTTATTATGTATATAACTCAAGAAAAGTCTCATATATTTTAGGTTCACAGGACTTACTGTGCAGAAATAGATTGATTCTATAGCATACGTATGAGAAGCATTACTGATTCACACAGCAGCTACTTGTAAGAACTAGACTTTACAAGACACGGTAGAGAATTCAGACCCCAGTTCATCAAAACACACATGTAGGCAATTGCTGATTCCTATGAGTCCTAATGATGTGCCCTCTCTGCTGAACTTATGACTCTTTGCAGGACTTCTCTGCTGAACTTCTGACTAGACACATTTACTCTGAAACACACATTTTAAATGCCTTTTTCAGGATGTACATGTACTAAAGCAACTATTTGACCGAATATGAAATTTCAAATTACAGAATAAAAATAAAACTCACACTACACACTTACGCACTCCATACTTCAAAACCAGACAGAAATAAATAAATGGCACATGAAACTAAATATTCCAGTTAAGATAAACTTCATAACATAAGTTGCAGAAATAAGGTAAGAATAACTTACAGATCATGAGATGGAGTATACCCTTCTGAGAAATGGGCTTCTGATTTCTCATTGCACTGCAGCATTAGGGTACTTAACCCTGAAACCATCTTCCTGGCTTCACTTTCATCTAAAAACTGAGACATTAAGTCAGCTATCATTCCTTCAAGTTCAGAAAGAAGCTTTTGAGACTGGCTACTGGTGAACCATTGATGATATACCTAGCAGATGGAAAGCAAAACAGAACAGATACTGTGTAGAGAAACAAAGATTACTTATTTAGTCAATATTCGCAAATACACTGCTCTCTGAAGCGACTGGTGCCCCAGAAGTTAATCTGAGACTCCAATAGTTTGGACTGACTTGCAAGCCAACAATATCACACAGCAAACTTAACATCCCCTGGGCAATGCTGTGTTCTTTCTGAAAACTCAAGGATGGTAAAAAGTTGGCCTAAGACTGCAGCCAAAGACAAGCCTTCTTGAGCAGCTACTCAGTCTTGCCTTCCCCCTTCCAAGGTTTCTGCTGCCACTACCAATACCGCAATGGAAGCTAGAAGTTGGAGAGCAAAAATATCAATGCATTTGAGTCCCATGACACAGCCAAAGATGGAGGAGACTACATGATCCCACTAAGCACCTGACCAAAACTGCTGACTGAGCTCCTTCCCTCCATCATTATGCTTTCTAAGTGTCATGTAGTTGTAACAGATTTTTCACTAGATGTCATTTTCATCAAGGGAATTCCCAGGGGCCAACAACTTAGAGCACTCGAAGTTGCCATTCTAAGGACATCAGCATTTGCCATACTTGCATTTTTCTGTAACAATATAAGGGCTAGTTTTGACAGCCACATTAAATAATGACTTCAAGTCATCAGATAACTCTAATCAAGACAGAAACTAAAGTCTATTTCTGAGGAAATACCTAATAAGCTCAACCGTACAAACTGTGCATCATATTTCAAACGTCCTCTAAGCAGGACTAGCATTTTTTTTTCATGCAAAGAAAACAAGCTTCAGAGAAAAGACACCATAATTAAGGCAGTTAGGTAAGTATTTTCTTTAAGAAATACCTGAATTGGATTATCCTCTTCTCTGTACAGCTACATATGTGTCATCCTAATACAGACCAGATACTGGTTGCTGGACCAGAATTTTAAGATGCTACACTGAGATTGACCTGAACATCCTTTAGCCATTATTGCAAGAGATAGTAGAGGATGGATAAAAATATATGTTGCATCACTGCAGGCCTGTAAACAGCATACAGTTTTCCCAAAATTCAAGTGGGACAATAAATGGGCCTCCTTCTTTCAGGCCTCTTGCAGCACACTATGCTTCACTTTACAGTCCCTATTAGGTTTCAGTCATGCATTTGAGTTAATGAGAAAATCTGATTAAGCAGACACATAGCAATAAAATATTCTCCCATACTGGTTCCTTATTAGAAAGGATTAGTCTGCAGCAAATTGAAAAGAATCACGACAGTAGTATTTAGAAGCAAACTCAGACCTTTTCATTAAGTCACTGTTGACAATCTACCTGCAAGAAATATGATTTTGATCTTTTGACTTGTTGAAATATACCTGAGAATAGAGTTTCGGCTTGCTTACAGCATTGACAAGATAGAGTTTGGCCTCATGCCATGCAGAAATGCAGCCTTCATCATTATGCTCTCCATTTGCTTCATTTCCTGGCACACTGGACAGTGCAGAGCACACAAACTGCTCCAGTGTCTCTTCCGTGGGAATCTGACAGATGCAACAAACAAGGTGAGCACGTCAGAGAGCTACCAAATACTCTCTCCTATCAAATTACTTATCTGGTTAAAAGGAACACCACATAGCCTCTTTCAGTGAGAACAAAGCCCATTTATTGCAAAACAGTCTTCTACAATACATATTTTTAAGTATTCTCCATGCAGAGTGTGGTAGACAATACCAGGTGCCCCATGAGGGCATTGATCAAATCAAACATTGATATGAACATACTGCAGACTAGCTTTCAACTAGAAGTTGAAAAGTATTTTTTTTTTAAGTATGCCAAAAGGCGAAATTTTTTTCTTACAAGCTGACCACTGAACTCAATGTAAAAATATTTTTTTCCGCCATGATATAAGTTTAATTAAAGATAACTACATTTGGTAAAATTTCCAAAATAAAATAATTTAGTCCATCTTAGCTCTCCTTAATGAAGTCTTCGAGGTACCTGCTACTTTAGCTCTTTAGCTATGATAGAAAATTGATAAGAACTTTTATAGATATTTTGACACCAAGCCAGCTGAGGAATTGGACATAAAATTCAAGCATCTATTTAACAGTGATCAAGGCAGACACTGCCCAGGCTTCCCTATTCCCTTCCACATTATTTGAGTCTTGAGAGCTCCAAGTACATACAACATAGAGGTAACATCACCTATAAACAACTAATGAGCATTGCTAGAGTGAGCAACAACTAGTCAAAGTCAACCACTTTGGCCAGAGATGATTTCATTATGCAACTGTTCAAAATATACCCACTTACATATATCAAATGTATTTTATAATGTATCAATTTATAAACGTATGAAATTATAAAAATGTATTTTACATGCTCTAGGTGACCCTGCATGAACAGGGGGGTTGGACTAGATGACCTCTGAGGTCCCTTCCAACCTTAAGCATTCTATGATTCTATGATTTTTATAATGACAGCCTCTGACTCCAGACTGCACCTGGCAAAGTGCAAACATTTCTGATAAATACAAGCACAGGCTATTTAAAAAATAAACTGTGGACTTCAGTAGAATTTGAACAGACACTTTAAATATTCTGCTGGTCAAATCAGACAACCATACAGTCTATTCTTGTATGCAGGAAGAGTTTTTCCTCTTCCTCACTGAAGACAGATTTTCTTCAAAATTTGAACAGGGGCAACTCATCACACAAGTACATTCATCAGACTGCACATTCAAAGAAAAGACTCAATGTAAGAGCTGAGTTTAGCTAAAATGCCAAGACAAAAAACATAATTGGACCTTGCCTTCACTTTTTCCACATTTTAATGTTTTAAAAAGTCATCTGCATGGTAAGGACAAACAGCGAACAAAACATTTCCATCTCAGTACCCAGGATAGAGCTCAATACCCAAGAAGCTCCCTATTTTGGCAGTGCTGATTTCTGTGTGTGGTGGGAGTCAGAAAAATGGGGAAGGAAAGGAGCAGAATAAGTTATGTTTTTTAACTAATGACAAAAGTAAAGAAATTCAGATCTCATTACTGCAGTATATGGGTAAATCGTAAATTGCAATGGCTTGACAAAGCACCCATGAATACAGCCATAAAGACATGGCTGTATTCAAATATAAATGTGAAGCCCACTGAATTCATCTACTCGATGAAATCAAGTGATTCTCAGAACTCCAGTGCTACCAATTGCCCGCTTCCAGTCACAGCAAAGGATAGAAAACCCACTCAAATTCATTGCACAAAGTTTAATTTAGAGAAATTAATTTCTTCCACTTGAAGACAAGCAGCAACTGTATTTGAAGTGTTTGCCAAGCAGAAAATGATACCTGAAGCATACAGTGTTGACAGCAATGTCTAACAAATATAAGCTGCCTGGAGGTCTTCCTGGGATTTATTTTACAAGTTCTTCTTTAGCAAAGCTTCTTTTGTGTCCAGAGAAAGTAGTGTTTGTTACTGAGAAACAGTATCATTTCAGGAATTTAACATTCCAAGAGTGATTGCTAACACAATCACAAGTGATTCAATTAACTCAATGGGGTCACACTGTGTTTGTGTGACCCTTCCCCCCCAAACTTTAGACACAGAGATTTACTCAGTGCCTAAGATATGAAAAAGTGCTAAATGAGTTCAGGTATCTTCAAATGCAGAATTTAATTTCAAAACTTATTGGACCCAAAAAAAGGTAACTCCTCTCCTGAGTTCATTACATGATCGTGTATTTTGCCATACTCAGTCTTATACAGCAGCAACATTTACATTTCACTATTGTCTCCAGAGAGGCAGAAACTCATTAATGTAAGATGAAAAAAAAAGGTCTATAAGCATCTTCATGTGCAGAATTTCCATATGAAGCTAAAAATAATTTTGACAGGAACAAACCCAGCATATTTAGCAGACTTGTAGCTGCTTCACTAATTTGCATCCTATCATTTATACCCCCTTATTACTCCCAGAAAAAGTCTTTTTTTTTTTTTTTAATACACCTGTACTTTTAATTTTTGCAACCTATTTAAAATGAGCAACTTGTCAAGAGCCAAATATTTACTGAAAGGCCCAACTAACAAGGCTAACTAAATAACAACCAACTAAAGGTCCTTCTTCTAATTGTGTCTGCAACTTCTGCAAAGGAACATAACTTAGAGGGACAACCTAATGTACTAACGTGAATATTATTAAAAAGCATGATTTGTTTCCCAACATGAAAAATACCATTGTTCATTTACAGATGATTTTAAGTGATTAATTATATTCTCCAATTAGCTAATCATGAATCACAGCACAAATGCTTGCTGATCAAAGCTCAGATTTTGTTTTTAAGGCTAGGCTGGCAACATTTGCTCAAGTTACTTACGTTACAGAAAATGCAATGATGCTTTTGTCTGCCCCCATAGGATATTGTTATAGTTTCTTTAAGGCATGAAAGATCCCTTCCAGGTACCATTTAAAACCAGATGGTGAAAGTCGAACTGCAATTAAAGTGTCTTACCTCAGGTAGCTGTGAGGCATAACTTAGAAGCTTCTCAATGCGGAGATCATTGAAACCAAACCTGGATTTAAGTTGCATTCTGACAACATGTGGATCCCACAGCATATCCCCCAGAGAAATAGTATGCTGAAAACCTAGAAGAAAAAAAATACCTATTTTATCCTTTTGTTTTTTTCTTTATTTGAATTTCATAAGACCCAAGCACTGTTTTCAACTTAACTGCATGTACCCAAGCACCAGTTTCATGACAACAAAATTTAACCTCACTAGTAGCATGGTAAGGCGAGCTAGTCTGCTGGCATTCAGCCAAACGTCAGCACGATGAAATGCCCCTGTGCAGTGATTGCCAGCAAACCCACTGGCATGTAGTTCTGAATTGTGTGTCAGCTTCAACATGTAGACATGCAAATGTGTATATCCAGGCTGTAAATGAGTTATTACGAAGGGAGGAAGAACCAGGAAAAAACACCAGTTGAACTAAGGTAAAAAGATTTGCATAAAGGTGCTAGTTTTGCACTTGCGTTTCAGACCACAAAAGCTTCTTGAAGAGAGTACATCATACTTGTACTGCAGTCAGAAGAGAAGCAACAAACAAAGCAATTTTGCAACACTTTTATTCTAGTTAGCTTGCAAAGCAATATCACTAGCAACAGAAAGTTAATGATCCAGTACATATTGAGCTATCTCATAAGTTTTTTTAACCTACAAGGAAACAGGTATCACTGCAGAATATCACTGTGATAAGAACCACACAGATAACATGCTCAGATCTGCCTACTTCATGGCCACTGCATCTATTAATTGCACTACACATAAACTTCCTAGCTTAAAAGTTAGGCTTAAAAACAGAGAACGCACAAAGTTATCAAACTATCTGAATATGTTTTATACAATTATATCGCACATTTACAGTTATTCTAGACTATTTTTAATCTAACATACAGGGCAGCACAAATGCAACTTTTCGCAAAGCGAATATGTCCAAAGAGGCCGCAGCTTCCCCACCTTTCCAACACCTACTGGGAGTTTCTAGTGTACCTTTTCATTCACAAAGCCAGTACTTCCTCACACTCATGAAAGCTGTCAAAATATCCTGCCTGCTTTGGGTGAACTTCTCAAAGGACTAGCTAGACTCATTGCTACACAGATCAGCCTGCACATTTCTCATAGCTTTGAGGGTAGCCACAAATGTAAAATGTCAGACTGATCAACTCTTATTCATCTCTGTTTTGATTACTAATTAAGATTTCAGACACAGAAATGAAAAACAGTAACAATGTGAGCCCAGACTCAAGCAGAGCACATTTCTATGCAGGGCTCCAGCACTTTTGCATCACTTTTGCGCTATCACCTTTGCATCACTTCAGTCCATTTTTTTGATGGCTGAAGTGGGACTTTGACCATATACAACTGTTGAGGTGGATTATCAAGGACAAATGGTTGCACCTAGCATCCAACTGGTCCTCTACAGCTTGCAAACAAAAGGAGTTCCTGACCTTATCTCACACAGCTGTCTTGGGTGCAGCCTACATTCTTCAGCTGAACTTACCTCCCAAACACAAGCAGCAGAGGGGATAAATATTGCCCTTCAGCTGATGCTAGAAATTGTTGCAACTGAAGAAGAAGGTCAAAGCATGAAAGCCACAGGACACCACTATACGTATCAAAATGAGAGAAAATTCTTTCAAAGGTAAGGTCTAGTCTAAATCACTACAAAGAAAACTCCCAAATTCACTGCTGAGATCCTTGTAAAGGTGATGTATTAAACCATTACAATGCTGTTCATATAAACTATTGCTACAGTCTGATGAAATTTATTCAGACATAAAAACAGATCAACAGAGAAACAGGTGAGCACTATAGCAACATATTTTAATTCTTAGACCTTATTAAAGTTAGTTGGAGCCCAGACAGCTATTGCAATCACATATTCCTAACATGCTTAAAAGAAAATTAGAAGCAAATTACTTACCTTCCAAGCTGCTGTCCTGCAAAAAGTGCACCAATGCAGACATTAAATTCAGTGCTCTTTTCACTATTTCATAGAAACTCTGGCCCAAAGGGATCACAGCTAAATCTTCCAAGGGAGCAAAAGTACTGAAATTTAAAAAAATAGATTAAAAAAGAAACAAACTAAAGCTCTGCATAGTCTGAGCTGAAGAACTGAAAGCGATTTGAAAAATATGAAACTCAAGTGACTAAATTTTAAAACAGTGTTAAAAAAGTTTTGCCAAATTACATTTTTCATGGTAAAATGCAAGTTGAGATTTTACAATTATAGGCTCACTCAATTTTCATTAAAGAAACAAATCCACATTCACAAGCAAAAAAAATATTAAGAACAAGAACATCAGCATTCTCCCAGTCACCCCTGAGCAAGATAAAATGGATACAAAATGCTTATTTTATCTTCCAATCTACAGAAAAAAAAAATGTTTACAGCAGCAGAACACACACACACAAAACACATTATAGAAAACACTGATTTAAAACACATCTCAATTTCTTGCAAGTCTCAAGTTTTGCTCATTTTAGCTAGGGGGGAAAATTCCTTGTTAATGTACCTGTAGATAATTTTAGAAGTTTCCTGCAAATTTATTTCCTATAGGTTACTCTTCTGCTCTTATGCAAATCAAGCTCTAATTTGATTAGAAGGCATCATCAAATGTCTTAAAACTTATTTCCAACAACTGTGAAGTAAACTGTGGAGAAAGGGAGGTTGAAGCAGCTCACCCAAGCATGGAAAGGGCATCCCAATAAAGAGGAGACATGAAGAAACACACACAAAGCAGGGATTTTTTCTTTAGTTATTTGGTTTGCTTTGCATTTTGTAGCCTTTTTCCACCCTCTCCGTGGGTTCCTATGTACCTTTGAGAGCCACAGCAAAGCCTTGGGAGGCTGGAGGAATTGCACATTCAGGATACCTTGGACTGACTAAGTTTTACCTAACTAGGGCTTCTAGAAACATGTTGAAAACAGTCAAGAGACAGACATTCCTTCCAGTTTGTTTCCTAAATTGGGCTACTAATGACAAATTCTACCACTGAAGACCAAAGTATTATAAACAGATTAGTATGTTAGTCATTTTGGGTCATTTGCCTTACATTTATTAGGTCATTTGCCTTACATTTATTAGGGAACGCCCTTGTGCAAACCACGCACTGAGTCACAAGGGAAACTGCAGACAGAGAGTCACTGCGTGACTCCACAGGCATATGCTGGGCTCCCTGTGCAGAGATGCCCTTGAGTGTCTCCATCTGCCTCTGCTGGCAGCAGCAGTTGAAAAAGGCCAAGGACATTTATCACATCTCACTCAGCCCATGCTATAGCTCAGGAAAAAAATGACTGCTAAGAGTATAACCAATTAAAGATCAAGTAGATCAGCCAAGGATTACTCTTTGTTGGTTGCTGCTGAAGAAAACAAAAACACTACGATCAAGGTTCTGTCTTATCTCAGAAATTCTGTGTTTCAGTAATTTTGCTTGAGGTTTAAGCACCTCACAGGGCATTAGCTTTGCACATTAATGGGTCACAGAAGAGCCTGGAATAAGGTTACAACCTACTTGGGCATGAAGGAAATAGAGGCCTGGCACAATTTACACAGCAAAAAAAAAAAAAAAAAAAAAAAAAAAAAAAAAAAAAAAAAAAAAAAGAGAGATCCTTCATAAAAAGATCCTTCATATAATTTTGAATATGAAAATGACAGTGAGATGCTAAGCAGCAACCGACTCAGCCCAGATATATCCCACTCAGTGCCCGGACCCTGCCACCTGCCACCCCATGGGATTAGCACAGGGTGAGCTGCTGAAGCTCATGCCCAGCCTTACAAAAGCAGCAAGCTCAGCTGGTCCTCCAGCCTCGCCTGTTATTTTACTACTGCATCTATTACCTATCAGTTCTGGCAAAGATATTTCTGACCTTCACCTGAAAATCCCATAGATATCCTATGTCTTCCTCTCAATCCACTTGTTCTTTACCTGAGGCAGAAAACTCCTTTCACACTCAGATTAAAATCCACCCCTGCCCCCCTTTTTTTCCTTACTGTTTGCTCAATTTCTAGAAAATAACCAGAACTATTTTGATAGTAAGATTTCATTTTCTTCATATCAAAGAGCTAAATGCATTAAGCTATGTAAAATCCAAACCATTACTTTCTTACATATGTAATTATTCTGTATTCTGAGGAATCCCAAAGAACATGAGAGTTTAAAGCTATTTTATATGATAGGATCATTTCAGCCATTGCTAATATGAAGCATCTCTCAGACCTCTAGGAAATCTCTACTAAGCTAGAGAGAGATAAGAGACACAGTACACAGAAAAAATGAAATGGTTCCAACTCCTACCACATCCCTGTGAAAGCAGCACACACAGAGAAGAAAATCTGACCATTCCTATAGTGATAAGAAGGCTTATTTCATTAAATAAGCTGTAAAGATATCATAGACTTCAATAAAAAAGAGCACCTTAAATTCACAGTGTACAAGTACTTACTTTTCAACGGCCTTGAGAAACTGTGCTATCACATCTAACCCTTCTTCTGTGTAGAAGCTACTCAATTTAAGCCGAGGGAGTGAATGCAGAAGGTCCCAAAAGTGAGGTTGCTTATATAGATTTTCTATCTTGGAAATCATTTCCTCTGCTTCATTCAAATTCACCTTTATGTGAGGGAAATATTTAAAATATGACAATTCTTTAAAGGGTAAGGAAAATTAAACAACACACACAGTAGCAGCTGCCTGTTACTTCCTCTACTCTAGTTCTCTCTACCTTTTAGTCATTTAAGATGCTTTCTCTGGTGTGGAAACATAACCTCTAGCTTTGATATTTCACTTAGCTTAGTGATGCTTGGAACCCATGGCAGTTCTTTCTCAGCTATCCACCTGTGCTCTGATAGAAAACAGAGATGGGAAAAACACTAGGCTATCACCTTCTGATCAGAAGCATAACAAGACATGTTGTACTTTCCAAAGAAGGGTTGCCTTTAAGAACCAACACAGAAAGATGTATTTAGTGTTGCGAGCAGTTTTTGAGTATGGGTTAGAGACTAGAACTCTAACAGGAACATCCCATCTTCTTTGCAGTTTTAGCTTAAATTTATTGGTCAAGCCTTATTTCTCTAATTGAATATTTCTGTAGGACTTTTCTGGATAATATTCAGCAACAATAGCATGGGCTTATACAACAAGAGAGGCTTGTGTATAAAAGCTCTGTAGCCAATAGTCCACTTGCAACATTTTCATGTTGATAAACACAACTGTTTTTATTTTATATGTCATTCTAAAAAGGAAATTTCATATTGAGACAGGTCTTCTCAATCAAGTATCACATGAGCAATGGAAAGTTTTGATGCTCTACTAAAATATGAACCAATTCAAAATCATAGTCAGAAATCTGCATTTCATGAAATATCAGTTGCAATCACTCAACTATGTAAAAAATCTATTGCAAGTATTTCTAAAGTGAAGCCAGTGATTTGTGAAGTGTACAGAAGTGACAGCAACAGTGATAAATTAATGTGTCCATTCAGTTGCCTTTTTTTTCTGTAAAGATTGCCAAGAAATTGAGAAAGTGAAAGACTGATTTATGAGGACTTCACAAAAAGAAAAATCTACATATGCAGCCAAAGTTATTCTGGAAAGAATCATGCTGCATTTTGTGAATCTCTCTTCTGTCACTCCCAGTTGAATTTGCTTGTTGTATTTAATGAATCACAAAACTGAATTTTAAGTAATCTCCTCCAAATAGCATCAGCATATTTTCAGTTTTTGATATTAATCAGACATTAAGATAAGCGCGCCTTGTAAGATACTTTGTGATATGATTTCATACAACTATTCAAGGTCTGACAGATGCACTTTTAAAATGCTAATAAATAGCCTTTCAGCAGTATTTTTGTTGTTGTTGTTGTTTGTTTGTTTTTAGCAACTAACAGCATAGACTAGCTTAAAATCAGTAATTAACAAAGAGCCTTTTTTAAAAACATATTTCTAAGATGTTTTTAACTTGAAAAAGGTAATTTTGTGAAAAGATACTTCACTAAAACTTGACAGAATACACATTTCTAACCTTTATAATAAAGTTGACTCAAAATCCAGAACAGCAATTTAGAAATAAACTGTAAAAATACTTACAGCGAGAAAAGTGGTGCTGTAATCGAGCCCTGTAAAAATCAAAACATTTTTCCTTTACAGAAAGGCATCATTAACTTCAGAAAGATCCATTTTATAACCAACAGCAAGTAGTATGGAAAGGACATTTCAGATGCAGAAAAGAGGCTTGTAACACTCCTGGAAAGCTAGTGACCCAGTAATTTTCCATGCTTTCTATTGTTTTCAGTATTATCAAATAAACTGTTTTAAAGAAATGGTTTATCACTCACTCATCAGTAAGAGAAATATCATCACCACAGCTCCCAGGCAAACGTAGCAGCCTCAAAGAGCAAAGCACGAAGCCACCCAAAGCCCAGATCTGCTTAAATCTTCAGCCAGAAGGACAAGCAGGAGAGGGACCCAAGGCCTGTCCACCTGCTACGAGGCTGCTGAACATGCAGGGGAACAGAGGGGAAACCTCAGTGCTTCCATTTCACTCTTCCAACACAAGACTGATTTGTTTGTCTATAGTTATCAGGTGTTATTAGCTGATGTGGCTTTCTAGTATTCCTTTTCTCTCTAATACAGCACAAACTCCAACAAGGGAGAAACCCGGGTAATTCGCTAGAACAGATCATTCTTCCTAAACCTTGATGGTTACTTTTGAACGCACATTATTCTGAGCATTGACTTAGCCAACAAGGAAACTATTTGTGAAAAGTGACTTTCACTGGGAATTTCATGATAGCCACAGAAACAAAAACAAAACAGCAATTTTTTTCCTACATTAGCTAAAATTGTAAGGGGGTGAGGGGACATTATTTTTGAGATAAAATTATTCTTATATTCAGTGGATTTTACTATCTGAAAAAGCAATTCATTTGAAAGCTCATAGTTTACCTGAAAACTTTAAGTCTTCTTCCCATAGTTTTTCCAAAGCCATGGCTTTCTCTGTGGTCTCAATAAATCCCTTTGCAAGATCTTTTATGTCTTTCATGAAAGCTAGATCAGGTCCTATATAGCCCCCGGGACCACCTTCAAAGCCAGAAGTGCTTTTCACAAAAGAAACAGGAAAAAAAAATTACAACATGGAAACAAATAGCTCAAAGATATGTATCCCCTCACAGCAGCACTTCCAGTCTTTTTTGTTTGTTTTCCCTTCTCTCTCCTCCTCTAAAAACTAAGATGCATTTATCTAATTCTTATTTTCTTCAGTTTATCAGATGCGAAATGCACTACTGAGTTGTAAAATCTTAGGGAGAAAAGGACAGTGAGAATTGATGTGCTGGAGCAGTTCACCTATCCCAAATAACCCAATTCTGGCAGTAGCCAAAGGAGGACACAACCCAAGAAGTCTTCAGCATAGCAGAATGTCTTTCCTTGGTCTATCATGAATTCAGGGAAGAGATCTTTCATGTCTTGAACACCATAAAGTTCCAGTTTTCCTACTGCATCTAAAGAAGTGCAACACATAGCACATCTGTTAGCCAGAACATGAGATATACTCAATGTCAGTAAAGAGCATATGGTAATATTCTCTCCAGGTCCTGAAGAAAGCTGGTGCTTCAGTGGTTTACTGAACAGCAAAAAAAAAAAAAAAAAAAATACATTATTAACTCTGCCACCCTAATAAAAAAGCAGTACATACAGTGTACGCCCATTCTCAGGGACATGCCCCTTAAAGTTCACTTCTACTTGAAAGAGAACACCACCTGTAATCAAGCACTTCTGCTTTACACTGACTCCCACGTTAAACCAGCATAACTTAAGTAAACATGTGACTCATCCTGGGTTTATAGACACTTTGTTGCCTTGGAAACAATAAAGACATAGCAAATCATTGTTGAGAATAATCTATACAGTTTGTGTATGGTTTTACTTTCTTTTTCATATAGGGTTTAAGTACATTCAGTAACTCGAAATAAGATCACTACTATCTTTTCCCTGATTTTAACTCAGAAGTTACAATTAAATTCATAGCATATGCTGTCTGTAATACTACCATCTGGTAGCTTCTCTAACAATAATTCAGTGCTTACATCAAGGCAAAATCAGAATTCAGAGTATCTCTTATGTTTCTCTAAAAAAACACTATACCTAGGCTATCCCAAGGCACTGAAAACAACAGAATAGTCATCTTCAAAATGTTACTCTGCAGCTGAATTATATTTTATCTTATAGAAAGTTTGAGTTATCCTATGATAAAAATCTGTGCAGCAAAACACCTTTTTTTTTTTTTTTTTTTTTTTTAATGCATCAATCCTAGGGCCACTTCAGAGACCATGGACAGAGGGAAGGTTGATATATATATCAACCACCCATATATAATAAGCCAAGAACAAGCAAGAATAAGGTAGAGTTCTAAAAGTCATACACAAAAACAAGAGAATTGAATAAAGACTCCAGAGAAAACAGATGAAGCAAAATACAGATTTAAAAAACAACACCAACAACATAACATTACTGCTAGAAGACTACATATAACATTGCTATAGGTTCTTAGTTTTTCTATAAATGGAAAATTACTAAGGTCTCAAATAATTACTGTGCCAAGACAGTTTGAGACCGTCTACCATTTACTTGGACATTGCATCTTTTTAAAAAACTTGAAGAAATTTTTATTCTCTAACAGGCTATAATTAAGAGAAAGCAACGTTGTAAAACCTATTTAACTTTAATGTCTTACTTGATCTAGGTTTTTTCTCTTTTTGAGTTCACCTTACTGAAATGTTTTCTTCCCAATGACTTAATTTGGAGAATAAAATCAGAGTTACAAGCCATGTACAAAGATTCGCTTTTTCACTCAGCTGATAGCTCTAATATTTTTTTTTTTAAAAAAGGCTACAAAATTATAGACATACGAAGATGCATGTTTCTCCTTCTCCCTGATTCTTATTCATATGCAGTAACTTTTGAGTAAGAAGAAGATAAAATTTAATATTAAAATACAGAATAAATTCTCAAATACTTCAGCACAGCTTGTTCGAATCCCAGCTAGGGTAACAGATGGCAAAATTTGTAGAAATCTTTCCACTAATGTCACATTTGGGTGAATTGAGGGCAGCACAATTTCCCCATCACATTTTTTTTCTTTTAAATGGAGTTTTAAAACATATTTCTGTTGTTTCGAGGGAGGTTTTTAAAGTCATCAATAGCACATAAATTTCAATACTACTAACACATCTACACCCTGATATATGAGGGTTATAAACATTGTCAGCTGAAAAAGTTCAGGAACTAATTGCACAGAGGACTTTCTAGCCATCAGCTTTTTAAGAACAAGGGGCCAGCACTCAACCCAAGATAAATTAGCACACAAATCCATGCAGAAAGCAATCAAACTGCTCTAGTTCCGTTTTCACAGGGTGTGTTTTAAGGCAGCAGGAGATTAAGGAGCAATCAGTAGGTGATAAAGAGCCCATTTAGCAACTGCTTTCTAACTGAGAAGAGAACTTAAGTCTGTCTCCTCAGCCCCCCCCCCCCCCCATCTTCTATTCATCCCTTACTTTCGAGAGGTTTCCTCACTACTTGTAAGGCTTCCGTTAAGCTAAGAAAAGGAGCGGCGCCTTCAAGTCATGCTGCCCAATGGTCCGTGCATGTCCATGGCAGTGGCTGCTGGCCAGGCCAAGGCCCGCGGGTCACCCAGTGTCTTCGGCTTCCAGGTTAGGGAGCAGAGGACTCAAGCTGCTCCCCTGTGAGCAGTTCCGAGGAGAGGCAAAGGGGTAGAACAACTAGAAACACTAAACAAAATACGTGGTAGGTCTAGTAACTCTTGGAGTGCAGCAGCTATGAGGAGCTCTAGTGAGAGCTTTGAGGAAAGCATGTTAATAGTGAATCTGCAGGTGGAGCTGAGAGACAGTACAGGGGGATGCAAGTACCCAGGACATGGAAAGGTTTTTAAAAAACAAAAACAACAACAACAACAAAAAAAAAGAACACACACACACACAGAAGAAAGGTCTGACTATTACAGAGGAGCAGTCAAGTGAGTCTAAACAACTCACAGAAACACTATACTTCTAAAGAAAATCCTCCAAGTAGAAGGAAAGAAGCTACCTATGAACTACCATTCCAATTTCAGGTGGTTTTTAGGAGCAAGTGTCAGGCAGCTCCCTCTCACACCCCCACTTCTGTACCTTCACTCCCCTAGTCCTTCTGCTAGTTACTCTGGGGGCTGAGCAAAAACTCATTTGGAAGAGGTAATGTTAACAGGAATTATATTTATCACACTCAGTTTTATGAGACAGCTGAAAATATTACAAAAGTTTTATTTTCTGAATTTCTGAATATTTCTGAAGAAATATTTTATTTCTGAATATTTAACAGGAGAGCATATTTATTTCCTGGGAAGGATGCCAAGAGATATCCCTAGTTTCATGATTCAGCAGAAGTTAGACAAAGTGGCACAGAAAGCTATCACTGTCTTGCCAGCAGAGACTAGAAGCTAGACTACAAAACCAGCTGTAAGAACAGTCAGAACAAGTGGTTTTCAGATAGTTTGCCAGTCAAAATATCAAGTGTGGTACAACAGGGCTCTTCTGCTTTCAGAGGCAGGAAACGGAGATGAGCACACTTCTTTAAAAAAAATAGCAGCAGCAGTTGCTCAAACTAATAGAGGGCAAAACCACAACATGACAAAATGAATGTTCTAGCAGCATGTAAGAGAGCATGCAATTAGAACCATGGTTTTAAAAGAAGCTTTCTATATAATTTCAACACCTATAGTAACTCTTCCCTTAATCATGCCTTTCAAGAAATAGTTTGAGTAGACTTCTTGCTTCACACAGTTTTGACTGTGACAAAATACTGCAAAAGAACAAGTCGCTGTATCACTTGAGCGTATAGAAGCTCTTGGCATTTCCTAAAGCTAGACTCAGAAACAAATTCTGGACAAATTAGCCAGTTATTCAAGATGAGAATAAGCTTATTTCAGAGCTCATCTGAAATCTGAGCTATGATGGATGATGCCATCCAGATTGGGGATTTTTCGTAAGACTTTCAGCAAACTCTTCAATCAATCTGCCCTCTGGCCCTACATTAGAAATTTCTCTCTAAAATAGCAAAGCCCCAGCTGTGCTGGATCCCACTTGGCCTGATCTTGATGATCTGATGCTTGGAGGCATGATACCAACACATGCAGTGTACAATTGTACAATAGCATGTCTGTTGCAGAAAGGCTGGATCTTTCCCACCATGCTGTACATTGTATTACAACCTTTCCAAACTACAGAGAAACAATCAAACAAGCAAAAATTTTCTTAAGTTACAAGCAGAAGTGCAGGTGCATACTCCTTAGTAGCTATGGGTATAGGTCTACAGAAGGACACTGCAGCAGAGCTTTTAATCTTCTTTGCAGGCTTTCAGTTTTATTCTATGTTCCATCAAGATTGGGAAAGGTGTAAAGTTGTGGGAAAATGCAAGGAAGCATGCCTTACACCATAGGATCTCCTAAATATACTCAGAGCAGAAAAGGTGCGAGATACTGCAGGTATAGTGGGATTGCAGAGAGCATTGCAGAAAAGCATTTCAGAGAGCTTCAAGCCAGAAAACTTTGCTAAGACTGAAGAGAGTAGCAGAGATCAAAAATCGGGGGTATTCAGAAATGGATCCTTTCCAAGGAGGCATATCTGAGGAAGGCACAGATTTTCCTACAAGTCAGAATTAATCAAGTAAACAGAAGCGAACTCTGGAAGTAGAGATCCACCTGTATGGACTCATCGGCTTGAGGAAAAGAATGCAGGAAGGATTTTAGTCTTCTGTTTTCAAACCTGGTTGGTTGGAGCTTTCTCTGCTTAGAAAGATGTTTCTAATATTTATGCTAATAAAAGGTTGGGGATTAAAAGCATTTTGAGTTCTCCAAGAAGTTCACAACAGGAAAAGGTCAGAAAAGATCCACCTCAACAATTCAGCTCCCCCTCTGAGGGGGTAAGAAAGGAGGTTTGTAACACCCTTTCTCCTTTCTTTCCTTCTCTCCCGTCCCCAGAAATTAGCTTACCTTAGAGAAAAATACAGGTTGCTGTTCTGTCACATGAGTCAAGCATAAAGGATTACTCTCTGGCTACGGATGCTTAAAAATGTTCCTTCTACCATGTGCTCCCACTGATGCACTTGCTGAGGTTCTTGCTGCACTTGACAGTTCAGTACCTCAATGTAGCTACACTTACACACAGCGTTTACTTGAAAAGATCATGACATTTCTTTGAAAGACTTACCTTTCAACCAGGTGGTGGTTTTACTGAGAACTTTATGCACAGAAAACTTGCATCTTCATGTGATGTGCGAATATATATATATATATCTCAAACTGGTAGCATGGTACAAACTGTGCAAACAAATAGTTAAAGCGTCCTTGCAAACTACATGTAACTCCTGCTTTATCCGTAATAAAGGCAACATTATTAATTCATATAAAGTGATATAAATAACTGGCTGTGGTCCAAAGTAGATCCACAGGGGAAAGATAATTGCTATTACAGTTCCTATGCCAACCCTTCTCTCCAGCCAACACAGTAGCATTGCTAAGACTCAGTTATGTTTTGGTTGATCTCAAGCTGACAATTTGGATCCCTAAGGCTATTGGCAGCCAGCATAAGTCAGAACATCCCTTAGGTTGATCTAATTTATAGTGATAGACCTGCTGGAAAAGACTGACCTTTGGATGAACTTTGTGCTGCCTTTTTAACCTCTTTCTGACCTCGGCTATCTGCTACTCATGTTATGTGGCCATTATGTAGAGTTTATATACATATATACATATATGAATGCATTTCATTTACAGTTGGAAAAAAGAAAATTAAATATATTGAATAAGTTCCCTGATTCTTAAGTAGGTCTAAGACTGCCTCCAGGAAATTCTTTCCTGGAGACAAGATGTAATTTGAGCAGCTTATTCAAAGTAGTGTAAATAATCATGCAGACTTATCAATAGCTTATACCTTATTAAAGTAATAATCTAGATGCTACTTAAATGTAACAGCATAAACAAGAACTATCCATTTATGAGGGAAAAAAAAAGATCAATAGCTATTATAGCTTTATAGTTCAGACATATAGCATTGGCATTGCTAATGAAAGGCCATGAGTTTTGCATCAAGCTTGCAAAGCACCATTTGCTTAGAAATATACCATGAGACATGAGGTACAGACTCAAGTACACTCTTCCATGGCAGCAGCAAAGGGTAAATATCAGAAGGGCCTTCTCTGTAATTTTTCCCCAAAGCAAGTTTTGAGAACACTAAAATATTAGCTCCTTGGAAAAGTAACTTCAAGATCTTCTTGTATCCATAACACTTTGAAACACAAGGCAAAGATTAGAAGAGGAATGATTATGGATATTTATGAATGTGGCAGCTGTAGAGAAACTTTAAGTCTTTAGTAACAAAGATTGTCACAGAATCGCAGAATGGTTGAGGTTGGAAGGGACGCCTAGAGATCATCTAGTCCAACCCCCTGCTCCAGCAGGGACACCCAGAGCACGGGGCACAGGGCGGCATCCAGGCGGGTTTTGAAGATCTCCAGAGCAGGAGACTCCACAGCCTCCCTGGGCAGCCTGTGCCAGGGCTCTGGTACCCTCACAGTGAAGAAGTTCTTCTTCACATGGAGATGAGACTTTCTGTGTTTGAACTTGTACCCATTACCCCTTGTCCTGACACTGGCCACCACCGAGAAGAGTTTGGTCCCATCCTTCCTACATTCTCCCCTAAGGTACTTATGTATATTGATCAGATCTCCTCTCAGTCTTCTCCTAGACAAAAAGACAACAAAAACTTCGTTCTAGCAAAAGCTGTACAGTGAATATCTGAGCTGTGTCAAGTTTATATATCTTACCGTAAACGGCTGTTTTGCTGTGCTGTATAACTGGTATTCCTGCATCTTGAACCAAGATTACAGAAAAGAGTCCGCACAAAAGGATAAAGGCCTCGACTTGGCAAATCCCGAGCTTCCAAATAACCTAAAAAAAAAAAGCAGCAGTAGAATGAAAAGCAATGACATTGCAATTATATAGCCTGTACAATAATGCTATGTTCCTTTCTCACAGCAAGTGGCTTTGTCACCTGTGAGCAGTAAAGATATATAATTCCAAATGCTTCATTTAGAAACAGCTAATTCACCACAGATAATGAAGAACTATTGTGTCAGACTATGACAACAGTGGGACATTAGAGGAAAGACAATTTTCACAACAGTCACAAAATTGCAGCATCACTACATGCTTGCTAGCCTGTCAATCCACATGTCTAGTGACCTATATTACAATTTGGAAATCTCCACAAAAATGGTATTTCTCCTCTTTTATCCCAAGTTTTCACAAAATGAAGGAACTGATATTCAGTGGTGTTTCAGTTTGCATATTGTTTGGATAAATAACAACTTTTCTATGCTTTCTGAGAACCTAAACCTCAAAACAGAAAATAAAAATATGTATATATATGGCTTACTAGTATATATGTAACTACAGTATAATTATTAATCCCAATTAGTTTATTTCTTTTGTTTTAAAACAATCAAAACTGAGATACAGTTTAAAGACTATTCCTGCTCTTCCTTCATCTACCGTTTTTATAACTATCACATCAAAATTAAGGGAGGGAAATAAGAGAAATATTAAGGCCCATTTAAATAAAGCATAATACAGTTCAGCAAGCTAACATTTGGGCTAGAATTTTTGCTGAATATTCAAAACTGAAAGATGCAGAAAAAGAATTGCTACATTTATAATAATAGCTACAAATCCTATTTTTATTTAGATTCAGATATCAATATTTAAAATATTTAAGAGACATATACCATTAGACAAGCCAGCCTTCAGTTCTTAGAAACTGTACCTGATGAACTAGGTATTTCTGCCTTTCAGCCCAGTCCAACTGGGCTAGCTCAGATCTGCAAGTAGACAGAACTGAATCCCACTCTATTTTTTTTCCCATTGCCTTTGTACATTGAAATGGTACCTTCTCATTTATTTTTCTAATAGTTCTTAACTATTGCTTCAGACTGTTTGCATTGAACTAGAAGAGTACAGGTGAAATAAAACATACAGTTTTCCTTGTATTTTGGAGGCTCCTGGAAACGGATTACAGCCAGAATGAAGAAAAGTACACATGGCCAGAGTATCTCAGAGAGTGATAGGACCTGAAAAGGGAAGTCAAAACATTAGTAAAGATTTAAAGATCCGTTCAAAAGAAATTAAATGAATTTTAAAATTCATATATATTTTAAAAATAAAAAAAAATGTAAATAAAGTAGTCAACAACTACTTAAGACAAAATAAATTATGGGGGAAAAAAAAATTAACTCTACCTTAAGGTTCTTTTTAAAAAATGTAACTTAAATACAGTGGTTTCAGAGTACAAAAGCATTTCCCTCTTCTCCTTCTGTATGTAATGTCTGTATATGCTTCCCTCTGATCAATACAAAATAACTCTGCTACAATGTTACTAAAGCAGCTTCCAACTTTTCAATACCTGATTCACCTTAAAAAATAAATAGCAGTATTCTGTATCTCTCTGAATTCCCTTATGCTTCTCTGAAGCCTATTGTCCTGGACTGTGACCAGCATCATGCCCTTGTTGCTCCCTAGATTCAAGACTCTTGTCACTAGATCCTTACTTTTTACACATAGTCATGCCTCTATCAACTTTTAATCTACAGATAATCTTTATCATCCTCAGCAACAGCTCTGAGACAGCTTACAGGCATCCTGTTGCTTCCCTGCCTTCCCATTTCCACTAGCAGGGTAAAGAGATATCCAGGCTGGTGCAGTGTTAAACTAGCAGAGATTGAACAAATCATATACACATGGTATATAGCATGTCCCTGCACATGAGCAGAGAGGTTGGGCCCCTTGATCAAGCTGCATACAGGCAAGGGAAAGAAAAAAAAATATTGGCCATTTCAGCTGTAAAACAAGGAAACCGCTATTCAAATACCTTGGAAAGCACTTCTAGGTTCAACCATAAAACACAATGAACACACAAATAATTCATTAACAGAGTAGAATTGACAAAGAATCTTGTAAAACATGAAATTGGATATATTTTACAATACTTCTAATTTATCTGAAGACTCTAGAGGGTTTTTATTATTATTATTATTTTTATTACTTCAAAACATGAAAAAGTGTGAAACATAGCTCCTAAATTAAGCTCCAAGATGGAAATGATTACTTTACTTGACCATTCTACAAAGACTCCCAAGAAAAATAAGGCAATATGTAAGAAATAATTCCAGGGCAAAAAGTGATCCATGTAGAAAAGGGCTACTGCACTATGCATAGGGCAACAAACTGTGGTCTTTCCAAAAGAAGAGAAAAGATAACTTATCTGACCTGGCCACTCTGGAAACCAAAGAGTTACCAACCAAGAGAGATAGGCCAGCCCCTCATATTTTCAGATACTACCTAACCTCAGCAGGGCCTTGCAGATAGGCCACCCCACCACTCACAGCAGAAGACCCTAGAGAGCCACAGGGACCAGGCAGCACCACAGGCTCTCTCAGGAGCCTGGGTCGGCTGAACAGTCGATGCTGCTGGAAGGTTAGTGCCTCTGGGCCCCTCCAACAGTACCTGAGAAATGGTGCAGACCTTTGGTCCAGCTCATTAGGCACATTTACAATGACAGAATTATCTTAGCTTATGCAGTTTTGCAGAACTAGATTGAGAGTACCCATAGACAGACAAAGACAGGACCGGAGCAGAAGCACAGACCAGCACTGCTATGATAGTGTTGAGAAAGGACTAAGCTGAAGAGCAAATGCTAAAGCCATGAGCAAAAAGTGGCTGTAAGCCTAGGGGAGGGTGGTCAAGGCCATTTAATGCAGAGGCCCCAGGTGTGGCTACTCAAGATGATTTAAGCAGAAGCCCCAGGTGAGGCTGGTCAGGGTGATCAGGGTCTCTCAGTGCCCTCAGTGCCCTCAGGGCCATGATGTCTCTGAAAGCAACCAGGTACATCTAGATATTCATTTAATAATGCCTTTCAGATGTGAGAGGGAGTCACATATCACCTGCCCTTCCTTGGCTCTGCTTACCCAGAGCACTCCCTTGCATCATAGGGAACATTATGGGGAAGTATTATATGATGATTCCCTTTAGCAGGGATGAAACAAAAGCTTTCCAATGGAGAAACAAGTTTTCCAACAGCTCAGAATGAAGCAAGATTCTGACGTCAAAATCTGGAATAGTTTGCTGAAACAAGTACACAAATACACTCATGCTGGATTTCTTTTTTCCTCTCTACCATTTCTTATTTTAGGTTACATTGAGCACAGTTGCTCATATTTAGGAGATCTGGGAAATAAACTGGGCTTTCTCAGTTGAAACTCCCCTTGGTATGCCATAACAAGTTATCAAAGGCCTAGCTTTCACGGACTGTAATATATCACTTGGGATAAAACCTTGCATGGTTGTCTTCCTGTGGATTTCCATGGACCTTGAATCCAAGGTAGTCTTTAATTCATTGATTTGGACACATTCCTAGCCTCCCCCTCCCCCCCTTTTTTTTTTCCTACTCTTTTATTTAAAGATGTGTTATACTTCAAGATTTTGGACCCATTGAGAATTGCTGCTAGATAATCAAATGTTACTTAATCAAAACAGGAAGAGGGGAAGAAATAACCAGTTTATAGGTATAATTTTTACCAGTTTCCACAGGAGAGGATGCTCTGTGAGTGGAAATTCACTACACAGACTGTATTACAGCAGAGTCTGCCAACTATAGAACGGTTACAGCTGAGAACTGTCATTTGTTTCAAACTCCTCTAAAGTTGTTTTGCTTATTCAGAATATCCAGGAATCTGGTATGCAAGAAAAGGGTTAATTCCAAATCTGGGATTAACAAATCACAGATTCTTAAAGTACAAAAGCAGCATTTTTTAAAATGGGCAAACTCTGGATTTTCTTTTCATAGATCTAGGGATCAAAATGAACAATTCACAATGCCACTAGCCTTGGCACTGGAGCAGAAAAGCACCTAATAGGAGCCGTAAACAGTTGTTACACTCATTCTCTACTGAGTTGCCCTAAATTGTTGTCATTGCCCCCAGAAACCTCATTCAACCTAAAGAAAAAGATAGATAGCAATGATTCTTAATGAATTTATAAAATTCAAGGTTTAATATACAGACTAAATTCCTTACTAGAGAATACCAGTTAGCCAGGCATGTATGGGCCTACTAGTCTTACCTCTGCTTTTTAAAAGGTTTTAGGAAAACAAAGATATTCTTTTGCATTTTCAGTTTATTTCTGGTATTTCAATATGCATCAACAACTTATCAAAGGTAGATTTTCTGGTCTAAAAGGTTTATGCCTTTCTTTGGCATAGTGCCAAGCATAGTTGGAAATACCAGCAAGTGCAGATTTTAAGAATATTAGAAAAGCAGTTCCTTTGACCACATTGCCTTGGCCTGCTCCAGCTGGCATTACTGCCATATCAAGAACTGCCTAGATATGCACAGCAGCAACCATTCAGCAAAGGCTTGGATGTGAGGGGCTCCATAATCATTTGTCCCCAAGCACTAAAAAGGCCGTAAGTGGTCTTTTGGTGAGATACTGATTTTTCAGATGG